GATGCTCTAATAGAACTGGGACATGGTTCACTGAACATTATTAATAGACAGGAAGTTTCAGCACAGGACAGTGGGGGGATAAGTGAGCTGACATACACTTACAATGACTTAATGTTACTAGTTCTTATTAGTTCTTCACAAAGATATTGACTGTACGATGAATGAGCTGTGAGTCCAGCTTGATGGGTTTTCTGTTTAATGTCTACTTATTAACACCAGTGTTATCAAAAGGTTTTTGAAAATGGGACAATATTGCGAAGAACAAATGTTCTTTCAGTGAACCTATGACGGGTTACTGTGTTACTCTGAATGCCGGAGACAGTACAGTATGATGGATGAATTGTGCAAGTTGAACTTAGTGAGCTAATTGTCTGTATCTGAAATCATCTTCAAATAGATGAATAACATGGTTCAAATTGGTAAACAAAGGCAAAGTTGCTTCTTGTTTTGGAGATAAAATGACCTTGTAGACTTGCTTTTTTGTGCTTGAAACAGCAGGCCTTCTGCCACTCTGCCCCCACACTCTGGAACTCCATCCCGCAGTCCCTCTGCCTCCCCCCCCCCCCCCCCCCCCCCCGTGTCTCCTTCAAGACCCATCTCAAGACCCTCCTCTTCGACCGTGCTTTCGATCTTGCTTCCCCCCCGCCCTCCACCCTCCCCAACCCCGACCCCCAGCTCGGTTCCGAAACACTGACTATCCAGCACCTTGGGACGTTCTCCCAATGTGAAAGGCGCTATACAAATGCAATTTTGTTGTTGTTGTTATCTGATCAATTTTATATTGTAAGGACTTACAAGAATTTCTAGAATGTGAGTAGTTACGTGTTAAGCAAAGTGACAAGTTGCTTATTAACATTTTGCATAGGAAGCGGCCGGAATATTCATAGCATGGGGACTTACGTAATAGCGCCAAATTAAGCCAGGATCAAGTTATCCAGAGTTTACTGTAGTTATTCTTATACAGTAACAATTTTAGAAAGGGATACCTCGATTTAAAATACTGTTCAGCAAGCTACATAGGAAATTAACTGCAAGAAGGGTAATATTTTGTTTGTCATGCTAAGTGATAAGCGGTCATGCATAGATCATTGCTGCTTTGTTATACAGTAGAAGTCTGGGTGTGTTGGCATATGGGGATATCAATGCTCTGTTAGTCTAGTGGCTCTCGGCACTGACGACAGCTGTAACATGGCTCTATATCGGATGCACAGTCATGTATGTGAGAATGTTGTCCCCAACAGCTGCTTTACCATTTCAAGTTACACTTTTTTATTCTGCTCTTTCCTCTCTGCAGGAAGGAGCTTAAAATACCTTGCAGTATAGTTGCAATAATAATCTACTGAACATCATTGGTGATTCACATGAAGATGAGATTTTTGTCAAATAGCATTAATTTGGCATTTACCTTAACTTTGCTTTGCATACCATTAGAAGTCTGGAACCTCTGAACAGTGGGAAACTTGCAAACTTTCTGTAATTTCCCTCGTTTCATTTAACATGCCTTGCGAGTTTCATTATCACTTCTCAGCCTGGTCAATAGACGGAGCCCTGCTTGAGTCTCGCTTCCTTGCATCTGATCGTGGAACAGATTGACAGCAGTGAGGGACACGGGTACAGGAGCTCAGACCACCAACTGGTGCTGCCATATGGTTAAATGATTGAAGAGCTTTTAATCCCATTTGTCAATATACAGCAGCAGGATAAGGGAGGACAACTTCATTGATGTGAAGGACACTTTCAGGACAGGCACGGGGAGGTAATTAATGGCTGGAATGGATTGCCAGGAAGAGTGTTGCAGGCCAGGACACTGGACTCATACAAGGAACAGCTTGGTACTATATTAGGAAGATGGTCATATGGGTATTCTGGAAGGGTGAGATGAAAACAAAGCTGAACTCCTGTACCTGTGTTCCTAACTGCTGCCAAGCTATTCGATGATCAGATGCCAGTAAGCAACACTCAAGCAGGGCTTCATCTGTTGACCAGGCTGAGGTGATAATGTAACTCATGTCGTTCCTCTGTGTTTCATTAGGCAAAAATTTCCCAAACCACTTTTGCCTGACTATAGAATCATGAAAAGTGGCAAGCAACTAGCATTGGATGGGAGATGCTTTTATCTCCTTTTATTAATCAGATAATACATTTGTACATAGTAATGATAATAGATATTGTTCTTAAGCTTCAGATAATTTTTTACGATCTGAAAAATACATCTTCAATTGAATAATACATAGTCTTCACGACTAGCTAAATCAAATGCAAGGCAGACACTATATTAAATCAGACACTATATCAAATGCAAGGATTATTGATAAAGTACAATATACATTGATTTTTCATTGGATTCTTTCATAAGGGATTTGTTCTGGCATGTTAATGTACATCAAACATGCCCACTTAAAGAAAATCTACTCCAAAAGTAGGTTGCCTAAAATTCATCTGTGAGGCAGTGTGCCATACTATCATACTGACAGCCAGGTGTTTTCTGGTTCAGTTGATAGTTCTCTTGATTCTGTCTCAGAAGATTTTGGGTTCAAGCCCCATGTCATGAATTGGAGCTTACAGTCCAGTTTGACACCTCAATGCATTGTTGGGGCAGCATTGCATTGTCAGGAGTGCCGTCATTTGGATGAGATGTTAAACCTGTTTAGGTGGACATGAAAAACTATTCAACTATTTGAAAAGAGAAGTGGATTTCTCCCAATCATTGGGAGCAGGAATTCTTCCCACTCTGCTCCTGTTACCCATGCAAGCTAAAGCCCTAATAGGTAGGGTGGTGTAGCTGGATGAGCAGTTGGATAGCTTAATAGACAGTGCTCCCAATAGCAAGCCATGCTGTTTTAGCTTGTTAAACAACAGGAGTACCTCAACGCACACTCTGGGGTCTCCAAACCTTGTCTCTTGTCAGCTGTGCCTAAGGCTCCAGATTTATATAACTGGGATGTATCTCTTCAAAGAGAGAGTGAACATTCCATTCCAATACAGGGAAGTTTCCATGTGTTAGTGGTATATGGAACGCTCAATCCAGCCTAGACATTTTTAAATATGGAGATGCATGTGTCAGACACCCAGCTGCACAAAACAAAATGCTACTGCTTCTAATGTACATCTTGATCAGCTTATTGTTCATGTTGGTTATTGGCAGGTTTATGTTTACTCAGTCACAAACATTGCCAATGATTCTCCAAAGGTCATCGGTGGATGAGAACTGAGATTTTCTGTCTTAGCTCGCACCGCTGTCCCTATAATTGCCACTCTTCAGGGATTTGTACTTTAGGTGCAAATTTAATTTGTGCAGTCTTTCCATGGTACAAAATTCTCTTGTTCAGTTGAATCCTGCGAAATCGTATTCTTAATTGTAACATACATTGAAATTAATGAACAGCAGACTGATTCATTTGGAAAGTAGCAGATTTAGCAAGGTGACAAAGTACTCTATTTATTGTCATGTTGCTAAATCATTATAATTTCTAGCACTCATTCAATCATTGAAATGTATTCTTTGCAACCAATAAATAACAATATGGCCACCCAATATAAAATTTTATGAGGTGTGAAACTACCAGTTTAATCCTTTGAAGTGCACTACTACACAAAAAAAGTTTGTTGATCATTTGAAAGTAACAAAATATAACCTTGGGACCTTTTAAGGATGAACAACATTATATTGTAGATAAACTATAAATTCCCATATATGAGGAAGGCAGACAATTGGGACAAGGATAAACAAGGGTCCACTGTTCAATCCTCAACAGAGAAATGGCACAGCAAGTTATATCCGGTTTGTTTGTATTGTAGAATTTTCCTGCAATCAGCTACGGTTTGATTCTTTATAAATTTGCAGCACTGATCATCGTGATCGTTAATCTTTCCATGTGAAGTCACCACAATTAATTGGATATATAATACCAGCAGCTGCTTACAGCAGGATGGAGCTCGCACCGGATTAAATTAAATCACCCTATTAGATTAGTGGTGTATATCATCAAAGGTAATAGCACCTGGCATCATTTCAAGGAAATAATAACAATAAAAATAGTAATCCTTACATTTGATATAGTGCCTTATCATGTCGTTGAAAATGTATCAAAGCACATCACAGGATTTATTGTAGAATGTTGTGACTTTATAATGAAAGTGAAAGTAATCCAATCTCGGGATCCACACCAGGCTTGTAATTGCTTGAGGTTTGTTCTTGTAGTTTATAATAATAATAATAATACTTGCATTTGATATAGCGCTTTTCACGTCGGGAGGACGTCCCAAAGCACTTCACAGAACACAGTAAAGTGAATTGACTGTATACTTGTGGGCGAACGCGGCAGCCAATTGCGCACAGCAATGTCCCACAAACAGTCGTAGATTGAAAATGACCAATTTAATTATTGTTTTTTGTTTTTTTGGAGGGATTATTATTAGGCTCTGTGTGGAGTAAGGAAACTTGCCCAAGGTTTCGCCCTCTGCCTGGAATTGAACTCAGGTCTCTCGCTTGCAAAGCGAGTGCTCTAACCACCGAGCTACAGGACTCCAGGCTGGCTCATCAGCAGTGCCCTGGAATACTGTAGACCCGCCCGGCTCAGGAACTGGACTACTGAGACCACCACAGAGGGTTGGCTCGATTCCAACATTCCATTGCCAGTCATGTCACCTTGGAGCCAGTTCAACTCCCAGGAGACCCACTTACCTCCTTTTCAAGGAGGATAATCACCAGTTAGTTGTTCAACGTCCAATGAGCTCTCACTAGGTGGATGGTAGGTATAAGAAACTTCCCGCAAACTTCCCGGTGGGCAAAGCATCTCAGCATGAAATGGGTGGAGAGCATCGCCACTGTCCTTCCTGTCCACAGTTCAGGCACACAACCCTTCTCATTGAGTGACAACATCAAAACAACATCGACCCAAGTTAATCTGGGATGCTACCCTGTGTGAGGTGCGCTATATAAATACAAGTTGTTGTTGTCGTTATTATTATTGTAATCATTTCCTCTGATGTCTCAATAGGTTGTGTATGCACTCAATACCAAAAGTGATGAGCATGAGGCTTCCCTACAGGCTCTTAAGGAAGCTCACCAGGAGGAGATCCAGAAAATTTTTTCTGAAACAAGAGGAAAGATTTTACAATACAAGAGCAGAATGGGAGAAGAGATGGACATGCGGCATCAGATCCAGAGCCTCGAAGAGGCCCTGGAGAAGCACAAGAAACTCAAAGACGACATCTTGACTAATTTTGAGATGTACAAACAGCAGGTTGAGGAGCGGGAAAAGAACATGGAGCGAGACCACGCGGAGAAAATCATGGCTCTATCCAGGGAGATGTTTGACATCAAGAAGGAGTTTGAGAACAACTTGCAGCACTTCATGGAAATACAGCGCAGGTTAGAACAGGATAAGCAGTCAGCAATAACAGAGATTGTTAAAATAAACCAAGAGTCAGAGAGCCTGCAGGAAAAATGTAAGGCACTAAGGGGCAGTTTCGACGAAAGGTATAAATTGGAAGAAAAGCACAAAATGGAAATTCTGGATTTAAATCAAGAGATGGAATGCCTCAAATCCGAGAAAAAGAAACTAACAATGGATTTTGAGAAAAAAGTGAATAAGCTACAGTCTTCTCATCAAAAAGAGCTGGAAGCTCTGAAAAAAGCTCTGCAGCAGTCAGTGACCGAGACGCTGAAACAATGGCAAATTGAACAGAAAAAGAACCTCCACACACAAGAGACGACCTTACAGATAAAACTGCAGAAACTGGAGAATGACCTTGATGCTAAAGGCCAGAAGATGAAGGAATCCAGAAACCAGTGTCAGAGACTGCAGGAGCTGCTCAACACTGCGGAGCTCAGAGTACAGGTAAGGTGCACAACTAGAGCTTTCTACATCTCAAAGCACAGTATCCAGCCACTATGTCAGTGTCATTCATGATCAACTAGTTTACATGACGTGATTCTTTTGTAGCGTTTTTCTGATCTAGAAATAATCATCATCTAAATTTTTGCATTTAAGATTGTGCAGAATTTTGGGAAGTTCTCAAATGTCGTCTTCATTTGGAAGACTGGCAACAAGTGTCAATCATCCCCAACATCATCTTCGGCACAATGGTTGGACCCAAAGCCAGTTCCAAAGTTTTTGGTGTTGCCATCTTGCTTTGACCCCAGTGGTAACATTTGTAGCCTGTATCCTGTGAAATGGCACTCAAATATCATGCAGCGAGTGACAGCAATTAAGTCCACTAGCGGAAAACTAAGATTAAAAAAAAGTTCATATGCTCTTTACCTTGTGCTTTCATTGTGCACAAGTACAGGTGAGATAGTATTCGTTTAGGAAATAACATTGTGGGATATAGTACACAGGTAGTTTGGGACATATGTGCATGTAACCGCCAGAAAGGTGGAAGGCGAACTAGATGGACCTTGGTCTTTTTTCACCTAGCATTTCTTATGTTCTCATGTTAATTTTTTTTAATATGGGTATTCAGGATCTGGAAAAACAGCTTCAAAAGACAGAGAAGAAATCTGCAACATCAAACACAAACCTGAAAAGGATGGATGATGAAATACAAGTCTTGAAAGAGAAGCTTTTGGAACAAGAGGCTGAAATACTGCATAAAGCAGGTACAACGCCATTGTTAATGCTACACAGAACAAGTCAAGAAGGTGAATTAGTAACTACAGTACTCTAAATAGGACTGCTATTATTATTTAAAGTATCTCACTCTATCACTACAGAAAAACTCTGCGCATAATGACCCCACTCTGTGCTCTCAGATGATTTATTTATAAGATTGTACAGTACATGCACACTAAAATCTTGCATTTTCTTAACTTTCTAATAATAATCCTTGCATTTGATGTAGCACCTTATGACGTCTTCGAGACGTCACAAAGAGCTTCACAGAATATACTGTAAAGTGAATTGATTGTAAATTTTGTGGGCAAAACGTGGCAGCCAATTGCACACAGCAGTGTCCCACAAACAGTCGTAGATTGAAGTGACCAAATTATGACTATTATTATTTTTCTCAAGGAATTATTACCCCCGAAAAAGCGATCCACCAATCGACTAACAACCGGGTTCCTACTTACTGCTAGTAATAGAGGCGTGTGGACTAAGAAAACTTACCCAACATTTCGCCCTGCCAGGAATCAAACCCAGTCTCTCGCTTGTGAGGCGAGTGCTTTAGCCACTGAGCTACAGGACAACAGCACACAATTCCAAGGCACAATTGTGGTATAATGGCACACAATTCCAAGATACACATGATACGATAGATATCAGCAAACACCACAAGGGAAGAGGTACGAAAGGGTCACATATCTTGGTTATAATAATAATCCTTGCATTTGATATAATTCCTCTTCCCATCAGTGGCAGAGACCTAAGGTTTGTGGATTTCTCACAATCCACAGAAACAAGAGCGAGTCAGATATCCAGAAGCTTGATCTCACACAGGCTCTTCAGAGCCAACAACAACAACTTGCATTTATATAGCACCCTTCATGTGCCTGTAAGAGATCTAAGAGATCTTCAGCCAGTTTCAGGGCTGAATGCAACATGCACAGCCTTGTGCACTTTACTCCAGAAATGGGGAATGACTGGTCAGAATGTTTGCCTGAGTGAAGAAATTGTAAACTCTTTCTACTTGGGTCACGTAATGGAACATCTGAATTGCTGTGGTTTTCGCTGGTGTTCACATCTGATCCCACATGTTTGAGTTGCATGTATGGTTATGTGTATAAAAACATCAATGAGCCAACCGATACCTGGGTAATATTAATGCATCTGAGCAAATATGTGTCTCATCAATCTTCCTAACTATTAGAAAATACAAGCATTTTTTAGAGCCAATGGGACATACGAAAGTGAAACGTGTTTATTGTGATTTTCTTTTTACATTAAATATGTCAAATACACTGATACTTTCGTGGGAGAAATGTGCTCATTGCTGCTTGCTCCTCAGCACTGTGATAATTTTGACTTGTTACAGCTCTTCCAGTTGTTTCATTGCCTCCCTTTCTCATGTACAGATGAAATAAAGGCTCTCTCCACTTCTGAACAAAAGGCTTTGGCAGGGGTGGAGGAGTTAAAGAATCGGCTATCAGAAATACGGCAGCAGTTATCAGTCAGGGACCAGAAGCGAAATAAAGATGACGAGCCTGAACACAGCCAGCAGCTGAAGCAGGTATAATCCAGACAACAACAACTTGTATTTACAGGGCAGCATCTTGGAGCACTTAGCAGTGATGGAGCCGAGCCATGGGGAGGGAGGAGGTGACCACAGGCATGGTCGAAGAGAAAGGTCTTCAATTGTTATCTAAAAGTGGGGAAGGAGGGGCAAGGCGGAGGGACCAAAATAATTGGCATGAAAAGTTTGATGTAGAGTAATAGAATAATAATAATAATAATCCTTGCATTTGATATAGCGCTTTTCACGTCTTCTAGACATCCCAAAGCGCTTCACAGAATATATTGTAAAGTGAATTGACTGTATATTTGTGGGCGAACGCGGCAGCCAATTGCGCACATCAGTGTCCCACAAACAGTCGGGGATTGAAAATGACCAATTTATTATTGTTTTTGGTTTTGGAGGGATTATTATTATGTGTGTGGAGTAAGGAAACTTGCCCAAGGTTTCGCCCTGCCTGGAATTGAACTCAGGTCTCTCGCTTGCAAAGTGAGTGCTCTAACCACTGAGCTACAGGACTCGCATTAATAATAATCCTCACATTTGATGTAGAGCATTCCCATCAGGAGGACATCTCAAAACACTTCAAATGATTTATTCTGTAAAGTGTAGTGGCTGTATTTTCTAAACGAATGCAGCAGCTAATTCCACAATCATCCATGAGGTGAATGAACAATTTTATCTAGAAGATTGTTGGCCAGGACACTGGAAGAAACTCCCTTCTGTATTTGAATAGTGCCACGGGATGTTTAACATCCAGCAGAATAGGCAGACAGAACTTTTGTTTAACATTTCATCCAACCAACAGCAATTCCAGCAATGCAGTACACCCAGGCGTTGAGTGTCAGCCTAGACTAAATGAGTTCAAATTCCCGCCATTGGGCTTGAACTCTCAACTTTCTAACTCTAAGACAAGAGTTATCAATGAGCCAGAATGACACCACTGAGCCAGGCTAACACACATAATTATATTCTTAATGTTTGCTTAATTTTGTGTGCAATGGTCTGTATGATGCTGAGTACATGAGCAAACCATAACTTTCTTGATGTGTATGGATAGCCATCACCTTGAGTTGGAAGTAATGGGTAACTTGCCTTTCTACCATGTCGGTAAATAGAAGAGAAAACAGCAACAGCGTTGGTGCTGCAATGATGTAATCGTAGCACGTATTGTAGGCTGCTTTGCGGAAAAATATTCATTTATAAATGTGTGAATGAAGATCCAACACACCAGTGGTAGGAATGTGATGCAGAATCTGTGCTGCAGTGTAAACTTCGTCTGTCAACCTGTATCACAGCATGATAACTGAAATCACAAAGCAGATGCTTCCCTGAGGCTGGCAAAGATTGATCGTTTCTAAACACTTCTCCATTGAGTCGAGATAGAGATTACTACCGGCTTCAGCAACACAGAAAGTTTTGTGTTCTGAGGAGAATTTGTTGATTTCAGTTCACCACCAGTTTAAAAAGCTAGATTGTTGCAACAAAACACATTATCATATTAGTTGTCTCTCCTGGACGAGAGACAACTTTCTTCAGCTCAACGTGTGTAAAACTGAGGCCCTCCTGATTGGCTCGCATCAGCGCCTCCGCACCTCAGGCGCTGACAGCATCAGCATCCAAGGCTGCACTCTCCACCTCTCAAAGCCAGTCAGGAACCTCGGGGTTCTGTTCGACCCTGAGCTGTCCTTTCTCCCTCATATCCGCGCCACAACTGGCACCGCCTTCTATCATCTCCGGAATATCGCCAGACTACGGCACTACCTCACCCCTCACGCTGCTGAAACCCTGGTCCACGCCTTTGTCACCTCAAGGCTGGACTATGGGAACTCTCTCCTCGCCGGCCTTCCCGCCACCTCCCTCCACAAGCTGCAGGTCATTCAGAACTCTGCAGCTCGTGTACTGTCCCGCACCAGGCTTCGCGACCACATCACTCCCACCCTCGCTCGCCTCCACTGGCTCCCCATCCCCCAGAGGATCGAATTCAAGATCCTCATCCTCACCTACAAGGCCATTCACGGCCTTGCTCCCTTCTACCTCTCTGATCTACTATCCCCCTACCTACCTGCCCGTACCCTCCGTTCCTCTGGCTCCGGTCTGCTCCACATCCCCCGCCCCAACTGCCCTATCATCGGTGGCCGGGGCTTCAGCCTCTCAGCCCCGAGGCTCTGGAACTCCATCCCCCAGTGCCTTTGCCGCCTCCTCCCTTTCCTCCTTCAAGGCCGGTCTCAAAACCTTTCTCTTTGACCGTGCCTTCAGCTCCCCTCTCGACTCTCTACCCCCTACTCACTCTCTCCCTTCCCCCCCCTCACCCTGACCATTTCCCCCCGGCTCGGGTCCTGATCCAACTGTACAGCGCCTTGGGACGTCCTCCCGACGTGAAAGGCGCTCTATGAATGGAATCCTGTTGTTATTGTTGTAGTTAAAAAATATATCAACTCACCTTACATCTTTTTCCAGTAATTAGATGCTCCACACACTGCTATAGGGACGAGGTAATACAGGCAGGCTCGCTCTCCCCCAAATCTTTATTCGTTTTGCTTTTAACCATTCCTTTCACAGAGATTTAGGAAGAGAGTGGGAGAAAAGTGGCAATGATGGGGCAGAGGAGGCAACGGTTTGCAGAGTGGAGGGAGTGGGCGAGAGAGTAGGAGATCGTAGAGCTTTTGTGAGGCAAGAGCGTTGAGGCATTTGAAAGTTGTAATGAGGATCTTAGACAGTCTATCGGGAAAGAAGAATCCAGTGGAGATTAATGAGGATGGGCATGATGGGTTGGCAGAGGCTGATATGAGAAAGGATGCATGCTGTGGAGAAGACGAAACGAAGAGAAGTCCTCTCCGGAGGCTGGGACCAGTGGGCCCTGTGGTGGAAATGGGAGATGGGGCAGTTAGGGTGGCTGCTGCCACACCTGCCGTGGTGTGTGTTATAATGAGGCGGAGGGTCCCCACAGTAAAACAGAAGAGGTTGTGGGAAGGCCCAGGAGGGAGAGGAGGCAGGGAGGCTAATAAGAAAGGAGCACTAAGTGGGAGAAATAATAATCATAATCCTTGTATTTGGTATAGCGCCTTATCATGTCATTGAGACTTCTCAAAGTGCTTCATAGAATATACTGTAAAGTGAATATATTTTGTTGGCGAAACGTGGAGTAAGAGAGGATCGGGGAAAGAAAGTGGGGTATTTTTGGAGGGGGTGAGTTTGACAGGATACTTAGGTTATTCAGTACTGGATAACCTGTTGCTGATGATTGGAAGATTTGTTGCATTTTCTGGATAAAAAGTTACTTATGATCCATTGATACTTCAGATGGTTATTTACTCCTGGGAAAGTTTCACTGACACCACGTATGAGGTTGAACGATTTCTTTGCTGTATTTAGGTGATTGAGATTCTTACTCGCGAGAAAGAAGAGCATCAGAAGAGGCATGAGGAGGACCTGAAAAAGCTGAAACGAATGGCTGAGGAGGAGAAGATTCGTTTGAAAGAGCAGCTGATGAAAGGGCTGGAAGAGCTGGTGAAGAAGCACACCGCGGAAATCAAAGCTGTTCAAACCTCGATGGAAATGGAAAGAAAAAGGCTGCAGCAGGTCTGTGATGTATCAGATTCCCCTTTTCTTCTCGGCACTGTATGAGACCTATATTATTTGCTTTCAAATAGTCCACAGTGTCAGAATGTAATCTAAGAGGAGTAGTGCAAGGCTGGAACTCTCGCAAATCTGGAGATTGAATTCCATCCCAGACTAATGGGATGAAACTGTTCGTTATTGGCTGCTTGTACAAAAGTGGATTGTGTGGGTATTTGAAATGTGCCTCTGATGCACAGCACTTGGAGATGCTCTTCTGAGGCAGAAGATAATACATGTTAGGATCGTTTGCATTATTCATTACACATTTGCGTAGAATTAATTGCAACTTCTGTTTTAAAATGGTTTAATTTTCAGTATTTGTAAAATGACAAACCACGTCTTATACTTGAGAACAAGACATAGAATCAAAGAACATAAAGCACAGGAGGTCATTTGGCCCACTGGGCCTTGAAAGATCCATTGCAATTTGTCCCACTCCCCCACTCTCTCCCTGCAGCCTTGCATACGTGATCAAGAACAGATCTCCTTCACCCCACTAGGCTGTCTGTTTTTCCCGCCAGCCTTCTTTCATATTTTAGCAGCATTCAGAAATCCCAATTAATCGTCCTGCAAATATTGCAAAATAGATCCTGTTATCCTGAAATGCTGTACACTGTCCAGCGCCTTGGGACGTCCTCCCGACATGAAAGGTGCTATACAAATGTAATCTTGTTGTTGTTGTTATTGGAAGTGTGGCTGATATGGCTCTGCCAGATCTGGCCTGAGAATGCTAAAAACTGATGCTGAACGCAAGGAAAGAAACAAGATTGAAACATGACCCAGCACTGCCTTCTCTCACCTGATAAGTGCAACAAATCATAATAATCATTAGTCAAGAATATTTAAAGATACGTTCAGCTTATATGAAGGCTCAAATAATTTGTTTTCAGAGACTGTACAGCCAAGGAAATGCGACAAGGAAATGGCTAAGGAAATGTAGCTAAGGAAATGGCTAAGAAAATCAGATAGCTGCACATTCACTGTCCAATCTCAAGAGCAACTAGCAGACGTATTGCAAACAATGGTACAAGCAACGATGAATTGAATTGCCTTACTCAACTCTTGATGCAAGAATAATCTTTCTAACGTTCTGAGGCAGAATTTATTTTTAGTGTGTCAGCACTATTGGTTTTTTCTACGCGAGTCAAAGCTGAACAAAAATATACATGACATAATTTGCTGAACACTCATGACACCAAAACAGAAATTCAATGGAGTAAGAGGCATCATGTAACAGACTTAAAGTAATTGAGACAAACTCCATTAAGCTGTGTAACAATAAAAATTATATTAAATATGAAACAAGCAGTTATTGTGAAGGCTGCAATCCTCAATTGTAACATACAAGATATTTTTTCAAACGTTAAACAGCATTGCACCATTCGGAGGTGGTGTAAACTCCAATGTGAAGAGTGACACCAAAGTGCTCTCTAAAATATGCAAAGATTTTGTTGAGGACATCACAGGTACTAAATTAGGTGTCACTTATATACCCTGAGTGATGTGTGCAACAGCATTTAGTATTTGTGCAAAGCACAACTGTGTCCACACTATGAAATATGTCTCTAGAGCAATCGAGAATGACTCCACAAATTATACAATTTCCCTGCTAATACTCCCAAGTTTTTTTTGTACTTTAGGAGCATATGAACAGGGGAGGTTATTCAAAACATCCAGCCTGCTTGGCCAATTTATTAGATCATGCTAGATTTTTTAATAATTAATAATACTAATAATCCTTTCATTTGTTATAGCACCCTATCACGTCATTGAGACGTCTCAAAGTGCTTCACAGAATATATTGTAAAGTTGACTGTGTATTTTGCGGGTAAAACGTAGCAGCCAATTGCGCACAGCAATACCCCACAAGCAGTCGTTTTAATTTTAATCCTTTTTTAAATGTAATTCTTTTGATTTTAATCTCATTTTTCTAATCCCATTGATCCACCTTTTCTCCACAAAACTGAATACCCTTAGTTTCCACATAAATGTTTACCTTTTAAACATCCCCTAACCCTAGCATCAATCATTCTGCCTTTACAGCTTAGTGGGGCATTGCATTCTGCATTTTCATAACCCTCTAATCAATGTAGCTCTAATTTTAACATTATCCTTGTTTTAAATTCCATTACCAGACGGAAGAGCTTTTCCACGAACTTCATTATTTTGAACCGGAAATAATCACCCTTTAACATTATTAGTTTTAAGGAACATAAACCTAGCCAGGTTCTCATCATAGCTAAACCTCTCCAGGTATTAATCCAGTGAATTGTTTCTGGATATCCTTCAAGGCTAGTACATACTTTCAAAGGTTGCGTGCCCCAAACTGATCACACTACACCAAATGAGGTGTGGCCAGTGCTCTACTTAATTGGAGAAGTATGTCTTTGCTTTCAGGTTCCAGATGTGTTGTTATAAAGCCCAGCATCGCATCAGACATATTGTTTACTTTTAAACCTGTAAACAAGATTTTAATGATTTATGGACTTGAACCCTTGGTTCCTTTTGTTCAACCACCCCTCCTGGTGCTGCCTCATTTAGAAGATAATCCCATACTCAAAAACCTGACTCATGTGGGGCTGTGTTCATAACACATCAATGCAACTGTTGACTGAACAGTAGGAAACATGATTTGGAGGAAGTTGATCTATGTTAGCTTTTCCTTCTTGCTGAGATGCTTCTGTATAATGCTCCATCCAGAGGGCTTCTTTGAGAGCTTGCTCAGCTACCCAAGGTGAATGAGTTGGAGTAGCAGCAGACCATGACTGTTTATTGGGTGCCAAGCCCTCCTATCACTTGAACTCCTGGGTCACCTTATGTCATTTCACTCTGTAATCTAACCTAGACAGTGGGTCAGCTGTCGACCCGCTTCCAGCAAGGAAACAGATGATGCTGACCCATGAGGACATCTGTTCCTAGCAGCTAGTGTAACAACCCATATTTATGAAGTGTAAACATTGCTGTAGGGAATTGTGTCTTCATCAGTTTTATAATAAAACATTATTTTTGGACAGTTTTGATAATAGGACCGTAAAGTAAATGTCAAAGAGCTGATGTAAAGCTTAATAGAAAAATGAAATGTTTCTGTTGCAGGAACTTCAGAATCAGTTGGATGAAATCAAAATCAAGGTTGAGAATGAGCGAAAGCAGCTAGAGAAAGAAAAGGAGGCCCTTTTTAATAGACTTCAGGACTCTTTTGAGGAGGTGAGCACTGACTCTATAAGTTGTTTAATGTTGGTTAAAACTCAGTTAGCTTAGCATGATTTACTTGGTGTTGATCCACTGTCTAGATTTCTAAGATGGAAACCCTGGTGAATAAGAGCGAGAAAGGCATAGACCAGGTGGATACTAACACTACCCACACACGAGAGAACCACAAGAGGCTATTGCAGGAGCAGGAGCAAGCACACTGTCAGATCCTAGAGCTACAGGTAAGAAGTTTGTAAATTGATGGGTAAGTTGTAATCTACATCCCAGACATGGTGAGTTCCATAGCAGTGCTACAAAGATGATTGGTCATCCATTTTTTTAAAAACACACACACACAGCCCTTACTGATATTAAAAGCAGTGCTTGGAGAGAATTGCAATCCCAATAGACCCTGGTTTCATAGCCAACTATCCCCCAAATAAATAAAATTGATCACTCTCTCAATGGCTACTTATGGGCAAATTGTCTCTCCTATATGCTCACAAAATACACGCAGTCACATCACTTTACCATATACCCTGTGAAACACTGAAGCTTCTCAATGACTGATGACACCATATCAAATACAAGGATTAGTGTTGATTATTATTGTTGATTATTATGGTAAACTTGAAATAATGCACCAATGATCCTTTCTTATATAAATAAATAATTGACTTCTGGAGTTCCGAATTGTTTGAAGGTCACTTCTGTATGTAAACTTAATCCATTTTATTTTAGAATTGCCTCCGTTCAAACTGATTTGGCCATAAGTTGCCGCTGATATTCAACCAGAGAAGTAGAGTGCCATGGGTTACATTATATGGCATTCATAAATTGAGTGAACCAGAAAGAAATGTGCATTTGAAGCTCAAATCAGCTCAAGCTTACAAAATATACAGATATTTTTTAATATTCTTTGAAGCAAAGGGCATCATATTTGCTCATGAGTATCTGTTGTTACCCTGTTGTTCTGTTGAAACTAGAAAATACCTCATTATTTGTGAAGCACTTTGAAACGTCTTTTACACAGAAATATAGGATGCTGCATATATATAGGGCACATTAGACTATTTTGCCATATATTTACAAGGCACATTAGACTGCTGTATCTTCAAATGCTTACAGGAGACCTCATGACATAAAATATTCAGCTTTCAGAGTGTCTCAATACTCCAGCAAAAGTACTGCTGATTTTTTGCATCTATCATACAGCAAATAATTCAACAACTGTGAAAATGTGCACCTAATGGACCCTTTTCATCAAATAAAAATGACCATGATAGCTCAGTTGGAGGAACATTACACTTAAAACCTTCAAAAGCCCTCCACGGTCTTGCTCACCCCTACCTCTCCAACCTCTTAACCCCGTATCAGCCTGTCTGCTCCCTCCGCTCAGCAGACACCAGCCTGCTTCAGGTCCTCCCGCACTTCCCAACTGACCATTTGCAGTCGGGCATTCAGCATCTCTGCCCCCACACTCTGGAACTCTATCCCACAATCCTTCCACCTCACCACCTCTCTTGCCTCCTTCAAGTCCCGTCTAAAGACCTTCCTCTTCGACTGTGCCTTTGTCCACCCCCTGCCCTCCACCCCTCCTGACCCCAACTCTCAGCTCGGGTCCACAAACCCCTGACTGTCCAGCACCCTGGGATGTCTTTCCAACGTGAAGGGCACTATACAAGTGTACATTGTTGTCGTTGTTGTTAATCTAAACATCACAACTTCAATCAAATTCAGGATATAGGCATGTGTTTCCCTCCCCATTACAGACTTGAAGGGCCGAATGGTCTGTTTATTTGTGTAACCTTTTATAAGAACAACCTTTATTTAAACTGGGTCACTCTCGCTGATGCCAGGAACGTTTGCTGCTTGTTGAGAGACAGTGTACAGATCATGAGTTATTTGCATGGGTGTAGCTTCAACGAAATACATTTTTGACTCAAGTACAAATGTGGTTTGCAAACCATAGGACATGCCTGGCTGACTATTTGGTTCAATAACTAACTTAAGTTTCATTAAACTGTAAAGTATATCACTGGCACTGATATAGAGAAAGCTGCTGCTATCCCAATCATAATTTATGCCAGCACAAATATATCATCCACCTTTCAGGATAAAAATCTATAGACCTTTTCTGGTTCCTCATTTTATCTATTAATTCAACTGTTTTCTGACCGTGTCACTCATAATCTCATCTCAGTCTTATGGTCTAACTCTCCTTTTGCTCTCTGACACTGACACACCCCTACTCTGTCCCGATTCCTGACTGACAGAGTCAATAGCAGATATGTTTCGACAGTGAGTCATCTGGAATCATACAGTCACAAATGTTTTAGCACAGAAGAGAGCTATTCGGCCCATTGTGCCTCTGTCAATTCTCTGTAAGATCTCTCTGTTTTAGTCCCATTTTGCCTGCATTTTCTCATTACCCTTATATTTTTCTTTTTCAAACATTTGTCTAATTCTTCTTAAAAAAGTATTATGGATTCTGCTTCAGTGAATGATTATGGTAAAGCATTCCATTAAGCCTCTCTATAACAAAAAAATCTAACCTCTCTGTTTTGATGATCTTAATTTAATACTCTCCAGTAACCGATTCACTGATTCGGGGAAATAATTTCACCCTATTTACCTTTTAAAATCCCCTCATTATTTTGAAAACCTCTAACAGATCTCCTCTCAAACTTTCTTTGTTCTTGTGGAAACAGCCCCAGTTTCTCCGGTCTCTCCTCTTAAGTAAAGCTTCTCAACCCTGGTATCAACCTCCTGAATCTTTTTCTGATTCTTTTTCTGGCATTGACATGACCTTGACATAGCTTTGACGTGGCCAATCTCAAGACCCTCCTCTTTGACCGCACCCTCGGTCTCCCTCTCCTAACCTCCCTGCCCTTCATCCCTCCTGATCCCAACCCTCAACTTGAGGCCAAATCCCTGACTGTCCAGCACATTGGGACATCCTCCGGACATGAAAGACGCAATATAAATGTAATTTATTGTTGTTGACTTGCTTCCTAAATTGAGATGCCCAGAACTGGACACAATACTCCAACTATGGCCTAACTAATGATTTTTCTCCTGAAATGCAAATTTCATTCACATATTTGGCAAGATTGTGAAATGTCTAGTGTGGTATTCTTTGACATGTCAAAATGTTAATTCTTTAAATCTGCATTCAGCTTTTAGCATTTATCAGTAATGATTCCACAAATGGAATAATTACTTTTAAGGGTGATATACTTATTGAACACATTATTATATTATAACTTGGGTATCCATAGAGGAAACTCTATTTACAGAAAAAGGTAGCAGGCAGATCTTTTTTTTATTATTAATAATAATCATTGCATTTGATATAGCACCTCATCACGCCATTTGAGGGGTCCCAAAGTGCTTCACAGAAAATATTATAAAGTGGATTGACTGTATATTTTGTGGGAGAAACGGGGCAGCCAATCATGCCCAGCAGTGTCCCACAAACAGTCGTGGAATGAGTGACCACATTTTATGGGGGGGATGGATTTTAAAGCAACATTAAGCTGTTCAAATTCAATATATATTTGGTATGATTTCATGTGTACCCTTCTAAAATGTTATCGAGTCATGTACACCACTTCTATCCAGATTTATGGCTTCATTGCCTGAAGCTAATCTTATGCTTCACTTCCTTATGTAAAAAAAATCTCACAGTTCAATCTATGCTGACGTAGCTGATCTAAACTGAGGTGACAGAAGAGGTCACTGAATTTTGTGTTCCACGCTTCGCGATGCATATGATTTAGATCTATGACAGATCAACTCACAAAATAATACAGCATTTAATGCAAGATCGGTTCATAGGTCCAATGTGAAGGCAAGAGATCTTCTACTTTACAAGAGATTGTTTATTAGGCTACTTCATCTCCAAAACACTGTTCTTAGCAGGAATTGTTTTGACTGTGAGAGCAGAACTGGAGGATATAAGCCTTTGAAATTAAAAAATCTCAACCAGAACTAGAGATAAGAGGAATTATTTTTTTCTTTCTCAGATAGCACTGAATATGTGAAACAGATTTACAACAGAAGCAGTTCAAAACTGCATCAATTAAAAAATAACTGTGGGAATAACATCAGAAGAAATAGGTTCAGACTGTGATGAACAAATTGTCCTAGAAATCTATGTTATTGTGGGTAAAGATGAGAATTTTGTCTGTACGGAGAACATTCCAGGGTTGAATATAATAAATAATAATACTTACATTTGGTATAGCACCATTCTCTTCAAGAGGATGTCTCTAAGAACTTCACAGGATATCCTGTAAAGTGCAATACTGTGTGTGTTGTGGGCGAATAGAGGAGATGTTGGGATGAATGGATATGAATTGCCTGTGGAGGTTTATGGCATCTCCTCACAGTGTTTTCCCCTAAGAGATAGTGGACAAGATTAAATATTATAGGGTAGATGTTTTATGGGTTGTGGGGGTTTCAATCATTGAATAGCCTTTCCTTTGATGGCACAATTCAATTTGTATGTTAATGTCTAAATGTTACCCTGTGACATGGCTTATGGTCTTAAATTGTTATACAAGAAAAAGAAACTATTAAAATGTATCAATTGGTGCGGTGTAGAGAGAAACAGATCAGTTGATGTGTTGTAGGGAAAAATAAATATGGAAACAAAGTCTACTCTTAATTGAAACAATATGTAGGTCAGTCACATTAGCTAAATGTTACACAAAAAATAACAATAACAATATGATCTCATTGATGCAGACAAAAAAAACACTGTTTTAGAATTTGGAAATTGTGTGAAAAAAACGTTCAGAAAGGCCAGTGAAGCCATGTTAAATTACTCAGCGTTTCAAAATGGTTACATTTATTTTGAAGGGGCATCGAATAATAATAATAATAATAATTGCATTTGATATGACAGGACATACTGTAAAATGGATTGACTGTGTATTTTGAGGGAGGAATTACAGGTACCAAGGAAAGCAAGTACATCAGTCAGCTTTATCAGTGAAACTAGGGAGCCCAGACTAATTAAGTTCGTACATTTTGGCTGCTCGCAGTGTTGTAGGTGGGCTCATTTGAACAAAAACATTAAATGAGTAAGCCACGCGTAAGAGAGCTGATCAGGATCAGAATCAAACAGAGAGATTTCCTAAGATGTGCCTGGCACCTTGTCACACCATCAGAATGGCAAGACTGAGCTCAGCGCCATACTGGTAAACGACACAAACGTTAGTCGATTGGCGGATTGTTTACCAGGGTAATAAGCCTTTCAAAAAATGAATAATAATTTGATCACTCAATCCACGACTGATTGTGGAACACTGCTGTCCGCAATTAGCTCCCGCATTTCGTCCACAAAATATACAGTCAAGCCACTTCATGTCTCCATGACATGATTAGGCGCTATATCCAACCCACATCAAAGCTCGATTACGGGAACTCCCTCCTCATCGGCCTTCCCAACTCTTCCCTTCACAAGCTGCAGATCATCCAAAACTCTGCAGCTCGTGTACTCTCACGCACCAGGCTCCGCGACCCCATCACTCCCACCCTCGCCCGACTCCACTGGCTCCCCATCCCCCAGAGGATCGAGTTCAAGATTTTCGTCCTCACCTTTAAGGCCATCCATGACCTTGCCCCCTCCTACCTCTCTGACCTGCTGACTCCCTACCAACCTGCCCGCTCCCTCTGTTCAGCTCTGCTCCATGTCTCCCGCCCGACCCGCCCTAACATCGGTGGCCGGGCTTTCAGCCTCTCTGTCCCCACACTCTGGAACTCCATCGTATGGTCCCTCAACTCACTTCCTCCCTTGCCTCCTTCAAGGCCGGTCTCAAGAACCTTCTCTTCGATTGTGCTTTTAGTCTCCCTCCCACCTCTCTGCCTTTCCTCACCCCTACACCCCCCCTCCCCCATGCTCGGGCCCTGACACCTGACTGTTCAGTGCTTTGGGACATCCTCCTGACATGAAAGGCGCTCTATAAATATAAATCCTGACAATACAAGGATTCATATTATTATGGACAGAAAAAGGGGCAGCTGGCTGCGACACTCACTGGTTGGATATCAATGAAGCAGCAGCTACTTTTGTTCTGGTCAATTAATCCTTCGACTGGATACAAACACCAACTAGTAAAAGCCATGAAGTTCAAAATAGCTAATGGCATATTTATTTTATTGTTCTGATTTGCCCTTTTAGGAGAAACTGAAAAAGCAGAATGAGCAGCATGAAGCTCTGGTGTCTGCTTTACACAAGGAGCAAGAAAAAATGAGAGATCAACTCTCGCATCAGTTGGACAAGAAATGGAAAGAAAAAGTACGGTATGTGCAGAATCAATTGGGGCATTTAAACAGATGACGGATAGATACTTGGGAAGTAAGGGATATTAAGAGATATGGACAGAAGGTGGGGAAAATATGTTTAGATTAAAATATCTGCCACAATCTAAAAAAAGTGGCAGAACATGCTCAACTGGCTGAGTGGTCTATTCCTGTTCCTTTTTTCCTTTGTTAAGAGCAATCCAAAATGTGACTTGTCTTTAAATATATCTACATATTGTCAGCCTGAAGCTTTTATGTGTTTATCTCAAAGGCTTAGCTCCAACTCAGAAGTTTAATTCTTCAGCTTAATTGCATTTATAATTTCTATTTTAAACCCAGTTCACAATCTATAAGAAGATTAAAGCTCTATTGTGTTTTTCAGAGACCAGAGTGGAAACCAAGCTTTATTTGGTTTATTTTCATTGCTTGATGCCATATGGAGGTAGAATGTTACTAAAAGACTTTGTATAGAACATGCAGAAATTCACTGGTCTGTACAAAAGTTGACAGTGTATCTCCAATGCATTTTTGATCAGCCTATTTTAGTTTATATGCAGAATATCTGGTTTTAGGATAAAGATTAAATATGACAGCGCCTTTCACACCACGTCGACATTTCAAAGCTCTTTAAACAACTTATTGGACACCCAAGTGGGGGAGGCAGGCAGGAAAGATGAATAAAAGCATGGTCAAAGTGGTAAGTCGTAAGTCGGCTTTGAAAGTGGAAGGAGCAAGTCAGAGGGATTTCAAGATGTCATTCCAGAGAGCGGGAGCAACATGGCTGTAACTTTGCCTACCAATGGTGGGGCAGCCAAAGTTAGTGGCGGATCTTTAATATAATTCCGATTTTTGTTGAACTATTGCAGCTTATATCCAAGATATCTGATTTACTTTCATGACTAATGATTCCATACTACAGTGGAATGTTTCCAAATAGCCTTCATATTGAACGTGAGTACTGTGTGCCAGGTGGAAAGAATGCAGATCTGCAAATAGAAAATTGGAAAAAAGCCAGGACTGAAGGAAACCACCTGCTGTGGGGAAACTGTGCAATGGATGTTTCCAGCTGTGTTGAGTGATGGAAGTTTAAAAAAAAAGGTTTGAAAGTGTCAGATTCACTTTCATTTGTACCAAATGGGAAAATGATTCAATGTTGACTGAATGATCTAAAGGAACATGTCGTATGTATTTTAGGTATCATAGAATATAGGACTCAAACCTATGAAACTAAACATGTCAAATATGTTTATTCAGATACAAAATGTATTGCACATAGATTCTTACAATCATCAAAATGACAACATAAGCAGCCATTTGATCCATCAAGCCTTTTGTTGATGTTACCTCCTGTACTGGAGCTGACTCCTCTGATCCCAATTTGCTTCTCTTTTCCCAAAACCTTTTTTTATATATTATTTGTCGTTAAATGTTCCAATTACCATTTAAATGTTATAATAGGATTTTCTTAGGGTAGCGCCTTGCAAATGTGTTAATTCAATTAGACATTGATTATAGTACATAAGAGCAATGTGCAAGAGAGTTCTGAACAATACCCTTGCCCACGAAAACGTAGTCACTGCACTTGACAGTATACCCTGTGAAGTGCTTTGGGACATCCTCCTGATTATTATTATGTTGTTATACTTTACTCAAAGTTCAACAGTAAATTGCAGGTTACTGTTAAAGTTTCAACTACATTTTAGTCTCTCGAGTTTGGTCCGAAGCCAGTTTTCATTTTTGTTAGTATTATTTTGATTGCTGCTTAGTGGACCCAAGTTATTTTTTAGACCTAGAGCCAGAGTTTGAATACGACGTCACAGGTTTAAATGAAATTGGATATTCTATTTTTAATTGCATTAAAATGCCATTGGAGTGTGGAAATCATCAAGCCTTAATATTATGCAAAAGATGGGGTGGAATTTGGTAGCCAAGGGGAGGGGGGGGGAAGAGGGGAATTCACTTCCAAACTATACAAACAGATGGAAAATGTGATGTTACGTTGGGTTTTTTAACCCAATTATTTCTAAATTCATTTATGATCTTAATAATGTATCATAACACATATCTGTTCTCTGTAAGAGTAATTTAATTTGCATTTCACCTTGTTCAGCTATGAGTTCTTCCTTATTCCAATATATATTTATTGTATATAATTTGCATAAAAATTAAACATTCGGGCATTTTCTGCATGAAGATACAATATCAAAAATATACAAATTTGGCATATTAAGAAATATATGCTGAATATATGTGGAGTCCTGTAGCTCAGTGGACAGAGCACTCGCCTCGCAAGTGAGAGACCGTGTAATACTAGGAGTGTGAGGGGAAGACATTGTGTAACAATATTATTTTATTTGCTATTCTTATGTTGCTACTTCTACTTAAGAAAACTACTTAATATATGATATTTATTGTACCTATTTTTATTAACTTTGGAAATTGATTCAAAATTCTAAACTATTTCTATGATTATAATTGTGTATACTTTTGTATACATAGTTGTTGAAAAATCCCAAACATTGTAACTCAAACAACAACTTGCCTTTATATAGTGCCCCTTTCAATTCTGTAGAATTAAAATATGCACTTTAAACATAGATTTAATTTAAGATAAACATGTTAAACTCTTTCATGTTGCCAGTCTTTTCTGTCTGTCAATTCTTACCTTAGAATTTTGAATTTGTTTGTTTTGTCCAACCTATCTTGTTTCACTCTGATCTTTGTGTATCCAAAATACTAAATCTGTATTGTTTCTGTGTGACATGTTCCTTACACAACTAAATGTGGCTTCATACTGCATTGCTTTCTTTTCCCAACATTGACCACTGAATTTCACATTCACTAACACGTGTTTCCCATCGCTTACATAATGCATTAAAGTGCATTAATGTGTATCCATTATACATGCCTTTTGGAATCAACATGCCAATCAATGCGCAATGTGTGTGCTGCCAAGGATTCATTAAATTCTTCATGGCATTTGTTTTTTCATGGTGCTTATAGGTGCACACAAAAATGCTGAATATTTCTTAAGTAGAGGCACATTGTTTTGTGCTACTCATTTGGATCATAGGCCTTAAAGTTTGCCCAATGCCAGAGTTAGATGGATGTTATTAAAGTGCACTTCTATGTGCTGGCACCATTACAAAAGTGTTGAGGCTTAAGCTAAGTATCAACTATTCAGTGAGTTTTCAATGCAGAATTTTCACACTCACATATCAAATTTTCAAAATACTAATTTCAACGAATCAGAATATTAGACATTAGTTTTCCTCAGCTTTTACTGATTATTTTCATTCTTCCCTGCCCATCTTTATACTTTATATACAGTATTCCAGTTTTGGCATGTGGAATTTAAGTCTTCGTGTAAGGCCAAGATCAGGTTCGGCTGTCATGCTCTTTTTTTGGGCAGCAAAGTGAAATGGAACGTGCATTGTCTCCCTTGTAGAAAATGTGAAGGACAACTGTTTGGACACAGGTATATACACCGCAAGCTTAATATGTATTGGAACTTTACTATCATTCAAGAGCGACAAGAACAACCAGAGTGCCGTTCGCCCCTTCTCAGCACAGTCTCGATTGACAGTATCTGAACAAAAGGTGGTGCTCACCACTACCCCCAATTACCAATATGAATCAACAGTTCAGATGGATGCTTCTAGTGTGTGTAGTCAATACCTTTACAGTTCCCTCTGTCCTGCAGAGATATGATACCTCACTTTGGGGATTTTATCATTATATTGCACTGAGTGGCCCAGTGTTTAAGATGCTGATGCTCATCACAGTGAAATAATCTGCTGTCACTCGTTGTTCAGACTCACAAGTGAAGAATATCCCTTGGGATCAGTACTGGAGATTTGCTGATGCCCATGGAGCCATAGCCAAGTATGATGAGAACTTTTGGGGAGGGGTAAACTATATCAGTTTGAAGAGTGACATTTTAAGGAAACAGTCTCATTGCTAGTGGAGATCAAAATGATATATTTTAGTGAACTAATTTTCTGATCTACCCATTAATTCAGCACTGTAACTTAGGTTACAATATGTCCCATATTATAACAAAGATTTTGGCTGGATCCCAAACACTCCTCATAACAAGAGAGCCTTGTATGTTAACCCAAGAGACATTGAGGCACAATGCACAATTGAATGAGGTCAGCTTTGTATCCAGAGAGAGCAGTGTTTCCACATTGATAGCACAAACACTGTTGTCATTCGTACTGTTTTTATCCACTTGGCTTCAGTCCCATAGCAGTACTTCAATCATGAATTAGATAGAGATGGATTTGCCTCATTAACAAACAACCTGAAACATGAAGATGTAGATGAAATTTCAAAAGCTTGCAATTTATCATTGAACTGTGAGAATAATAAAGTATTTAACTCGAGGATGTAACAGAACCATTTAATATTTTCGATGTGTTGTTTTGTGTGACATTGTGACACATCATCTCAAAGAGAGATAGATAACTGTTTGCTTGTTAGTGTCTCTCAGTTCTCCACTGCTTCTACATTTATGCTTCCAAGCTAGTGGAAAGAGACAGTTAGGAATAAACATTTTTTTCTAAACGTTTATCGCTGTTGACATGAAATATGTTGGAGTTGTGGAGAGCGCTCTGATGTCACAACTGAAGTAGCCCAGCGAGTTCAGCACTGAATTTAGATTCAGAAAGTGTCGGCTTGACTACCCCAACTGCCAGCTCGCTGGACTTCCCAACTCTTCCCTCCACGAGCTGCAGACTATTCAGAACTCTGCAGCTCGTGTCCTCTCCCGCACCAGGCTCCGCAAATCAATCAATCACCCCTGTTCTTACCCGGCTTCACTGGCACCCCATCCCTTAGAGAATTGAATACAAAACACTCGTTTTCACCTTCAAAGCCTTCCACGGTCTTGCTCCCACTCTACCTCTCTTACCTCCTAACCCCATATCAGCCTGTCTGCTCCCTCCGCTCGGCAGACACCAGCCTGTTTCAGGTCCCCGCACTTTCCTCCCCACCATTGCCGGTCGAGCATCTCTGCCCCCACACTCTGAAACTATATCCCGCAATCCCGCCACCTCACCCCCTCTCTTGCCTCCTTTGAGTCCCATCTACCTTCCTTTTCGGCCACCCTCTCACCCCCATCCCCCTGCCCTCCACCCCTCCTGACCCCAACTCCCAGCTCAGGTCCAAAAACCCCTGACTGTCCAGTACCCTGGGACATCTTTCATGAAGAGCGCTATACAAGCGTAATTTGTTGTTGTTGTTAGGCTCAGATCTGTGTGATCTCTGAACTCTTTACCCTTTGGAGGTTGATAAAATTAGTCACAAATCTAAAAATAGATAAATGTCCTCTGTATAGGGTCTCGGGTTGAATTAGACAACTCTGAAGTAAACCAAAGCAGCCACTGTTGACCATTCTGCCTGCCTCTTCACTGGGAATCGAAGGTGTAGATATGGCTTCAACTTTAACTCAGTCCCAATAAGCAGAGTCCTAGTTTGACAAGCAGCATGAAAATTTGCATCACTTCCCATCATACTGATGAGATGCAAATATACCATTACATTACCTAGAAAACCCGTCATGCGCTAGCACCTCCCTATCTCTCTGATCTCCACCGACCCACTTCTCTGCTTGGCTAACTCGGGCTTGCCCTCCACCCTATCCTCCACCCTCCACTCCATCATTGAGCTTTCAGATTCTATACCCCAACCTTTGGAACTCCTTCCTCTGGCCCTCCATCTTGGGCCCCTCTCTATCCGACTTCAAGTCCAGGCTTAAATCCTACTCTCGACCATCCTATGGTCATTATCCCCTTCCTCTCCGCCCCCACTGTTGACAGTATGATGACAACAGGGTCAGGGTCAGTTACAATGGCTCCCACAGTCAAATCGCCTATCAAGAATCACGACGAAACCATTTTCTCTTGGACTCGGTACCAGAAAGTTGTCAGCACCTATGGAACTGTACCCCAGCAAGTCACTACAGGAGAGGAGGAGGGGGAGCAAAGTGACAAAATAATAATAATGATTACATTTGATATAGTATACTTGATATGGAAGGAGGACATTTAAAAGCACTTCACAGTGTGCACTATAAAATGTTGTCACTGTGTATTAGTCAATTTGCGCACAGCAATATCCCGCAAACAGCCATGAAGTGAATGATCAATTTTGTTAAATTTATGTACGACAAGAGATATGAATGCTGTGTGTTTGATGTCTTGCATAGATTTGACTGTGACAAGCTGCGAGATCGGCTGAAAAAAGAATACACAGCCGAGAAAGAGTCTGCTCTGGCTCACTTGCAGCAGGAGAAAGAGAGAGAAATGAAGGTCTTACAGGAAAAGTGGCAAAACACAGTAGTGGCACTCGAAACAGAGGTAGAAGGATGACAGAATCAAAGGATCGCACGTACATGTTGCAATAGAAGCATGCTGTCTTGAACAATGCCATTGTATTTACCTTTTTTTTCAAATGGCTATTGATTGAACTACAGTAATATTAATCCTGACAGGTTAAGTTGCTCAAATGTCACCTGATGAAAGAATAATAAAAAAGGTGATCAGCAAGTTTTACTGTTTCTCATTTAACACCCTTTTATAAATAAACGAGGGCAATATTGAGTCATCACAAGCAAAGCCCTGATAACTTACCAATGACAGAGGCACAAAAGATTAGGAAGGTCTTCCTCACACATGGAATATATCACTTATTCCAATGCTCCCTTTCGCATTCTCTATTAATAGAGCAGAAGGTGGATTTTAGATTAAAGCAGAGGTGGTTGAACTTTATGGTCAAGCCAAAAAATACATTTTCTTGATTGAATATTGATTTATGCCATAAGTCAAGGAATACTCAATCAAGGAAAAACTGAAAAAAAACTACCGATTGAACATGGACTTACCTAATACACTCATGCAAATGTTTGGAGGGTACTCCTTGAGGGCCCCACAGGCTAATTCCAGCCCGCGGGCCACAGGTTGAAGAATACTCAATTAAATTGTATTTCTTCAATTTTTTTTAAAATAAGGATTATCTCAAGAAGCATCAGTGGGTAATCGCACCCTCACTTCCCAACAGTAATTCTTATTCACTGTTGATTCTACATCCGTTCGACAAACGTCTCCAGTGTATGGTCTAAGAAGTTAATCATATTTTGCTGTACGTTCTTTCACTGGTGACCCTATTATCTGTTCTGAGTCATAAAATTATTTATGTTATAACATCACACAGATGAAAATGTTTCTTCCTAAGGATACATTACTGGAACTGAGAAGATTAAGTACCCTGATATTTCATGCATATTATCACAACCTAATATAAAACCTAGTGACTCATAATGGAAATTAGATGGTGGTGTTGAGTTAGGTGAGAACAATATTAGTGCAACGCACTGCCACCCCCACCCATAACATCCACTCTGAGATGGGAGAAGAAAAATATGTGACAGGAATACTCATTCAATTTAACTACACTTAAATTTTTAATAAGGGTGCATTTAACTGCATGTCTAATATTAAATAGACCTTGTATTTGATATAGCGCCTTTCACATCAGGGGAACGACTCAAAGCGCTTCACAGGTTTCTCTTGTATAGCAATCATCAGACAGTTAATAAGGAATGGCAATATTCACTAGAAATAAGTAAAACTTTTCTGAGATTTGTTTGGAAATTTTTAAGGGTGATTTTTGCTCAGTTAGAAACAAGACAAATTGTGGGATAACAAACAAAGCACCGGGACCAATAATATTATCTTTAGAATATAATTATGTTCACTCGTAAAACAATTCAAAAAGAAAAGATGCCTGGAGATGAATAAAAGCGAATCTTAAAAATACAATTTGGATATTTCTTTTCTTTTAGCTCATGGACATCAAGAAGAACTTAGAACAACAAATTAAAACATCTCAAGATGTTTTGCAGCTTCTTCAAACCCAAGTTGATGATGAGAAAGAAAAGATGCAGCAGGAACTTTGGGAGGTTACGGGTCAAAACGAGGAGCTTAAAGTGGAGCTCGCAAACTTGCAACAACAGATACTGGAGAATGTTGAGAGAAGGAAACAACAGGAAGTTATGGTAAGCGGTCTAATTTAAAAGATTTTTTTTAAAAAAGGTAGCAAAGAGGAACTGAAAAAAATAATAAAATAATTAATAATAATAATATGGTCACTCAATCCACGACTGTTTGTGAGACACTGCTGTGCGCAATTGGCTGCCACGTTTCGCCCACAAAACATAAGTCAATTCACTTTACAGCATATTCTGTGAAGTGCTTTGAGACGTCTGGAAGATGTGATAAGGCTCTATATCGAATGCAAGGATTATTATTATTATTATTATATCGAATGCAAGGATTATTATTAATATTATTACTGTGCTCAAAACAAGTGATCCGGATTTGTCATAGAATCATAGAAAATTACATGTGAAAATATTTCTCCTAAGTTCTCCTTTCACTCTTCTTGTGGTTTTCTTGTATCTATGTCCCCTCCCCAACCAGTGGAAATAGCTTCCCCCTTTTCCTCCTATCAAAACCCCTCTTAAATGTTGTACCCCTCTGTCACAAAACTGACTTGGACAATTGGCCTCAGAAGTGACAATTGGCCTACCACCAGGTAAGTGTAACAGCTGCAATAAGTGACCAGATTATTGAAGAACTGTGTCTGTGTTTCAAAGGAGGAAAATTACCAGAATCAGCTAAAAGTCCTAAAAGAAGATCTGTCAAAATCCAGAGTGAAGTGTCTGAGCTGCAGAAAGAGAAAGTGATTCTTCAGGACTCCACATCGCAGCTCAGTGCAGAGCTTGAGTTAAAGATTCAAGAGGCTGTGCAGCACAGCAACAGAGAAGAGCAACGACGCAGGTTTGTATTGCCTATATTAGTCAATGCAGCACTGAATATCGCCCTGCTTGTCGGCCTTAACAACTCTTCCTCCACAAGCTGCAGATCATCCAGAACTCTGCAGCTGATGTCCTCTCCCGCACCCTCTCCCTTGACCCCATTACGCCCACCCTCGCCCGGCGCACCACTGGCTCCTCATCCCCCAGAGGATCAAGTTCAAAATTCTCATCCTACCTTCAAGGCCCTCCATGGCCTTGCCCCCTCCCTAGCTCTCCGACCTGGTAAACCCTCATCAATCTGTCGGCCCCCCACCCCACCACCGCTCAGCAGGTTCCGGCCTGCTCCATGTCCCCCGCCCGCCCTGCCCCACCATCAGCGATCAGGCCTTCAGCCTCTCTGCCCTACCCTTTGGAACTCCATCCCCCAGTCCCTCCCTTGCCTCCTTCAAGGCTCATTATTACCCCCGGAAAAAATGATTAGCCATTACCAAATGCGGAATACAATGACGATTAATTCTAAAGTGTAGTAACCAGTTATCAATAGTTGAGGTTTTTTTTACTAAAATTAACAATGTACATAAAATAATGAGATGAAACTGTTAAGGAAAACATATACATATTGTAGCAAGTTTGAATTATGTACCAATGACCCCTGACGATAAGGGATATTATGTAATATTCTGCATGTACTTAGCATCAAACAAGCCAAATGCCAGGCACTAAAACAGTTTGTTGCTATAGAAACATACCTATTAGCTGTCAAAGCACACGTAGAAGAAAGAAGACAATTGTACATTCTCTCTAATGCGCTCCTTCCATCAATGTAATGAGACAATTGCAATTCAATTGCTTACATTTGAAAAGAGAAGAACACTCCAGGCCCATTGCATTTCGATTGCTTGATAAAGGCCACAATAAATTATAGTAAGTTTCTTTGTGGTTTTTGCCCAGATTCAGCACATTAGCAAACCATTGACTGTCCAACACCTTGGGACATCATCCCAGTGTGAAAGGTGCTGTATAAATGCAATCCGTTGTTGTTGATTAGGTTGCCCAGTATGTTTTTATTTTAGTTATAATCTAAGTAAGTTAGCAAAATTGAGTAAATTGATAAATAGGAGATAGTTGTTTTTCTCTCTGTAGAAAGCCAGTTCTCACTTCCTAAGCTGCTTACTAAGGCGATGTTATCCTATAACATCCACACACTTTCCAGGCCTGGATCCCAATCGGGTTTTTGAGCCAGAAAACGTTTATTGAATTTTATATGCACAGGGCTTGGTATCCATCTTGATTGGGGTAATAATTCCTTGAAAAAATACAAAATAAAAGTAATAATTTTGTCACTCAGTCCACGATTGTTTGTGGGACACTGCTGTGCGCAAATTGGCTGTCGTGTTTTGCCCACAAAATATAATCAATTCACTTTACAGTATATTATGTGAAGCTCTTTAAGACATCTCAATGCTAGGATTATTATTATTACAATGTAGAGAGATAGCTGCTGTGCAAACTCTACACCAACAACTGGTGGAACCATCACCCTGTGGGAAGAGACATGTGTCCGAGGTGTGGGCAGGAGGATGGTGGCAATGCTCTCACACATTTCACGCTGAGCTGTGATGTTCACCAGGCAGTTGCAGAGAATTGCTGGTAGCTGCCATCCACCTAGTATGAGCTCAAATCTGTGCTTGTCAGTTGTTAAATGATCAATTAGTGACTACCCTCCCTCGGGGAGGAGGTAAGTGGATCTGCTTGGAGCTGAACTGGCAATGGAATGTCAGAATCCAATCGGCCCTCTGTGTCGGTTCCTGAGCCAGGTGTGTCCACAGCACCGTTGTGCAGGCACTGCACCATGACAGAGCAGCCAACCTGGCTCAACAGCAGTACTTGGAGGGGCAGATCGCTCACTGTGTGCAAGGAATTTTTTTAAAATTGTTTTTTGCTAACCCTGGAAGCCAAAGCCTAAAAGAGTAGGGTGGTCCTAGTTGGACAAGTACTGCCATACATTATTTATGTCAACCACAAAAATAATACCAGAACACTTTTTGGGTGAGATGTGCAGATATTAGTTTGAAAATTACATGTCAAGTGTCCACCTTTTAAAAGGGAGGGAAGGATACATTTAGCCTATACTTTTTGTCCTCCACCAGTTGCTCTCCTTATCCATGCTGCTGAACACACTAAGTCTTCACTGAAGTTTCCTATCTTTGGTCTGGAGACACCACGCTTATTATTCAGCAATCAACGAAGGGTGCCATTCCTTTCTGCTTTCTATGGCTCAGAATCATACCACACCATGAATGCAGTCACTGAACATCTGGGGAGCTCTAACCTGACATTTTGATCATTTTTACCTATTCTTGAATTGGAGTCCTGCAGCTTATGGTTAGAGTACTCACTTTGAAAACAAGAGGACTTGGGTTCGATTCCCAGCAGGGCGATACGTTGGGCAAGTTTCCTTATTCCACACACCTCTGTTTACCTAGTGGTAAGTAGGACCCCGGTTATTAGTCATTTGGCGGATCACTTTTCCGGGGTAATAATAATTCCTTCAAAATAAATAATAATAATTTGGGCACTCAATCCACCAATGTTTGTGGGACACTGCCGTGCGCAATGGCTGCCGTGTTTCACCCACAAAAATATGCAGTTAATTCACTTTGCAGTATATTCTGTGAACACTTTGAGACGTCTCGAAGACGTGATTCGGTGCTATATCGTGTTCAAGGATTATTATTATAGATTCAATGGAAAATTAAAAACAGGTGGGGCAGATGATTGAATTATATCTGAGAGAATGGTGCAAGTGAATTTCAGATACTTTGATGTGAGAGCAAATACAGATGTAAAGTAACTCAGACCACAGAATGCTCTTTATGCAGAAGACGAGTGTGATGTATTCTGCATATTTGTGCCTGGTATTTTTTTACAACTATTCTGGGTGTCCTTTGGGCAGCTAACGCACATTTATAAGTGCTTAGAGATGGGTGTTACAGAACACTCAGCTTTTTGTCAAATGGTATTCAGAAGTGTTTTTCTCACCTTGAATAAATCATACCAACAGCTCCACCAATGCCTTAGTGAGTTTGTTCAGTGGCTAACTCAACCATACAAGCCCCTGATTTCACTCACGTCTATGCTAATTTAGAGGTGCAGCAGTTGATCTCAGCGGCCAGTGCTACAGGGAGGGGGGAAAATCAGCAGTTCCTGATCACTGTCTTTGTTGTAAAGTGTCATGCGTGAACGTCAGAGACAGGAACAAGCTGGCTGTAAGTCCTCCTGGTTGTGAAGCCTGTGGAAGCGTATCAAAAATAGAAGGAAAAGAAGGAGTTAAGTGCCTCCGGAGCAGGAGGGGAGCAAATTGGAGGTGAAAGTTAGCAAGGGAAGAACAAAGCAGTAATAAAGTCATTGGTCTGTATAAGAGTGATCATGAGCAGCGATCTCAGTGATGCTGCTTTTATTTATGTGTTATTTAATTTCCTACAATCAATATTAAAGGTCACTGGAAGAGGAATTTAAGGCCAAACATGAAAAGGAAATGAACTTCCTACAACAGAATCATCTGAAAGAAATCCAAGGCATTGTGTCAGATTTCAGCAGCTCCCAGACCCGTCTCCAAGCAAAGATAGTTTCCTTGGAAACAGAGTGAGTGGTACAATTGCTATAAAAATATTCAGTTGCGCAGACTAAATACATTATCACTTAAGTCTGAGACTGAGAACCACCAAATTAAGCTGCACTCATGTATTTGATATGACCTACATTAAGGTATCTTTTCAAGCTGATTCTTTAATATACTCTGGTATTTATTCAGCACTATAGCAGACACAGTGATATGTAATTAGGGGCAGAAGCAGCTCAAATGGTGGAGCAAGTGACTCACTTAGAAACTAGAGCATCAAAATAGAACACATTGAATCGACAACTCACAATTGCGCAATTGGTTGCCGCGTTTCGTCTACAAATATACAGTCAATTCACTTTACAGGCATATTCTGTAAAGCACTTTGAGACGTCTAGAAGATTAATACAAACGCAAGGATTATTATTATTATCATTATTATTATTAACTCTTTCCGTTTTTATTGACATTTAATTATGAAGCATGTACAGTATACATAAATGCCTAATGGGATCAGTGCTAATACTTCTAATAGTATTTGATTAATAGGAATCATTGAACCATGGATCATATACTGCGTCAGTCTGCTCACATACATACTTCTATCTTATTGGAACTATTAAAAGCATTTATTCTGGGACTTCATGGTTAGATCCTATGCCCATCTAGAGCCACGTGCAGAGAGGGCCAAATATGGGCTCACATCATATCCACACATCCCTATGTCAACCAGTTCATTGCAAACTGGCAAGATCTGAGCATGCACTGTTGGAGGTGTAATTCAGCAGGTGCAACATTAAACTGAGGTCCAATCCGCCTGTTCAAATGGACATTACAGATCCCATGGCATCTTCCAAAAGAGAAGGGAATTTATTTTAGTGTCCTGACCAACAATTCTCCAGATAAACATTGGACATTCACTTCATGGCTGTGTTTATTTTGCAGGGCACAGATGTGCGCAAATCAGCTGCCTAAGATACGCAGTCACACCACTTTACAATAAAATTCTGTGAAACACTTTGGGACATTTTGATGAAGAAATCAGGCGTTATATCAAATGCAAGAAATATTATCAGCAAATGTAACTACATTGTGAGCCTGTGAAGTAAGGTAATTGTGTATCCTAGGAATAGAAGGGATCTCTTAATGGACCCTTGAAGCTCCCAAGTCAATATTTACCCCAGTTTTGACTTTGTGGCTCTCTGTCTATTACTTCAGCCAGTTAGTTGTCTATGGTCCATGTCCATGGTTTATCCTTGATACTCAGGAACATCAGTTTGTAAAGAAATCTATTTCTCATTCCACACGTCTGCTCTGACCGAAAATCATTGCGTAGTGTCCGTTTATAAAATAACTTAACATTCTAATTTATTGATAGCTGTTTCCTGATGCTGCCTCTCTTACAAATCTGTAATCGTTTGCAGACAAAAAGAGATGGAAGAAAAATTCAGGAAGCGTGAGTCCAAATCAGAAGGCATACAGCACATAAGCAAACTTCAGGATACGCTGTATGATCGTGACCAGACTATTAAAAGACTTCTGGTAAGCACTTGCACAATAACAAGTGACATTCTGATTGAGGCATTTACTGTAGTTAGAAGCCAGCTAAGGGAGGCTTGAAATTATTCTGGGGAAAAAGAATCATTCAGTCAATTGAGTTAACATTTCTTAAAATTAAAACACAGCTTATTTATGAGGCTGGTATAAATATTCAGCGAGGTCTAAATATTGTCTTAGGATATTAAAATCATGTTTATTTTCATGCATGTTAAGAGCTTTTGCGACACGCATTTTGAAATGTCACATTTCACTATGTATTAGAGTTGAGGAAACATGTACATTAAAACTCCTGAAGGCAGATGTTCTCATATTTCAAAGAGAAGGTTATTTTATTTTAACATTTGTAGTTCCTGAAAAAACAAAGAATTTTGATGAGGTGATGAGATGACTTACATTGTAACTTACTGAGGAGAGACACCTTGGACATGAACAATATCTAGAATGGGAACAGTTTCATTTACACTCGAGAAGTTAGTCTTGCTCAGTGATATTCCAATCTGGTTGCCACAAACACTTCACTCTTTGGGGATTTCATAACACAATATCACAATAAATCTGTTAAAATACATTTCAAATGATTATTTTCAGCTGCTTTTTGTAGTATACTGCAGCATAACAGTCTGGCCTGGAGTTGGACAAAGCTCCTGACCATCTCCATCTTTGTATTCTTTGGATTTTTAAAAACTGTTTTAAGGACATTGTCTTTTCCTATAGACGATGCATGTTTTATATGAGGGCAAGAATTTCCTCCAACTACTCCCTAGATCTCTTAATTATAAGTTGGTCACTCAATCCACGCCTTATTGCTTCATCAAAATGTCTCAAAGTGTTTCACGGGATCTTATGGTAAAGTATTGTGACTGTGTATTTTAGACAGGTGATTTGCACACATATATGCCCCGCATTTGACCCATATGACCCATGTGTCGATTCCCTTCAGACCCACTCACCTGCTCTTTTCCCATACCTATGTAAATCTTTGGGGAGAACATGCAGATAGGCCTCCCCTTGTTTGTCCGAAATATTCACATTCAAGTTGGACTGCCTTATCTACGTAATCTGAGATAAACCCACTCATTCCAATAAAGTTCATTCTTGTTTTATTATAAAGATTAATTTCATAAAAGTGTTATTGTCTTGGCAGGATGAGAGAAGGTTTCATCAGATGGCCATGGCAAACAGCGAAAATAACATCAGTAGGTCTTTTGCCCGGAGTCCGTATGCTGGAAGCTTCACACCTACCATGAAGGTACCTTAATTTTCATTTTACCACAGGATAAATAGACTTGGCAGTGAGATTTGTGAAAGACCTTCCATTTCCATTCCATTTGACAGGACGTCAAGTCAACCAAATGGAACCATAAAATGTTTATGAAAGGAGGATGCTGGGACTTTTATTAATATGTTTATACCTCTCTCCTCTCCAATTGTGGAATCCATCCGTTTCACATTCTAACAATCCTCTGTCAAAAATAATCTCTCCATTTCTTCTGATAATAATCAACCACAAACAGCAGCTTGCATTTACATACTATCCTTCACCCGGGGTAGCTTCTCAGAGAGCTTAAATTTATCCTCAATTAATGTCTTCCTGCTAAGAATTCACCGATCAATGGAAGTAGTGCTTTTGTTTACCTTATCAAACCATTTAGGATTGATAAAGTTACCAAAGAGTCTTGGGCAACATCACGATTGGAAATGTTTATTGGTAATTAACCCATGTCGATCAATGATATTTCCATTATAAAGCCATAGTGAGAACATTGCTTTTTTTTCTCCCTGTTGTATTTGTAAATATATATGACATTTATTTATAAGACATTTAGTAAAAAAAGGCCTCTAAACAGGGAGACAGTGATGGACACGAGGTGGAGACTGATGGGCTTGTGCTACTTTTTCTCGCTCAATAAATGACAACTTACTTAAAACAACACCTGCCTCTGACTCCACACATTACAGTACTCTCTTGTTCATTTCGCCCACAAAATACACAGTCAATTCACTTTACAGTATATTCTGTGACGCACTTTGAGACGTCTCGAAGACATGATAAGGCGCTATATCAAATACAAGGATTATTATTATTATTGATGTCATTTGATTCCTTTTTCTATTTACTGAGCTACAGTTCCACAGGCACCCTTAGGTAGCTCATCCAAGTGACTAACATTCATGTGTCAAAATTAACGATGAAGGTTGGCAAGCTGTTTAACCATAGGGTACATCACAGCCCAGCCCAATGCTGTGCTCACCCAGCCTCCAACACATGCATCTTCCAGCAAGTGTCTCTGGAAAGCAGTCAAAATCCCTGGCTGCCTTCACCTCCATAACCCAGGAGCATTAATGCCAATTCTAGAAAGAAAGAACTTCCATTTTATAGCATCTATTTTTNATTACAAAATGTCTCAAAGCATTTCACAATAATTGTTGTAACATGTAGTGATTGTTCAAGTGCTCCTGGATGTTACCCTGCATGAAGGGCGCTATACAAATGCAAGTTGTTGTTGTTGTTTCTGTAAGTAAACATGATGTTTTGCTCACAGTAAGGTCCCACGTGAGCTGAATGACCAATTTTAGCTGGAGGATCTATTGCCATGAAACTGTGAGAAACTCCTTTCTCTTTTCAAATAGTGACCTTGCCTTTTTATGGTCAACGTTTGGTCTAATTTTGGCTGATATATATGTTCTTGCTTGGAGTAGAGAACTATGAAACAGTGCCCTGGTGATTGCTTAGGAAACTTGTGAGGGATAACAGACAGTGTGAAGTTATTTTATTGTCAGAGTGTGGCAGTAAGATTTGAGAAATGGAGATACAGACATCTCTTAGTTGTTATTTACAGACAGTGTTCATCGCCGCAGATGAGTGCCACCTCACAGCTATCTAGACTTGTTTCAACTGCCCATGGCCTGGGAGAAAAAAGTTCCAATTGACTTGCTGTCGCACATAACGCTGAACAATTCCCAAACCCCAAGCACACGAGATGTAGGCTATTTATCAAATGCTATACTGGGCATATTTTTCAGATCGGCTGAATATAGTGCGACCTGTATTTCATGCTGGCCTAAATACTAATGTTGCACTTTGCCAACCAAGAAATCCAACATGCACACGTACCTGAAATTTGTCAGTAACATACAAATATAGCAGCAATAAAATGGCTGCGAAGAGTAGACAATCTTGACTAATTTGCTTAAATATCACAAAAGGTAAAATAAAAGTTTCCCAGTGATGACCTGGCCACTATTTTAAAAATGCTCTAAAAGCTACTATTTAAAAGCCTATTTATAATTAATAAATAATCATTGCATTTGATATAGTGCCTTATCACGTCTTCGAGACGTCTCAAAGCTCTTCACAGAATATACTGTAAAGTGAATAGACTGTATATTTTGTGGGCAAAACGCGGGAGCCAATTGCGCACAGCAGTGTCCCACAAACAGCCGGATTGAGTGGCTAATTTTTTTTAATACATATTTTTTAAGTGATTATTATCCTCTAAAAAGCAATCCAGCCAATTAACTAACAACCGGGTACCTACTTACTGTTAGGTGAACAGAGGAGTATTTCACTTTATTGCAATCGGATTGAACAGTAATCCCATATAATATCATCCCATCACATCTGTTCCTTACCGATTGCGTCAAATGAGCATTTTCAGGGCTACAAAAGATAATAATAATGAAGGTGATGCTGATGATGATGTAATCTGAACTATTATTAGTACAAAAAATAATAAACAAGATGATTGGAAGATCAGGGTAATACATTAGTAAAGTGTTGTCTGGCCTTTAGGATTGTAGTTCAGTTTTCAAACATTAGTGAGTATTTTTCGTGTAGGCAGTCGATTAACAGTGTTAAATGTTCTATTTTTCCTCATAATTCTTAACCTTAGAAAAAGAAAACAGAAGACGTGCCAGTGCGGGTGGTCAGTGTTCCAAACCTGAGCTCATACGAGAAAAGCTTTCTAAGCTTTGAGTCAAGTTCAACCAATAGGTTTCCTCCAATGACTAAGTCTCCAAGCCTGGACCAAAGTCTCAGTAGTACATCGAGGCCGTTCCTTCAGCCTTTCCGGTCCAGCAATCAAAATCAGTCCAAAGGTAATAATGCATTGCAGCTTATAAACGTCTCAAACTCTTAACTTACCTTAGTTTCCTTTAAATATTAAGTCTGGTAATTGGATTCAGAGAGAGTAGTAAAGCAAATACCAGCATCTGGATTATACCTGAATCTGTATGGAATGCAGATACAGAATATCACCTTTTGGCTTGCAACAAATAAATGCTATTACATCTATGTAGAATCTGGATGGATTTAAATAGATCACCCATGGCAGTGGAGAACAAACATAGGAACACACTGCACCTTTTCGCTGGTCCCAAAGTAATAAACAACTTTACATTACAATTTTGGTCATATTTTCTCACTATATAGCTATCTAATTTATCCTACTGTCCTTTCAAATTACAGTATTTGGTAAATATACATCACAAAATGCTAAATATTACAGCCTAATTTGTGATGTTTCCTACCTAGATTTGTTGTATTATTTGCAATTTCCAGTTTGCTCCTTCTGGATTGCAAACTTCATAGCCTGTGAATCCCTAGTCACCAAAGTCCCAAAATGATATTGACAGTAGGTAATGGCTGACTACCTTGTCTGTCAGCCTTTTGTCAGATCTTGCTAATGTAATTGGAGTCCTGCAAGTCTCATAAACTAGAAGTTGCAAATTGAACTCTCCCACTGCGGAGATCTGTAAATGTGAAAATGGCTGAGATACACATAAACTTTAGTCATTCTAAAGTGACCTTACAAGTGATTCACTGGTTTGCTTTTTTTATTATATTTGACGAAGTAAAAAAAAGGATTCTAGTTAAGGAAATTTGTCTGGCAGTTAGTAAAGTCTATAGGAGGGACGCTGATGGTGATAGCCTATGAGAGTGAAGCCCCAATGGTTTATGGATGTCATCGCAATCTAAAATGTATTGCAATGTTTTGGCACCTCTGCCACAGTCTTATTAACCTGAAAAAAGCTACTACACAGTTAAAAGTGATGCTTCGATTACTTTGAACGAAGGAGTGAGTGGATTGTCATAAGGATATGATGATTTTTTCATCAATATACAGTAAAATAATATAGAAAATAAATCTACCGGAATAATCATAAGAAAATAATCTTACTGAATTCTTAAGATGACATCATAAATTCTGAGAGCAATACAATCCTGGTTTTATTCCATTTTAAAGACTCTCAGCAACTATTATACTTAATATAACAAATCTGTTATTTATAACAGTATTATATATTATGATAATAAAATCCTTACGTTTGATATAACACCTTTCAAGTCAGGAGAACATCTCAAAGCCCTTCACAGCATGTATATCAATTTGTGACTGTGTGTTTTCATGGCCGAATGTGGCAGCCAGTTTGCGCACAGCAATGTACAGCAACTTGGCTCGACCAGACATATGATTTTAACATGTACATTTTTAGCATTAAACATCTAGAAGCCAACATATTTCTGTCACTGATCTAACTTGCATTGTGGAGTTATCAAAATGAAGGGAGATTGCAGTAATGCATGATTGCCTGTCTTTACTGCTGTTTATTTTACAGCTCAGTACAAGTTTCAAATCCTATGTGAAAACTGTGATAACATATTCACTTATTATGATTCTGTTAAGAATCATTAAGAAAGAACGTGCAATAATTAATGTCTGAAAAAGTACAAGGAGAAGAGTTATTTACACTGGGATAGAGCTGGCAAACTGGCACTACTACAACAACAACAAAATTACATTTGTATAGCGCCTTTCATGTCAGGGGGTCATCTCAAGATGTTGGACAGTCAGAGTTTTTGATCTGAGCTGGGGGTCGGGATTGGGGAGAGTGGAGGGCAGGGGGGAAGCAGGGTGATCAAAAGCATGGTTGAAGAGGAGGGACTTGAGATGGGTCTTGAAGGAGGCAGGGGAGGGGACTGCGGGATGGAGTTCCAGAGGGTGGGGGCAGGTTGGCAGAAGGCTTGCCTGCCAATAGTGGGGTGGGTGAGATGGGGACATGAAGCAGGCCGGAGCCCGTTGAGCAGACGGAGCAGGCAGGATGGAAGGGGTTTAGGAGGTCGCAGAGGTAGCAAGACCTTGGATGGCTTTGTAGGTGAGGACCATGATCTTGAACAGTATCCTCTGTGTGATAAGAAGCCAGTGGAGTCGGGCGAGGATGGGGGTGATAGGGCCACAGAACCTGGTGTGGGAAAGGACATGGACTGCAGAGTTCTGGATGATCTGCAGCCTATGGAGGGAGCAGTTAGGGAGGCCGATGAGCAAGGAGTTTTCATAGTCGAGCCTCACTGTAATGAAAGAATGTATGAAGGTTTCGGCGGCCTTCGGTGTGAGACAGTGTTGGAGCCGGGCGACGTTGCGGAGGTGGGGGAAGGCAGAGCGGTCGTGGCACGCACGGATATGGGGTAAAAAAGATAGTTGAGGGTCAAACAAGATGCCAAGGTTCCGGACTGGCTTAGTAAGGTGGAGTGCGCAACCATGGATGGTGATGCTGTCAGCGCCTGAGGTGTGGAGGCGCTGATGCAAACCAATCAGGAGAGCCTCGGTCTTGTTGATTGATGTTCAACTGAAGTTAGCTCTGATCCAGGACATTTTGTCAGGGCAGCAGTGGTCCTGGAGTCAAGGGTGGAGGCAGAGAGGTACAGTTGGGTGTCATCCGCATACATGTAGAAATTGACCGCATGTCTGCGGTCATGATGTCACCAAGAGGGAGCATATAGATATTGAAGAGGAGGGGATCAAGAACAGAGCCATGAAGAACGCTGCACAAGACGGTGTGGGGGCTAGAGGAGAAACCAATTATGGAGATGAAGTGGAGGCGGTGTGAGAGGTACAATCTGAACCAGTCAAGGACAGATCCATGAAGGTTGAGATGAGAGGAGAGGCGCTGGTTGAGGAAAGAGTGGTCAATGGTGTCGAAGGCAGCAGAGAGGTCAAGGAAGACGAAGAGACAGGGAGCCCTGGTCACAGATAGACAGAATGTCATTTGTCACTTTGACCAGTGCTGTTTCTCTGCTGTGGGAAGCACGGAAACCCGAATGGAGGGGTTCGTGAAGAGAGTGGCGAGAGAGGAAGGCGCGAAGCTGGGAAGCAACAACTTGGACTTCGGAGAGGAAAGGAAGGTTGGAGATGGGGTGGTAGTTTGAGGACAATGATGGAACCAAGGAGGGATTTTAAGAATAGGAGTGATGACGGACATTTTTAATGAAGTGGGAACAGTACCAGTGGACAGGGAGAAGTTTATTATGTTTGTGAGTAGAGTGCGAGGTGGAGCTGGGAGGTAAGGAGAGGGGTAGGGATGGGGTTGAGGGAGCAGGTGGTCGGTTTCATGTCCATTATAGAGGTGGTGAAAGAGGATTGGGAGGCAGATTCGATGGGGAGGGGGTAGTAGACGGAAGGGCAGAGGCAGCTGAGTGGATTCCCTCAACTTTGAATTTGAGGAAGTCCAGCGTTGCCTCACAGTTGGCATTGGAGGTGAGGATGGGCGAGGCGTGAGAGGGTAGAAGAGCCTGGGGTTATACTTGGCCTCCAAGATTGTCTTGGGAGTAAAGTAACGATTTAGCGGAGGCAAGGGCGGAGGGTAGGATTTGATAAGGTCCACGCAGATCTGCCGATGGACCGTTAAGTTTGATTTAAGCCAGGTGATGACTAGGAGGGAGTGGGCAAAGTGGGAGGTGAAGTATCCAAAACAGTGTTAGAAATGTGTTGTAGAGAGGAAGGTTAATTCTATTAGGAAATCTTCATGATCAGTTCTTTTTGTTATATTTGCAAATACCACTAATAAATAACCTTTGATACAGCACCTATATCTTGAAAACATCTAAGTGCTTTTCAGGGAATTAAGATCTAATTTAGAGACTGCATTTGTAGACAAATATGGCAGTAATTTGCACACCGTAATGTCACACAAATAACCATGAAGTGAAAGAACAAATTTTATCTGAGGGATTTCAATTAACAGGGGAAAATTGGAATAAAGGCATAATGTCAATGAGAAGAATGAGAAGGTATCAGGTGCATGGGCATTTGTGGGACATTACTGTGAGCGAAACTGCCTGCTGAATTTCGCCCACAAAATACACAGTCAATCCACTTTACAGTATATCCTGTGAACTGCTTTGAGATGTCTCAACGACATGATATCAGATGCAAGGATTATTATTATAAGACCAATTTATGAATTGCTCATTTTCAGAATTCTAATTACTTAAAAAGCGTATCCCTACCTCAGGATAAAACTGTCATTGTGATAGCGCTATATCTATAGGTTACTGTACTTTAGCTCCTGATTTTATTCACAGTGGTTCAAGATACTGCTGCAATCCAGCCATATTTTGAATGAAAAGGCAGTTGAATATCAAACAAAATGTTTTACTTTGCTTTGATTTATATACTGATCTTATTCTTTGATTACTAATTTATTTGTTGTTATTTTGAACTCTTCAGCACCATTGATTCAGCAACAAGCAAAAACAAGGCTATAGAAAGAGTAACAGATGGGTGAAACGTTTTATGACAAAATAATCTCATTGAGGCTCACAGAATCTCATTAACCAAGAGTAAATCTTTTGAGCAGTTTAGTGTCGTCTAAATAAATCCCATTGCGCATTTCTTTTAATCATAAAACATAGGTCACACGTAAACCCATCACCGTGCTTTAAGTCGACCAGGGTCGATTTATCAGGAGCTTATTGTACAATGTTAAATGCTAGTCTAATATGTAAATACGGTTGTAACAACCCAATGACTGAAAGCAAATTGAGTGTTTCTGTTAACATTGCAGCACCACAAATGAGGAAAGAATTGACAGCCAAGGAAGTAAAGGACAAGATCTTGAACAGCAGGAATGGTTCACTAAATATTTTTCATTCTAAGAATGAGCTGTGTGTAGATTTTGTGATATTTGACCTCTGTTCAGTGTATTAAAGTAGTATTTATTTCCATTTTGTAAGTTATGTTCTCACTTTTTTGTTATTTCCCCAAAATCTCCAGAAGCTGAAATACCAGCTTAGGCAGCCCGATTTGCCAAGGACCTGCCAGTGTTGCTCTTGAGTCAGAGTTTCATGAGATCAGTTATGTTTGAATTCACCATACATTTTACCCCTCTTCTTCTTAGTGAAATTCCTCAAGTCTGCTCAGCACATTTTCCAGAGAGTTTTAACTGCACTTGGCAACTTGCCACGTGGCAATTGTGGGAGAAAACTTGCACCTCACCACTCTGTGGTGCAGACATTCAGCACAATAGCATGATTTCCAACTAGACCTCATCTTTCGAGAAACTTTATAGATTGTTGTCTTGCACTTGCTTTTTGCTGTTGATTAAAAGAAAAACGTTCTAGCAGATGTTTATTATCAAATCTAGTTTGTGTAATCTGATGTTGATTAATGCTTTTGTAACACTTGTGCTTTCTAATGTGTATTTTCAATAACATCCTTGTGCCATCAATATAATTTGAAAAAAANGATTTATTGTTGACTACCATGTCTGATTGAGCAGATCTGTTTTGTGTAATAGATGCAATGCCTTATGCCTTGCTGTTTGCAAGAAGCATGGTAAGACCGATAATGGAATACTACCTCGATGGAATACTATTCAGAGAAAAGTTAAAACAATGCAAGTTAGCACTGAGGCGACAGAATAACGGCTTAGTGGTTAAATGTTACTCAGTTACTTAATTGGAGACATCAGATTCAAAATAACTTGTGCTTTTCTGCTTTTAGAAGTGAAATACTACTTGCTGCATGTAAGCGTTATCTAAAAGATTTTGTAATGAGGGTAGCTATTCTCTGTTAAAGCAACACAACACTGCTGTTTAGCACTAGTAGAAAATAAGCTGTCTGCTAGAATTACATCCTGTCAGATGACAGCACTCACATTAACATTCACTGCTAGAAGTCAAACCGGGTATTTTACACCTGAAGTATGTTCCTTATTGCCAAGCAAATGCGTCATAGACATATGGGCCAAGGCAGTAGGTTTGGGCTGAGCATGTCTATTAAAATAAAACTGAAATAAGCAACAATGTCTTTGATTACAGGGAAAGTGACTTCCTGGACATGGGACATCAAGATTCTAGTTGTTCAGGTTTTTGAAAAAAAAACTTACCATATACAGATTGTCGTTAAGGGTCTTGCTCCTGAATATACAGGGTGTCCACAAAGTCCTCTTATCTCCCCATTACAAAACAGCAATACGAGACTAAGAGAGGAGCTGAAACGAGCTGTCAGAGATGTGTTTTCCCTCGTCACTGCATCATATTTGGAAGATGTCGCACCAACCATGGTGATAAATTATTATCTTCATTCTTCCACATGTCTTCCACAGAGCCTCAGGGCTCTGTCCTCGGTCCCCTCCTCTTCACCCTCTACATGCTCCCCCTTGGTGACATCATCCGCAGACATGGGATAAATTTCCACATGTATGTGGATGTCACCCAACTCTACCTCTCTGCCTCCACCTTGAGCTCCAGGACTACTGGTGTCCTGACCGACTGCCCGTCCGACATCAAGTCCTGGACAAGGGCCAACTTTCTCCAACTCAACGTCAGCAATACCGAGGCCCTCCTGATTGGCTCGCGCCAGGGCCTCTGCACCTCGGGCGCTGGCAGCATCAGCCTCCACGGCTGCACACTCAACCTCACTAAGCCAGTCAGGAAGCTGGGCGTCTTGTTTGACCCTGAACTGTCCTTTCTCCTCCACACCCACACCATGATCAGCACTGCCTACCGCCACCTCCATAATATTGCCAGACTCCGCCACTGCCTCACCCCTCAGGCTGCCCAAACCCTCACATTCGTCACCTCAAGGCTTGATTACGGGAACTCCCTCCTCATCGGCCTTCCCAACTCTTCCCTTCACAAGCTGCAGATCATCCAAAACTCTGCAGCTCGTGTACTCTCACTCACCAGGCTCCGCGACCCCATCACTCCCACCCTCGCCCGACTCCACTGGCTCCCCATCCCCCAGAGGATCGAGTTCAAGATCCTCGTCCTCACCTTTAAGGCCATCCATGGCTTCGCCCCCTCCTACCTCTCTGACCTGCTGACTCCCTACCAACCTGACCGCTCCCTCCGTTCATTGGGCTCCGGTCTGCTCCATGTCTCCCGCCTGACCCGCCCTACCATCGTTGGCCGGGCTTTCAGCATCTCTGCCCCCACACTCTGGAACTCCATCCCACGGTCCCTTCGCCTCCTTCAAGGCCGGTCTTAAGACCCTTCTCTTCGACCGCGCCTTTGGTCTCCCTCCCACCTCTCTGCCTTCCCTCACCCGTACACCACCCCTCCCCCATGCTCAGGCCCCGACAGCTGACTGTTCAGCGCTTTGGGACGTCCTCCCGACGTGAAAGGCACTCTACAAATGTAATTTTGTTGTTGTTTTAGTTGTTACACTGTAAAGAAAAGTGGGGTAACAGGTCTTCGTGGACAGCTAGAATCTGGGCGATTGTGGTGATGATTGCCAACTATCAGGTGTATTAAACACTATGGGCATTCAACAGGAGCTAGTGTACAGGGGTTTGGCAGTGCACCAACCCCACCCCCAACTACCCCTGGCACTGAAGGAGCTCCTCTCTGTCACCCGAGGATACACCGCTCAGTAAGTGTTTGGATCTGTGGCAGAACAAGTGTGATTTCCATATAAACAGAGAACATGGTGCTTTCTGTACAGGTTTTTTTAATGATGTAATTTAATGGATTAGATTGTAAATATGATGTAAAATAAACTGCAGTTTATTTGAAGGTTGTACGCTGAAAAGCATAGCATTTACTGCTCAAATCCAAGCTGTCACTCACCACTCTACCTATTCTCTCACCTAGAGTTTTTAAACAAGTGTTATTTACTCGTTTTGTTTTATAATATAAAATGCTTTGACAATAACTTGAATTTATGTAGCACCCCTCATGCGTGGTACTGTCTTGGAGTGCTTCACATTACGCATCTAGCATTTAATGTACCGGTAGGCTATAGAGGGATGAGCCAAATATACTGTCAATGCAGTTCCTTTATACGATTTATATGATATTTATATGATTAAGTAGTCAGCCTCAACCTCACTGTTGTAGGGAGATGGCAAACACAGTACAAGTATTTTCCCTCCTGGGGTACAATCAGAGGCAGGCAATGTGGTGGTGGAGGAATGCTGTCCTAGTCAGGCACTGGATATGGGATAGGAAGAACCGCTGAGGATTGAACCTAATGCCTAGGTTGCGTAGATATCAGTGTGGGAGACTGGGGAAGTTAAGGACGTCAGAGCTGCAGGTGAGAAGACGATAACAGGAGCCAAGGAGATGGCTTCTGCCTTGTCAACATTCAGCTCCAGAAAGTTGGTGGCCATCCAGGCTTTGATATCTGACAAGCAAGAGGACAAAACATCGGTAGGCCTGGGGTTGTGGCTGCAGGTAAAGTAGATTTGGGTGTCGTCCACCTACATGTGGAAGTTGGCTTCATGTCTGCGGATGACATCACCAAGAAGGAGCACATGTAAACAAGGAAAAGGGGCCAATGGAACTTTGGGGTATTCCGTAGGAGACCGGGCGAGTTCAGGAGGAAAGGATATTTGCAGTGATTTAATAAAGGCTTTAAATCTAAGGAAATTGATGTGGTGCAACTCAGAAGACTGCAGAATAGGTGGGCCTATTCGACATCTAAGGCCACAAATATGATCCATCTAGATTGAGATGCTCCATCACACACTGAATAAATCTGGTTTAGTTTCTACCAATATTGTACAAAACGACCAACAGAACAACCGGGTGCCTACTTACTGCTAGGTAAACAGAGGCATATTGAATCAGGAAACTTGCCCAAATCACTGGATTTATTCTAAGACTGAAAGGAAAAATGTTGAGACAATTATTTTACAACTATCCCAATTATTATCTCTACTATTCTGCTGGTACAAGATTTCTTTTTATCACTAATTCAGAGAATTAAACATTTTAGAAATAAATTATAAACTAAACAACGTGTCAAAGATCTTGTTTAGTATTATTGTAGAAATATTACATGGCAGCTTTACAAAGGAATGTAATTTTGGTAGTACAAAATATTTTACAATTGTTTTCAATAACTTTATTTAGAAAAAAATAAAAACTGTTTACATTTAAGTAAAAGGAAATAAAATTTCTGCAGATCAGAGATCCCAACGTATCAAAGTATGCTTGCCGTTTTATTGAAAGAAGAAATTTGAATGCAATAGCTCTTCAGCAGACTGATACTTCAGAGCTTCATTCAAGAACTCCTCAAATTTTTCTTTACGTGTCTTGAGGGCGATTTTGGCTCTTTTCTTGTACTTCATATTTAACATTTTCTCAGCTAGGTAATGCAACCACAACACATTTGAGTGTGGGTTGTAGTCAGACCACTTGTTGCTAAGAAATAAGAAAAAAACATAGGCATGCAAGTTTCAAAATCGGTTTACAAGAAAGCATTTTTGAAGGTACTCTTATTGAGGATTTCTGGACTGCACGCCAGATTGCAACCCACAGAGAGGAATCAATTTGAAATATCAAACACGTGTAGAAATAAACAAAAGATTGTGGCAACTATGTGAATTTTTCAACTATTAATTGAACTGTAAAATGTAAAAAATCACTTTTTTGAATGACATTTGTTGTTACAGTGTTGCCCTGTTGTAACACACTTCACTATAGTACAAACTCACTTATAGCACAATTATTCATCACACATGCGCATGTCAAGGGTTTCTCAAAATGTTTCACACAACTGACTTGAGCCTGAACAGGTGGGGAGAGAAGGATCGGGAGATTGATGAGGAGAGGGGAAAGATGGTTGAAAAAGATAGGTTTGAACGGACAAACTGTCCAATGTAAAAGGTGCTAGTGGAATACATGCACAGTCAAAGCTGCTATCTTGCCTCTCAATAGCATGGGTTTGGATTTTATGGATCGTTATAATGGGCTCCTCTGAAGTTTGCTGAAGCAATTCAATCTAACTGCTACTCTGATATACTATAGAACGTTTGAATTTCACTGTGCAAATATAAAGGACCTTACGGTAAAACAAGCTAATAAGGGAAAATATATATAAAAGCCATGTAACAGTATTACATTAAATAATACTGAGTAATTTTTCTTATAGTTTTATAACTGATAGTACTGATGGAATATCTATAAAGAGATTCAATTAAAAATAATTTGTGCACATCCTATACTGCACTATTACTGTTGAGGTGGATGTAGGGAAGAAATGTTGAAAAGTGGAAAACATTTGAACGTTTGAAAGGCAAAATCTTTAAACTTGAATTTGTAATAGCATGTACTAATCTGATTCAGCATTAACATGTACTAAACTGATTTATAAAATGTATTAATCTGGTTTATTAATCTGAAAACCCATCAGTATCTTGCCAGGCTGGGATCAAATAGGGAAAAGCTGCATTATGTATTAGATTGCGCCACAAATTTCAATTCTTTAAATAGTGCAGTTACTTACAAATTTTCCTCCCTCATTTTTCGGTATATATCAAATTGATAATCTCCTTGACCACAAAAAAAACTAGTCTCACTGGAGAGATCACAGAAGTGCAGGACACCATCTGGCAAAAAAGTCAAAAAATACATAGTGTTAGTTATGCTGCTTGTACATATTACATAGAGATAAATATTCTGTGCGGTGAGTAAAATGTTACAATTAAGTCTCTCTAAGACTAATCGCATTATAAACCACAACAGCAAATCTACAAGGGAGTTATAATAATAATCCTTGCATTTGATATAGCGCTTTTCACGTCAGGACGACGTCCCAAAGCGCTTCACAGAACACACTGTAAAGTGAATTGACTGTATATTTGTGGGCGAACGCGGCAGTCAATTAATTGCGTGCAGCAATGTCCCACAAACAGTCGTAGATTGAAAATGAACAATTTATTATTATTTTTGGTTTTGGAGGGATTATTATTAGGCTCTGTGTGTGGAGTAAGGAAACTTGCCCAAGGTTTCGCCCTCTGCCTGGAATTGAACTCAGGTCTCTCACTTGCAAAGCGAGTGCTCTAAACACTGAGCTACAGGACTCCACTTGGAGGGAAGAAAGTTGGGGGGAAGAAAGAGTTATAAGAAAACTGAAACACATGCAGGCCATGTGTTCACAACAAATGTGTTTTCCGAAACCTCCTCCTTCTAGCTAGATAAGATTTGTTTTCCCAAAGAGACACAAATAATAGAAAGTGACCTCCATATTGTATCTCTTTTGAAAGTGCCAGAAATCACCAGTTACAGAAACAGAATGGAAACGGAGTGTAAGAAATATTTTACAGGATGAATAGGGAATATATTTATATAAAAATAACAGGCTAGCATTTTAATAATATTTTAATGCGGAATAATGGTGCGTGTTGCATGGAAGATTCTTAGCGATGCAATGGGAATTTCCCCAAATACATACATCACCAAGGTGCAATGGGTAACGGTGACTGAAAATTCAGCCCAACTTCACGTATTGCTGTATAAAAATATATTTGCACACACTGACCTGTTCCCACTCTTGATAGAGTATAATCAATGATATTAGCTAAAAACCCATGAGTGTCAATCTTGTAAGTTGTACCAGCCAAACAGTATTCAATCTGCTTTAGAGCTGTTCGCTTGATGAGAACATTACCCCAGTGTAAGTCTCTGAAATTAAATTCAAACAAAAGTCACATAGTAACATAAAAGAAACAAGATTCGAGCTCTGCAATACTAAAACAGTTTTTGAAACACAACACACAGCCTTATTTCAGACTCTGCACCCACCTATCCAAAATAAGCACTGTTCAATTTTAAACATTTTTCTTATTCTACACAAAATAAATCGGACAGAATGAATTGAAGTTTGTTTCTCTTACCGATGTTCAAAATTCAAAGCCACTTCAGCCACAGCCAAGGAAGCAGTTATTTGATGTAATACACTCTTTGCTACTTCAATGGAAGGAATCTGTTGGAACAGTTCAATTAAATACATTTGAGCAACAAATACATGAAGAACTGTATATCTATATTGAATGTCTCAAAACATTACCTTGGTGTTCATACTTTCTAGATCACAACCACCAAATTCAAATTCAAAAATCATGTAAAGTTGCTCATCCTTAGATTCATCTAAAAGAAAAACAAATATCTTATTGAACAATGTTTTAATTGTGATCATTTAATGAAATTACAAAGATCCATTCAACCAGAAATTATTACTGATACTTTCAATCTGTCAGTTGCAACATTTTAGATTTTAATTTTATCCCCACTTTCAATCAGAACATTAAAAAAATCTCTCAATTTTCTAGTTTTAAATATTCCAAATTACCATTGAGTGAAACAAACATCACAAATACAAAAGTTGTTGAGAATTGTTATTGTATCAGAAACTAGAATATTAGAAAGATTTTGAATGCTATATGTGTAACTCTAATGTTTTTAGTGAGTTTTTACAAATCCAAGTTCAAATATTCTAATTGGTTTTTCTGGCAGTTCAAGGATTTGACTATGAGGTTATTTAATTCCCCAGTTGATTATCTGTAGTTTCTTGCAGATTAGAAATGACAGTAAAACAGTGTGGGATAGGCAGCAGGAAACTGTAAGACAAAAGCAAACCTCTGAGAACCAAGAATATATCAATTCTCATTCTTTAAATCTTTTGCAAACAATTAATTGTCATCTTCTCATTCAGCCAAACAAAATTCCTGCTTTATATTAGAGGAATTGTTTGGGAGACAACATGATGTTAGTAAATGCCTCCAATTAACCACTTGTCCAATTTACTTTTTACTTGACAAACTACCACCCATTAATTTTTAATCTGTACTTCTTAAAATTAAGGGAGCAGCGATTAGTTCTCAATTTATCCATGCCCACGAAAACTGTCCTAACCCAGAATAGCCAGCATAACTATAAACATGATGTACACCTCAGGTGAGCTTGTCTGTGTTATGCATCTCCTAAACTGCTTTGGAAAATGTGTTTTTCATACCTTAATATCTGACAGTCTGGCATTATGCACTTCCAAACAATGATGCTTTCAGAACAGGTATGCGCATGGCTATCTAATTTTCTTGTCATTTGAGAAATATCCTATTTATGCTAGATATATCCTACTTCCACTAAAGCTAACCCCTTTATTCTTTTACTGATGACTCGGTTTCAGTCATAAATTTCCTTCAAATTGCATACTAAAGTTTAATTCAGTTTGAAGTGGAATGGCTTGATTATTTAATCTTTACCATCTTTTTTGATTAGATTAATGTTCATTAATTCCTCATTTGCTGAAACTGTGTTAAAGAAACTTTGTTTACACTTTCCATTGAAAAATTGTTAAAAAAAAGTATACAGGCGATCCTTCTCACCTCTGACCCTAAGCTTTCCTGTATTTCTCCAATATACATAAATAAATATGGTTGTTAATTCTGTTCACTTCCTCTTTTGCTCCTCCCAAGATTCAAATTTGCTGTCACACAGGCTCTTCTTTCGCCTCCTCGATAACACTGCCTTTTATTTAAGCATTCTTTTCCAGGACCTCAAGACGATTCTTTACCTCCTTCATTAACCCATACTCCTTGGTTGTCTTCTCTTTTAAACTTTGCGATACTAGACTGAGAGCTTTTACCCTTCACCAGGGTTTAATAGAAGTAACTTTTACAAAATAAAATAGTAAAATTTGCAGAAATAAAGCAACCAATATCTTACCTGGGCGGTCATTTTCAGAGGTTTTAGTTTGATTATAGTTGTCCCAAGCTTTAAGTAACTCCCCAGGGTAAGAACCTTTGACGCAATATACACTGCAAAACAAGAACTTGCTAATGTAAATGTCAGCCTCACTCATTTTGGTTAAGATTCAGCTTCAAAAGCCAAAGCTATAGTGGAGATGGATCTAAAAGCTAATGATTGCAGGGGTGACTGCAGCTAAACCAAGAATCAATGAATGCATCACTGAAAAAAGATTTAAAACTCCATGTTACACAGTACAGCTTTATTTTTATACATAATTTTGGTAGAAGCCATACATCACTTTCGGTTTTCTCCCTCTACTATCAACAAAACTGGGTCAAAACTAATGATAGTAATAATCCTTGCATTTGATATAGCACCTTATCATGTCTTCAAGACGTCTTAAAGCACTTTACAAAATATACTATCAAGTGAATTGACTTTATATTTTGTGGGCGAAACACGGCAGCCAATTGCGCACAGCAGTGTCCCACAAACAGTCATGGATTCAGTGACCAAAGTATTATTATTATTTATTTATTTTTGGAAGGAATTACTATCCCTGGAAAAGTGATCCACCAATCGACTAAAACCAGGTTCCTACTTACTGCTAGGTAAACAGAGTTGTGTGGAATAAGCAAAGATGAACAACGTTTTGCTCTGCCCAGGAATCAATCCCGGTTCCTCTCGCTTGTAAGGCAAGCACTCTACCACGAAACTACAGGATACCACAACTGTAGCTTATGTGGTTATGTCAGGGCCATTAGAAAACTTTTGATCCTCAAAATTTTGAAAGAAACTCTCCTGTCTCTCCAGCTTGGCATTGAGCTCTGCTGTATTAGCGCTCTGTGTCACTATATAAATATTACTGTTATTTTTACACCGAATGGCAAAGGCAGTCTTTTTTAAAAAAAATTCCTGCTCTAACCATTACACTGCATAAAGGTTGTTCTGCTGCATTATTATGTTAATCTTGGAGTGCTGCATTTGCAAGAGTCAAATGTTTGACCGTGCCCGCATATTCTCTCGAGAATACCATCAATGTGAATAAAGGCTTCGAGGAGGCCCTAATTCTTTAGATCTACATATTTTGTAAGAAACAGCCTAAGATTCTTCAAGGACACTGCTTACTTTTAAAAAAAAGCCAATTCACATTTAACTCATAATGGTAGTACTGGAAAATGTACACATCTGTAGATTTCAAATGAAACGTTTATGGCCAATAAATGCACTTACTTATGCAAAGAAATGAATCCAATAGTGTGGTTTTCTCCTTCTTCACTCAATTGATGCAGTTTCCTAAGGGGTGAAAGATGTTTTTTCTCATTTAAAATTAAATGGATAAAATTATTAAACACCAAATCTGGTTAGTATTAGGTGGCAGTATTATAAAGAATGAAGTTCTCTTACTTCCGGGATCTGGATTTGAACCCAGATCAAAAATAGCCTCCTCTTTCTGAAGGCTCAAAAGGCCCAACATAAATAAGATAAGTAAGATCTCCGTTGTCACATGTCCACATCTCCATTTTTTCCTGGAACAGCGGCCCAACCAGTCTCCATTCACCACCACCCTCCTCCGCCTGCCTGAACTTGTTCTTACATTGAACAACATTTGGTTTGACTCCACTCTCATCCTCCAAATAAAAGGTGTTTCTATGGAAACCCGCATGGGTCCCAGCTATGCCTGCCGTTTGTAGGATACATTGAATTATTCTTCCAGTACAGTGATATGCTTCCTGCTCTTGCCCCGAGCTGGAAAATTTCATTAATTTTGTTTCCAACTTCCACCCCTCCCCCACCTTCACATGGTCCATCTCTCACTCTTCCCTTCCTCGACTTCTTGATCTCCATCTCGGGGCATAGACTATCCACGGATATCTACTATAAGCCCATCAACTCCCAGAGCTACCTCGAATACACTTCTTCTCACCCCGTTTCCTGTAAAGACTCCATTCCCTTCTCCCAGTTTCTCCGCCTCGGCCACACCTGCTCTGACAATGCCATCTTCCACACCATAGCTTCTGAAATGTTCTCCTTTTTCCTTCGCCAAGGATTCCCCTCTATCATGGTAGGTAGGGCCCTCGACCCTCTCCATCCTATTCCCCGCACCTCTGCTCTCACACTTCCCCCTCCTCCCAGAACCGTGACAGGGTGCCCCTAGTCCTCACCTTCCACCCCATTAGTCTCCACTTTCAATGGATAATCCTCCACCATTTCCACCACCTCCAGCGTGATCCCACCACTAAACAAATTATTCCATCCCGTACTCTCTCAGCATTCCAAAGGGACTGCTCCCTCCGTCACTCCCTGTTCCACTCCTCCAAGGCCACTAACACCTGCTCTCCTTCCCATGCCAATGCAGGAGATACAACACCCATCTGTTCACCTCCTTCCCCCACCCACTGTCCAGGGCCCCAAACGCTGCTTCCGGCTAAAACAGCGATTTACCTATACTTCCACCAATATAGGATACTGTATTCGCTGCTCACGATGTGGTCTACAATACAGACGCAAAACTGAATCCTTTGCATAAAAATGGAAATAATACACTGATGAAGCTTCTCGGAGGCTGGGATTAAAGCAAAATGTTAGGTCAGATTACTGTAAATCTAATCCATATTGTACCAGACCTGTGAATCCTTGATGCAGATAAGAGTGCTAAGCAGCACTTTACTCCCAGCACGAGCATCTGTTAATTGAAATTTATACACTAAACCCCCAACTAATCGGACCAATATGGAGGAGATCCAGTACGGTGAGTCAGATTTTCTGGCTGGTTGCTAATCCCTAACATTTAAAATAAATAAAATAAATCCTCCCAAATATTTAAAATAAACTAATAAAAGAAATTGTAAATAAACAAAAGGATAACTCTAGTTCTGTACTGACCACGGACGCTCTGTTGATGCCCTCGGCTCAACCAATAGTGTCAAACCATGGGCATCATGTGTACCGGCAGGAGTTTTAAACCGCAGGGTGGACCTTTGAATCGTGGATTTTTTCTTTTTCGGATCTGGTGCGGCTAATTCCTCATCCCAGATACTTGGGGTCCAGATAGCCGTGGGGTTACTGTACTTTCAAATATATTTTTGTTTAACAATTGACAAACACACATTCTAAAAAGTCTACTTACTTTGAAATGATTATCTCGGAAAGAATTTCTTCAAACTTCTTTTGTGGTTCACCATTCACATATTTCGCTCCCTCTATCGGAATTATCTGCATATCAATCACAGTTTCATGAATTGACATACAGAAAGAATCAAGTCAGCTACTATATATACAATATTTATGTTAGTATTAGACAACAAGTGACAAAATTACATTTATATAATGCCTTTCATGTTGGGAGGCGCTGGACAGTCAGCTGTCGCGGCCCGAGCATGGGGGAGGGGTTGGGTAGGTGTGAGGGAAGGCAGAGAGGTGGGAGGGCGACTGAAGGCACGATCGAAGAGGAGGGTCTTGAGACTGGCCTTGAAGGAGGCAAGGGAGGAAGCGAGGCAAAGGGCCTGTGGGATGGAGTTCCAGAGTGTGGGGGCAGAGGCTGAAAGCACAGGCCGGAGCCCGCTGAACGGAGGGAGCGGGCAGGTTGGTAGGGAGTCAGCAGGTCAGAGAGGTAGGAGGGGGCAAGTCCATGGATGGACTTAAAAATGAGGATGAGGATCTTGAATTCAATCCTCTGGGGGATGGGGAGCCAGTGGAGTCGGGCGAGGGTGGGAGTGATGGGGTCACAGAGTCTGATGTGCGAGAGTACACGAGCTGCAGAGTTTTGGATGATCTGCAGCTTGTGAAGGGAAGAGTTGGGAAGGCCGATGAGGAGGGAGTTTCCATAGTCAAGCCTTGATGTGACGAATGCGTGGGTGAGGGTTTCGGCAGCCTGAGGGGTGAGGCAGTGGCGGAGTCCGGCAATGTTGCGGAGGGGTTGGTAGGCTGTGCCGGTCACTGCCGGGATGTGGGGGAGAACGGACAGTTCAGGGTCAAACAAGACACTCAGGTTCCTGACTGGCTTAGTGAGGTTGAGTGTGCAGCCGTGGAGGCGGATGCTGCCAGTGCCTGAGGTGCGGAGGCGCTGGCGCGAGCCAATCAGGAAGGCCTCAGTCTTGCTGATGGAGTAAATTGATTGAATGTTAACCTAAAATTACAGATTAAAAGAATATTTTGAGGTAGTGTGCATTACATTCTTGCTTCTAAAAATTAAATTCATCAACATTCATCATCAACATCTTTAAACTTTCTTTTCTTCGTCTTTCTTAGTCTTTTGATAAGTACCTTGAATACCATGAATTCGCCATTATCATTTATAGTCCGAAATACTTCCCCAAAAACTCCCTCTCCAATTTTGTCACACTTCTTGAACTTGCTCAGTGGTATGCATTCTTTGAAGGAGATGGGTCGATCCTGCTGGCATTCCCGGTATACTCTCTGTTCATTACTGAGGAACAGCATTAGTGATGACCCACTGTCCTGTAGACAGTTAACAAAGGAAATATTGAACTATATAAAACCATTAACAATTTTCAAGTGAATGAAGCATTTGAAATTCCTTTTTATAAAATTCAACAGTAGAATATATTTTTTAAATATACAATAAAACAGACATTTATACAGCGTCTTTCACATCTCAAAGTGCTCCACACTGCCCGCTGGGTACCTGAGCTTGGGCTAGGAGGCGAAGAGGTGGGGAGGGGAAAGATAACCAAAAGCACAATAAAATTCTCGAGATAGGCCTTTAATGAGGGGAAGGAGCGAATTGGAAGGACTGCAGGTTGCAGTTAGAGAATGTTGTTAGCTTTGCGATTCATTTTCAGACATTCCTGAATGTTCTGTCACAATTCTCACTGTTGATAATCACATCACTAAAAATTGGAATTCCGACTCATCTATCAACAGGTTTAGGAATGCAAAACTTACACCCGAAGCTTCACCAAAATAGTTGGGCCTAAAGATTGCAGCTCTCCATTTATTGCTCCAAAAAGTGGAGAGTAATTCAGTGCAGCTAAAAAAGAGGGTACTGACGTAATTCATCGTGTATACTGTGAAGTGGCATTGAAATACTAGCTCTGAGATCAATAAAAATAATTGGGCTCACTACCGCTAAACAAAATGAACTAGATATATTTCTGTCAGTGGAAAGGTATAATTAGAAAATCAGTCTTTCATCGGGCAGAATTTTTCACTTGATTCCGGCTGAAATGTTATGTGATCAAAAATAAAGCACATTGCTAAGTTTTCACTTTGTTATATAACACTTCAACATTTGCAGTAATTTTTTTCCATAAACTGATACACTCAATCAATATACATACCAAGAAGGAATTTCTGGAGACTCTGGTCCTTCTTATTCTATTAGTAATTGAAGTTTTAGAGGAAACGGTTCTCCATTCCAAGTTGGTCTCAGAAGTAGGAAAATTATTTTGGTCGGTATCCTTTTCTTTTGGTAGAGAGCGTGGGGTTTCCTGATTGTGTTGATATGACATAGTGCAAACAGTTTTCAAAGGTGTAATGATTGCTAGCAAAAGGAAAAATACATTTAATAGTTAGTTACAACAATTACAAGTTCCTGATTTCTAGATTTATTTTACTCTAGCTGTACCCGTTGTAACTATGCTTGCAACCAAAGGATCCAATATGGAATGTAGATTGACACATAGACAGACATTTCATCTTTATCTATACTCGTCTGGGAGGACTCCTCTGGGAGGACTTTGTTCTTCAGTTTCATTTAATGGACCTTCTCCCTTTTGGCTAGCATTTTTTACTTATCCTTGAGAGGTTTGATTTTCACTTACGCATCTGTATCATGATAAATATAAATGTATAATTTATAATCACTGGGACGCCCTCCGACGTGAATGGCGCTTTAAAAATGTAACTTTGTTGTTGCTGGTGCTTAGCTTTGTTCTGTGTTCTTTATTTTGTTCCTGCTGCTTGGCTCTGTGCGTACTCTGTGACGCAGGGTGCCACAGCGCCACAGTCAGCCAAATGTAGAAGCCCAATGGTGAAATAACCCTTGCATTTGGTACAGCACTTTTCATATCTGGATGACGTCTCAAAGTACAAACAGGTGGTTGAACACAGCATCCCATTTGACACAGTAATGACTCACAAACAGCCATGAAACAAATGTCCAATTTTATTTGGAGGATTGTTAGCCATGACACCAGGAGAAACTCCTTTCTCTTTTCAAGTAATGCCATGGGGTCTTTAACGTCCACCTGAACAGATTTATTGTCTCACTTGAAGGACAACACCTCCAAAAATGCAACTCTCACACAACACTGCATTGGAGTGACAGACTAGATTATGCGAGAGTTCAAGTTCCAATGTGGGGCTTGAGCCCACAACCTTCTGACTCCGAGGCAAGAGAACTACTAACTAAGCCAGGCTGACACACAATTCAAAGGGCCAGAATAAAAACTATGAGAGCTTATATTTGCTGTGAACTCTAATTCCAAATATCACTAATCAGTTTCATTTCACTGGAGAGCAATAAGTTCAATAACCATGTTAATATTTATACTGCAACATTTCAAAGCCAGGTGGAAAGGGAACTGAGGCAAAGACATCTATGGACGTGCAGGTTGAGTAAGGACAAGTTGCCATTTCAAGCATGGCAGAACCTCTACTCTTAAAAGTACTTTTTTAAATGCAACCTGTATTATTGATTTAGGTGTAAATCTATCAGAAACAAAGATTTACACATTCAGCCACAGAAGATCTTTTAAAACTAATATCCACTATCTTAACAAAATCCCGTATTACCTTTGTGATTTTTGTGAACTGAATGAGCTGCTTTGAACTTTGACCAGTTACGTGAGCTCAGAGGGGAGGAAAATAATGAAGAGTTCACAACAGTTGATTGTAGGTTTTTCTTCTCCTACAAAAACAAATCAAAGGTTATGTAACACACAAAAACAAATAGAAAATTAGGCTTAATTTTCACTTGTGGAAACGTTGCAACATTTGAACTTTTTTAAGTTAGCTAAGTGTTTGACACACAGAAACCTTTAGCCATGTTTAAGAGTATCCAAATTAGAGTTCCACATATGCATTCCCTGTGTCGACAATGGAATGTGCATTGAAGCCATTCAGCCCGCTTTCCTAATTCTGGAAAGTATTATAATATATGTAATACAATAATCCTTGTCTTATCACATTTTCAAGACGTCTCAAAGCGCTTCACAGTATACTGTAAAGTGAATTGACTGTATATTTTCTGGGCAAAACACAGAAGCCAATTGCGTCCAGCAATGTACCACAAACAGTCGTAGATCAAGTTATTATTTTTTAAATAATTATTATTTTTTAAAAGGGTTTATTACACCCGGAAAAGCTATCCACCAATCGACTAACAACCGGATTCGTACTTATTGCTAGGTAAACAGAAGCCTGTGTAGTAAGTACACTTGTCTAGTGTTTTCAACCTGCCTGGGAATCGAACCCAGGTCCTCTCACTTGCGATGTGAGTGCTCCAACCAACACGCTACAGATCTCCACAAACAGATTGGCAAAATTCAAGGCTTAGGGAACCCAGTGTTCATTGGGACACTGTTGGTTAACTGGTTATAAACACATAGCTTGCCATTGCAAATACTGTCTAGCAAGCTTTCTGCTGCTTGTCCAGCTTGGACTACCCTCCCCAGTAAAGCTTTGGCTTGAAGAGTCAACAAGAGCTCAGTGGGAAGAATCACTGTCCTCAGTGGTTGGTATACATCTCCGAGCCTTGCCAATAAGCTAGGCTAGCTGGTCTATCATCAACGATTCTTTGGAACACTAAGAACCCACCTTAAGCTCGCTCAGAAACTAGACTACTAAGATTGCCACAGAGGGTAACTCAATTCCAATATGCTGATGTCAAATACATCACCTTGTTGCCAGCTCAGAGGCAAGAAGCATCCGCTTACCTCTTGAGCCCTAGGGAGGATAGTCACTAGTTGGTCATTTGACATCTAATAATTACATTCAAACTCCTACACGGTGGATAGCAGGTGCCATCATCCAACTGCCCACAGTTCAAACAACAGCCGTATCCAATGAACCTTGATACCACCAGTTAGACATACAGAGCTTCTGCAGAAGCTCCATGTTTCTTGATCTACTGAGTATCTAGCACACAATGGTGCTTATCACCATGCTTAGAAGTATCCAACTCATACCGAGGTCCACGTACCTATTATGCAACCTACAGATGGCAATTTACCTGAACCTGAAATGGAAGTCAGACTGTCTCCATGAAAGAACACATCATGCTTACCTCATTCTGTAGAGTATTAAGTGCAACAGCAAAGGCTTGGGGACCCCAGAGTGTGCACCGGGGTACTGCTGGAGTTTAATCAGCTGAAACCGCATAGCTTGCAATTGAGAGCACTGTGTTGCAAGCTTCCTACCGCTGGTGTTTGTCCACCCTACCCAAAAGGGCTTTGGATTGCAAGATTGAAAGGAATTGAGTGGGAAGAATCCCTGTTCCCAGCACCTACTTACTTCACTGCCAACCAATGAAGGTAGATACCAAACCCCAAATATATAAATGCGCATCTCCAAACCTGTTGTCCCAAGCCTCAAAGTAACCACATCAGCTACTCAGCATGGTGGTGTGTGTGTGTGTGAGGGGTGGTGGGCCGGGGGCCAAGTGCAGTCTCCTCAGAGCTGAACTGGCCCCAAAGTTAAATGTTTTTTTTCGAAACCAATGTAAGGATTATTATTTATTATCATCTGAACTGGACATCACTAAAACAGGCCATTTGGCCCAAGGTTCATGCATTACTTACAGAAATGAGCTCCAATTGGACTAAATCTCCTCTCTATCCCCTATTATATTCCTCTATTCCCTTATCCCTCATGCATTGAATCAAAAGGAAAGCACATGTTTAATAGTAAATGCGAATGTTTCTGATGATACTGAGCCCTCCCAGTTTCTTTTATGTTTTATACTTTAAACCCACTGGTTGCAGATAACTAGCTGGTAAGGTCATGAATGGCGGCAGATATCTGTGGGTAGCACTGCTATTCATGATGTCACTCAAACAGAACTCCATCTGTTCAAAAGCAGCTACTCATTGCAATTGGAAATAAAAATATATCTTCAAAGTAGTAAACTTATAAATAAATGTTTGACCTTTTCTAGGAGATACCCCAATACACAAAATTATTTTACACCGTGGATTGGCTGGTGGTATTCAGCCCATGAAAGAACACAAATCATGACTAATATTCATATTTTATCATAGCTGACTAAGTGCTTAAACTATATTGCCTGTTTCCCCATCATTCAAGTGTTGGGCAAAATCATGTGCTAAATAAATGTTCCCATAGCAACCACACTGCCACCAATGCACAGGAGACTTAAAATTAACCAATTAAAACGGTCCTTGCAGGCACAGCCGTATCTCAAGAACAGTATCAATAACACATCATAGATGCTATATATAAGGGATAATAATCCCTCCAAAAATAATAATAACTTGGTCACTCAATCCACCACCGCTTGTGGGACACTGCTGTACGCAATCGGCTGCTGCGTTTCGCGCACAACACAGTCACTACACTTTACAGTATACCCTGTGAAGCGATATATGACATCTTGACAATGTGATAAGGCCCTATATCAAATGTAAGGATTATTATCATCATATCTTCTATTACACCATTATGTGTGCACATAAATACCAGATGTGTACCCCTATGCAAGGTTTACAAAGGCAGACTATTGATAAAATAAATCTACAAATCAAATGTCTATTTCACCTCATGCAGTTGTACGTCTGAAACGCTGTTCAAACCAATTAGGGAATTATCAATCCTGTTTGTTTGGTTCACAGAGAATACAACTGAATCAACATCTTCTTGAAACATCGATCCAGTATGCCTGTTCTTGTTCTGTCTGCGACACCTGCTGGAGGTAGAATCACTGACATCATTTTTTTCTTCTGACATGCCATTTCCGTTCAGAAAACTGTCACTCTCAAGTGAAAGTGCTCGCCTGTGTGGTGAGCCAATTACCAGTTCAGAACAGTTTGAATCAGCTCCAGATGCTCCGTCAGTATTTAATTCCTGAACACTATTTTTTCTATTTGTGTGTACTTCGTGAAACTTCAAATTCTCAGAGTATTTTTCTTGAAAATTATTCTCGTTCCGTTGATCACAAGAAGCACCATCTCCCAGACTTGCTTTTACATGATTTCTGATAAAAATTTTCTTCTGGTTTAAATGCCACTCTATTTCAAATGGATTGAGCAACACAAGGGGTTGCAGATCCTTCCAGTCCAAAGATCGTGCCCATCTTATCTTGCTAGCTTTTTGCAATATTAATTTCTTGCTTGTTAAGTAATCTACAAATTGCAGTTCATTTTCATCACGGGATGAATTGTCTTCACAAACCACGTCCGCAAGAGAGACTGCTGTCCTACTTTTGGTCTGTGGATTTTCTTTAAAGAACTTTCTTTGCAAGTACTTGTGAACCAAATCGCAGTCTAACTGCACAACAGACTGAAATTCCTTTCTGGAAAGTTCTTTAGTTTGATACATTTTCAGTTCAGTTACCTGGTCATCATAAGTGGTATAAGACATTCCAGACTTTGCCAACATGTTGCTTGCAAGTTTCTTCACATTAAGTCTCTCAGCTGAACCGTCCTCACAAGGGTTCTCAACTACTTCAGTGACATCGGTAAATAATTCTTTGCTCACATCGGAAGCGCCAGGTGGGACAGAAGCCAAGTCAATCTTCTGAGTTTCAGTGGAATGGGAAAGAACTGGATCTGAATGTTGACAATTTTCCATTGATACCATAAAACTGACTGATTTAGACTCCATAGCAAAACCATACGTCCTGATTTCCTTTTTGGATTGTAAATTATTTTCCGATTCTTCAGTGGGGAGGTGCTTCCGGGGGCAAAAGGCTCCCACTGCGTTGGGACGGTCAATACTTTCCATGGTAAAAGGTTTGAGTTTGCTCTTAAACTCATCATTGTTCGAACTATTGAACGAAATTGCACACATTGGTGGTGCTTTTATTTTCAACTTTGTGGAGCAAGAGGGTGTGCTTGTCTGAAGTGGATAACCGTCCAGCTTTTTTGAAAAACTGAGACAACTGCTTGAATTTATCCAATCGTTGTTCTCATGTGGTTTGTCAAAATATATCAATGATTCTGAAAACTCTGTTGATGATCCCAAAAATACCTGCAAGGAAAAAAACACATTTAATGTGTATATATTTAAATACCCAGTTGATTACAAATATAAATTGTTACAATTTGCTAAATAAATTCAATTTGTTATATATTTTGTGAAGGCATTTTAAGCTGCACAATTAAGTAAAATATACATTTTTTAATAAACCCTGAAACTGGTCCTCACAAATTACACAAACTAAATGTATATATTAACTTAAAATAAAAACACTACATTTAAACTGTAAAGATTTGCTGGACAAAAATGTTTTCTTCTATGCTTCATAGCTAATTTAAATGACATAAGCTTCAGAAAAACTAGTCAAGTGACTCCTAACAACTAAATTCATAACAAAATATTGATGGTGAAATGGTCACATATCTCAATATAGCAACATGTGCCAAATTGAAAGTGTAGTTTTAAATTTGTAAACTTAACTGATTAAAGTATTGGTGAAAAATAGAGATTTGACTTTACCTCATTTTTGATTTGAGGTTGGATGCTTTTAACTTGATTCACTGTTTTTGGATTCCGTAGTTTTCGGCGACAAGTAACAAATTTTAACTTTTGAGTATGTTGTAACATTTGCTTTGCCTTATTCCTTTTACAGGGAGGGAAGAGAAGATTTAAAAAAATGCAGTGACAATATTTACATCAATGAGAAGCAAATAACTCCACACTATTGTACAAATGTTTGCGCTCTTCATTCAAACCTCTGAAATCTTGTTTCAATTGGTTATGCAGTTCAATATCGGTAGTGCAATTATAGAATTAACTAGTTTTGAAATATCCTCCTAATTTTACCTACTTACCTGCAGTGTTAAGCCCACTATGAACCAAGAGAAACTGGCCAAAAATGGTCACTCCTCAACAATATTTGATTTCTTGGCAAGTGATGTATGATTTCTCAGTGTTTGTGCCAAACAATTATATAATTACAACTTGGTTAAATATTCGCACATATGAAAGGAAACTATTTATGGAGGTTTGTTGAAATTCAATGGTATGTTTTTTCAAATGTTCAGGCAGGTGAATAGTGGAAAGACAAAGGAATGGGAAATTATACTGTATTTCCCACAAGTGTTTTTTCTTGTCCTGTTTCTTTCACATTACATCGTCTACCTAAGTCACCTTTCACTTCAGCCCCAGCTCACCTTTGAAAATTAAAGGAGTGAATATTGATGCAATAGAAAACATCTTCTGTCTACATAGAATTTATATATTTTATAAATGTCCACCCAAATCTGAATTGGGCAGTTTTTGATTCACAAATCCCAATTTAAATTTAGATCACACATATGTATAGTTAAGAAACAGAAACTTTAGTTCTAAGTACAGGACAGCCCAATTATTAAGTGCCTGACTAGAGTGAAAGCTCACTTTTAACAAATGTGTCACAGATCTGAGGCTTCCTTTGCAAAATGAACTCCTGGTGATGATCTGGAAGTTGGCCTTTTGTTGCACTGGAAATGTACACGTACTATCTTCTTGTTCTAAAAGTTGGGTTCTCAAAACTCACTTAAACACACAGACGGAACAAAATTAACTGCAATTCTAGTTCTGAATAAAAACAAAAACTTAAGAGATTTCTTCAAAAAAAAACTGATTTTACACAACCAAAACTAGGTGTAAGACAAGACTTAAATTTAAGATTTTTTGAATTACAGTATATGTAAATGCCCTAAATATGTATGCAGACTATGTTGTCAACATAATTTATTCAAAAACATATTTGCTAGATTTCATTCTGATGTTCCAATATTACGTTCTTTCATGCCACAAAGGGATAACCACGATTATGAGGTTGACAGTCGTGTTAAAAAGACATTTTTTCAAATGAAAACACAATAATGTGAATCTCCTAAAACATCAGATACCTAGTAATGGGGGCAATATAATTTTCCTTGTCTTCAGCAAAAATGAAATCTTCGTGCCTTTGTTCTTCTGTGAAAACAGGGCTATGGTTTTCCTGATGTGAATCCCCCTTTCTCCCAAGATCAGAGCGCTTCCTCTTGCAAATTTGGATATTCTTTCGCTTTCCAACACTTCTCTTTACCACTTTTGCATTTATACAGCAGCTTGATACCTTTCCTCGTCTGAAAAGATATATATCACATAATTAGGATCTTGACAATATACTTTTTAAGAAGAGAATTTCTGTGCTTTAGATAAATAATAATCCTTGCATTTGATACAGCACCTTATTATGTCTTTGAGACATTTCAAAGCGCTTCACAGAATATACTGTAAAGTGAATTGACTGCATATTTTGTGAGCAGAATTTATTCAGATAGATATTTATTCAGATAGAATAAATAATCAAATAGAACCAGAATACACAGAACTTTCAGAGTCAAAGGAGTCAAAATCAGCAACTGGTTCAGCAGTAAAAAATGGAAAAATTTTGTGACGTCTTAAACCAGACCCATATATCAGTGGGTAAAGCAACTCTTCACTGAGTGAAGCTGAAAGTGAGTGAAACTTCACTGAGTGAAGTTTAAGAAAGTCTCATCTCCAAGGAGGCATCACTTCCCCCCATTTCCAGGCTACTCTCTAACTACTGCACCATCTCCAACTTCCCATTCCAAGGTCCTGGAACGAGCTGTTGCTTCCTAGCTTCGCTCCTTCTTTTGCCGCCACTCCCTTCATGAACCCCTCCAATCGGTTTTCCGTGCTGTCCACAATGCAGAACAAATTACATTCTGTCCCCAATCAGGGCTCCCTCTGCCTCCTTATCCGCCTTGACATCTCTGTTGCCTTCGACACCTTTGACCATTTTATCCTCATCCACCGCCGCTCCTCTCACCTCAACCTTCATGGTTCTGTCCTTGAATGGTTCAGATTGTATCTCTCAAACTGTCTTCACTTCATCTCCACAAACGGTTCTCCTCTAGCCCCCGCACGGTGCGGTGTTCCTCAGGGCTCTTTGACCGTGCCTTCAGCTCCCCTCTTGACTCTCTACCCCTCCTCGCTCCCTCCCTTCCCTCACCCTGACCCCTGACCATTTCCCCCCAACTCGGGTCCTGACCCAACTGTCCAGCGCTTTGGGACGTCCTCCCGACGTGAAAGGCGCTATAAATGGAATGTTGTTGTTGATGTTGAAGGAGGAAAGGGAGGAGGCGGCGAAGGCACTGGGGGATAGAGTTCCAGAGCCTGGGGGCTGAGAGGCTGAAGGCCCGACCACCGATGGTAGGGCGATTGGGGCGGGGGATGTGGAGCAGACCGGAGCCAGAGGAACGGAGGGTACGGGCAGGTAGGTAGGGGGATAGTAGGTTGGAGAGGTAGGAGGGAGCAAGGCCGTGAATGGCCTTGTAGGTGAGGATGAGGATCTTGAAATCAATCCTCTGGGGGATGGGGAGCCAGTGGAGGCGAGCGAGGGTGGGAGTGATGTGGTCCCGAAGCCTGGTGCGGGACAGAACACGAGCTGCAGAGTTCTGAATGACCTGCAGCTTGTGGAGGGAGGTGGCGGGAAGGCCGGCGAGGAGAGAGTTCCCATAGTCCAGCCTTGAGGTGACAAAGGCGTGGACCAGGGTTTCAGCAGCGTGAGGGGTGAGGTAATGCCGTAATCTGGCGATATTCCGGAGGTGATGGAAGGCGGTGCCAGTTGTGGCGCGGATATGAGGGAGAAAGGACAGCTCAGGGTCGAACAGATCCTGGTCCTCACCTTCAAAGCCCTCCGTGGTCTCGCTCCTCCCCAACTCCCTACCTGCTCGCTCCCTCCGCTCAGCGGGCTCCGACCTGCTTCACGTCCCCCGCCTCGCTCGCCCCACCATATTGGCGGGCGGTCCGTTTGCCGCTCTGCCCTCTGGAACGCCATCCCGCAGTCCCCCCCACTCACCCGCTCCCTCCCCACCTTCAAGACCCGTCTCGAGACCCCTCCTCTTCGACTGTTGCCCTCAATCACCCTTCAATTATACACATATATATATATATAAATTATATATTATATATATATATAAATTATATATATAATTTGCTCAGTCTGTGGGGTCGCTGCTGTGCGCATTTCACCCACAAACCAGACGGGTCAATTCACTTCACGGTCTATTCTGCGAAGCGCTCGGAGACGTCTCAAACGGAAGGGACGACTGTCCACGACGGCGACGGTCGCCGCGGTCGCCGTCGTCTCTCCCTCACCCCCCCCTCACCCCCGCCCACCCCCGACCCCCCGCCGAGGGCGCTCACCGTTTGGGCTTCGTGACGACGAAGGAAGGGTCGCTGCTGCTTTCGCTGTCGCGGCTGCTCGGGGAGTCGGAGTCGGAGTTGGAGAAGAGATGGTCGCGGGTCGGACTCAGCCATTTGCAGACCCTCCGCACTTGACATTTGCCGTAAGTGCGGACCAGGTTGGCTCTGGGAGCCCGAGCCCGGCCCTCCTCCTCCTGCTGCTGCTGCTGCTGCTGCTGCCGCTGTATCATCGCCTCCTCCTCCTCCTCTTGCAATGGAGATATATATACACAGAGATTTTAAAAAACATTCGCGGCCGAGAACCGAGTGAGGAGATGGAGCCGGTGGTGGGGAGGGGGAGAGGGGGGGGAGAGCGTGTGTCGGTCTCTCTCCCTCTCTCCGGCTCGAGCCCCTCTTTTTTTTTCTCTCTCTCTCTCTCTCTCTCCCCCAACGGTTCGCTCCCACGACAATGGGATTTGAATCTCTTCGCCCTCCCGTCGTGCTTTGCGACCCGACGTTGCCGCGCACGCGCCGCTCTCCGCCGCCGCGGCTCCGGCCGTTCGCTGCCGTGTCCGCCGTTTAAAAACAAAAACAAATGGCAGCGACAGAGAGAGAGAGAGAGAGAGAAGAAGAAGAAGCCGCCGCTTCACGACGATTCCCTTTGCCGTTTTTTTGGACTCGACAAGTTCTTCGGATTTTCTGATCAGTGGCTCTTTTTTTTTTTGGGGGGGGGGGGGGGACCCCCTCCGGTAATGTTTCGAGTTCACGGCTTTTTTTTTTCCAAAAGCGTCAAAAGGAACTGTCAAAACGCCTTTAATTATAATAATAATAATAATAGTAATAATCTTTGCATTTGATATAGCGCTTTTCACGTCAGGAGGACGTCCCAAAGCGCTTCACAGAACACACTGTAAAGTGAATTGACCGTATATTTGTGGGCGAACGCGGCAGCCAATTGCGCACAGCAATGTCCCACAAACAGTCGTACATTGAAAATGACCAATTTATTATTGTTTTTGGTTTTGGAGGGATTATTATTAGGCTCTGTGTGGAGTAAGGAAACTTGCCCAAGGTTTCGCCCTCTGCCTGGAATTGAACTCAGGTCTCTCGCTTGCAAAGCGAGTGCTCTAACCACTGAGCTACAGGACTCCACTAACTGCTTTAACTGCTCACGGTTGTGTATCGGTCGCAAAAACATTTATTGCATATAAATAAAGCGAAGGGTTACATTTTTTTTTTCCAGCCTGAAATGCGGTACTAATCCGACCGGACGGGTAATTTTACCGACAGCCTGGAAACTACACGGAAGGTCACGGAAAAGCGTTTCTGCATTGAAGTGCTTCGGCACTTCCTTCGAGATTGACTTCGCTCCACAACAGAAAACTTGGGAAGACCTGAGTTTTCCGTTTGCGAACTGACTCACGCATTGTAAATCGCTTTCACGTTTGCTTCATCGGAGCGGGGATGTTCGCAGAAGCTTGCTCAAGATAAGCTAAAGGACCCTGCGGTAGTTCAGATGGCTTTTTGGGTTGTACATTGATATCTTCTAAGACCTGTTGCCAATGACGCAGTTTGCTGAGGTGTTTCTGAATCAAGGCCTCCTTCCTCTGCAGCTCATTTTTCAATTCGGAAACATCCTGTAAAGCATAATTCATTTTGGAACTGTTCAAAACCGGAAAGTAAACATTTTTTTTTGTTAAAAAAAAATCAATGTTATGTTTGTAGGTAAGAAATCTATGATGATAAAATGCTGTGCATAGTTCTTGGGATTGAAAAGTTTGTGCAGAGTATTGAATCTTCTTCCTTCCCCCATTGATTCCCTACAACAAACAATAAGGGTAGCATCCGAGTGCTTAATAATGTCAGAGTTCGACCTCAAGCCAGGGAGAAAAACGAAGTGATCATAGGCATGATCAAAGAGGAAAGTCTTCAGGTGTGAATTGGACAGATAAAGAGGGGGCAACACGAGGAATTGAGGCAGAGAGTTCCAGAGGTTTGAGCGTAGTGGCTGATGATGGTGGAGGTTGGGTAGAGGAGTGGTGGTGTGAGCAGGTTGGAAAGATAGGAAGATGGTAGGGCATGAATGTGATCTGCAGACGAGTGAGGAGCTTGATATATCAATTAGTTCTGTGCCTAGCAAGGACTGGGGTGACTGAAGTAATAATAATAATAATAATCCTTGCATTTGATATAGCGCTTTTCACGTCGGGAGGACGTCCCAAAGCGCTTCACAGAACACACCGTAAAGTGAATTGACTGTATATTTGTGGGAGAACGCGGCAGCCAATTGCGCACAGCAATATCCCACAAACAGTCGTAGATTGAAAATGACCAATTTATTATTGTGTTTGGTTTTGGAGGGATTATTATTAGGCTCTGTGTGGAGTAAGGAAACTTGCCCAAGGTTTCGCCCTCTGCCTGGAATTGAACTCAGGTCTCTCACTTGCAAAGTGCGAAGTGCAGAGTTCCTAAAATCATTCCTAAAATAACATTTAGGAAACCCACAATTTTGGGGCCCATTTGTTCTGAGATTGCTGAGGTTCTGTTACATAGAATGATAAGGCATGGAAACTGGGCATTCAGCCCAATTAGTCCACGCCAGTGTTTAAACTCCACGCACATCTCTCTCTCTCTGATACGCTCTATTCCTTTCTCCCTCGTGTATACATCAAGTTTCCGCTTAAATACATTGATTTTTTGGCTTCAACCACTCACAGATTTAAAATTTAGAATAAGGTTAACTTATCCAAAAAATGGTAAACTAGAAGGTTTAGAAAATCAAGCTCTCTTCACCTCTTTAATGACCTGTTCAGGTTTTTGCACAGCAAGCTGAAGTCTTTTCTGCAGAAAGAAACACTCTGTTTGTCTGGCAACGTCTAAAAACTTTTGTATGCATTGCTCCACACCTAATGGAAAAATAGCAAACATATTTACACAAGAATGTTAACATTTATATACAAGATGTCAACAAGAAAAATGCTTGGTTCATTTGCTTACCCTCCTGGCATGCTACATGCAGGGAAGGAGTTAAAACAAACTGCTAACAGACATGTGAAAAAGCACTAAAAGACGAGCGGATTGTTGGTGTGAGAGAATCGACTTTCAGAAGACAATAACTAATCTGTCTCACAGAGACCTTTTCCTTTTGTTTATACCTTGACATTAAAGAATGGATTATGGTACCCCTCCAAATTCCTCCCATTTCTTTTTGGTGTCTAGCACTTCCAATTGTTAAGTGTTTGAGTCAAGCTGTGATATAAACAAAAGTTAATGTTACTTCAGTCCTCATATATAATGGATAATTTGTCTACAATGCTATTAAGTTACATTGTAACAAAGGACAATATAAAAAGCTTTCAACTCATCTGATACAAAAGAGTTTACTGAGTAATTGAATTGTGATACAAATGGTCTTATGATTGAAACACATTTGATAGATGGATTACTTTGTTTTGAAATTATTATGGATTGATTCAAACACATTAGATAATTGTTATCTTTTAATCCCATTTATGCACCTTTTCCCCTTACTCGTGATGTTATTGGGTTTGGTGTTATTGCAAATATCTGTATTCGTTGTTAATTAATAACAATTTCCCGAGTATCCATTTACCTCCCTGTTAAACATCCCAATTGATTCTGACCATTCAATCATCTGAGAAATGCATCAATATTTTTACAGCCTTCTGTGTGAAGAATGTTTTCTGATCAAATGTCTAACGGTCTAATTTTATTAAACGCCGTTGAAATATACTCACCTGTTCGAATTTCTTCTTGATCAGAACCATTGACATAATCCTGACTGACCAATGATGCAAAACATGCCTACAAGAAACACATTTAGTGTTAGTAAGTTTCCTTACTCCACACGCCTAATAATAATCCCTCCAAAAAAACAAAACAATAATAAATTGGTCATTTTCAATCTACGACTGTTTGTGGGACATTGCTGTGCGCAATTGGCTGCCGCGTTCGCCCACAAATATACAGTCAATTCACTTTACAGTGTGTTCTGTGAAGCGCTTTGGGACGTCCTCCCGACGTGAAAAGCGCTATATCAAATGCAAGGATTATTATTATTTACAATTAGTGATTCAAATTTAACAATATTCAAAGATATAAAATCAGTAGCTTGAATTTATATAGTGAATATCGGATAACATTTCAAGAGCCCTTCAATGGTGAAATCAAAATCCCTAACGTATTGCACTGTTCCCAATAAAGTCTTGATAATATCCTACCTTGGCAAGCATTTATAAATACTCCACTGGACTAATCCTAGTGTCCAATAAAAATTCAATAATACAAAACCTTGTACTCAATAAATACTCAGAAACACACAATCCAGTAATATGCTATTCAATAATACTCACTAATAAACAAACTTTCAGTAATAATCCATACCCAGTACCCAATAAATACTCGGTAACTCAGTATTAATGAGTTTTACAATATAATTATGCAATACCCAATCCCGATAACTACTCAATACTGTACAATATAATGATACTGTACCCAGCCCCAATCACTACTCAATACTGCACAGTATAATACTATACACAGCCCCAATCACTACTCAATACTCCACAGTGTAATAATACTGTACCCAGCCCCAATCACCACTCAATACTGCAGTGTAATAATACTGTACCCAGCCCCAATCACTACTCAATACTGCACAGTGTAATAATACTGTACCCAATCCCAATCACTAGTCAATACTGCACAGTATAATACTATACACAGCCCCTTCACTACTCAATACTGCACAATATAATGATACTGAGGTAATCGCTCCCCGATTACCCCAGTCCTCGCCAGACTGCACTCGCTCCCTGTCCCAGAGAGGATCGATTTCAAGATCAACAACAACAACTTGGATTTATATAGTCCCCTCAACGCCGGACGGCGTCTCAGACCGCCTCACCCTTGTCTTCAAATCCCTCCACTCCTCCGCACCCCCCTACCTCTCTGACCTCTCTCCTCAAAACTGCCCATTGCCTTCGTTCCTCCAGGTCTGGCCTCCTCCTTGTCCACCGAGTCCTCCGCTCCACCCTCGGCAGCCGTCCCTTCAGCCACTATGCCCCGAGGCTCTGAAACTCCCTTCCTCACTCTCTTCGCCTCGCCCCCTCTCTTCCTACTTTCAGGTCTCTGCTGAAGACGTTTCTTTTCAACTGGCCTTTGGTCAATTTCTCCTCCTGGCTCGACCCGGGATCCGTTACTGTGAAGAGCACTAAGATGTCGTCCAGTGTGGAGGACGCTATATAAATCCAAGTTGTTGTTGTGCACAATATAATAATACTGTACCCAACCCCAATCACTGCTCAATACTGTACAGTGTAATACTGTACTCAGCCCCAATCACTGCTCAATACTGTACAGTATAATACTGTACTCAGCCCCAGTCACTGCTCAATACTGTACAGTATAATACTGTACTCAGCCCCAATCACTGCTCAATACTGTACAGTGTAATACTGTACTCAGCCCCAATCACTGCTCAATACTGTACAGTATAATACTGTACTCAGCTCCAGTCACTGCTCAGTACTGTACAGTATAATACTGTACTCAGCTCCAATCACTGCTCAATACTGTACAGTATAATACTGTACTCAGCCCCAGTCACTGCTCAGTACTGTACAGTGTAATACTGTACTCAGCCCCAATCACTGCTCAGTGGTGTACAGTGTAATACTGTACTCAGCCCCAATCACTGCTCAATACTGTACAGTATAATACTGTACTCAGCTCCAGTCACTGCTCAGTACTGTACAGTATAATACTGTACTCAGCCCCAGTCACTGCTCAATACTGTACAGTATAATACTGTACTCAGCCCCAATCACTGCTCAGTACTGTACAGTGTAATACTGTACTCAGCCCCAATCACTGCTCAATACTGTACAGTATAATACTGTACTCAGCCCCAGTCACTGCTCAGTGGTGTACAGTGTAATACTGTACTCAGCCCCAGTCACTGCTCAATACTGTACAGTATAATACTGTACTCAGCCCCAGTCACTGCTCAATACTGTACAGTGTAATACTGTACTCAGCCCCAGTCACTGCTCAGTACTGTACAGTGTAATACTGTACTCAGCTCCAGTCACTGCTCAATACTGTACAGTATAATACTGTACTCAGCTCCAGTCACTGCTCAGTGGTGTACAGTGTAATACTGTACTCAGCCCCAGTCACTGCTCAGTACTGTACAGTGTAATACTGTACTCAGCTCCAGTCACTGCTCAATACTGTACAGTGTAATACTGTACTCAGCCCCAATCACTGCTCAGTACTGTACAGTGTAATACTGTACTCAGCTCCAGTCACTGCTCAATACTGTACAGTGTAATACTGTACTCAGCTCCAGTCACTGCTCAGTACTGTACAGTGTAATACTGTACTCAGCTCCAGTCACTGCTCAGTGGTGTACAGTGTAATACTGTACTCAGCTCCAGTCACTGCTCAGTGGTGTACAGTGTAATACTGTACTCAGCTCCAGTCACTGCTCAGTGGTGGGTGAGGCCGGGGGTGGGGGGGGGGGGGTGAGGCCGGGGGGGGGGGGGGGGGGACGCTGCCGTTGGGGCCCTCGGGCGCGGGAGGCACTGCGGGTTTCACGGGTCCAACTGTGAGTTGAGACGGACGCTCACCTCGAACGAGGCCTCCAGCTCGTCCACCAGGGTGTTGGGGGCCCGCGGGGCGGGCAGCCCGGGGGGCGGGGGCGGCGGGGCCTGGCTCTGGGGCTGGTGCTGGAACATCCCCGACATGGAGGCCGCCATTTTGCGTGACGTGTCGCTGCGCCTGCGCCGTGCTCTCCCCTCCCCTCCCCCTGTGGGCGGGTTGGGCGGGTTCACGCCCAATTGGGCGGCCTCCTCACTCTGGGCCTGAGAAGCAGCAGCTTTTGGCTGGGGGACGAATTTTTTTTATATAATAATAATAATAATCGTTGCATTTGATATAGCGCTTTTCACGTCGGGAGGACGTCCCAAAGCGCTTCACAGAACACACTGTAAAGTGAATTGACTGTATATTTGTGGGCGAACGCGGCAGCCAATTGCGCACAGCAATGTCCCACAAACAGTCGTAGATTGAAAATGACCAATTTATTATTGTTTTGTTTTTTGGAGGGATTATTATTAGGCTCTGTGTGGAGTAAGGAAACTTGCCCAAGGTTTCGCCCTGTCTGGAATTGAACTCAGGTCTCTCGCTTGCAAAGCGAGTGCTCTAACCACTGAGCTACAGGACTCCACAAGATATAATTTAGATCTGCTATAAAAGCGCCCCCCCAACCCATTGGAAGACCTCTTCTTGCGCAGCGTGAACAGCACGATCCCGAATTAGCCACTCTGCTCGCCGTAGGAGGCAATGCAATGTCGTGCCACTTTTGGGCTACTCTTTGGTGTACTTTAGTCTACAAACGTATTTTAATTCTGGGTGTTTCACTGTCAGTGGTTCCAGGTGTCAAAAGTTTATTGAGGGAGAGGGACATCGTTTGCCCCAACATCTAGAAAATAGGCCAATGTTCTGCGCACAATTTGCTCCTGCCTTAACAAAAGCAACCGTATTTATTCACCGAGACATCTTAAGTCACTTGAGGCAGTATTTCAGGAGCAAATCAAACCTCTCTCGGTGCAACGTCAAGGAATGTTTTTATTTTTTTTTTAAAAAAAGAGCATTTAGCGAAATTATTTGTTTTGGGGAGGAATTTGTGTCACGTAGGTCATCACAAGAAAATCACTTGTATTGTCGTAGCACCTTAGCAGGAAGTCAATTCAAGTGCAGTGACTGTTTTTGTAGGCAAAAGTTTTTCTCCAACAACAACTTGGATGTATATAGTTCCCTTCATGCCGGACGGCGTCTCAGAGCGCTTCACAGTAACGGATCCCGGGGCCGAGCCAGAGGAACAAAGACAATGGGCAATGTTTTGAGGAGAGAGGTCAGAGAGGTTGGGGGGGTGTGGAGGAGTGGAGGGATTTGAAGACAAAGATGAGGATCTTGAAATCGATCCTCTCTGGGACAGGCAGCCAGTGCAGTCTGGCAAGGACTGGGGTAATCGGGGAGTTTGGTGTAGCTGAGAATGCGGGTGGCAGAGTTTTGAATAATCTGGATTTTATGAATGGTAGTGGAGGGGAGGCCGGCGAGGAGGGCGTTTGAATAGTCCAGCCAAGAGGTGACAAAGGCATGGACCAGGTCCATTGCACAGGATGCTCAAATTACAAATTGGATTTACAAAATGAATAACCTGATGCATACTGGAGAAAGTACACACCATTTAGCACAAATTAAAATCCAACACTGCCAATACTTTCTCATGATTACAGTGTTTTATTAATAAAAAATAGCTTAAATCAGTTGCAAATTACAAAATACAGCAACATGAAAGGCACTGTATCAAATTTAAGAATTTTTATTATTATTATTAAACAACTGTCAAGAATTGATGTTTTGAAATATTGTCAAAGAAATATTTAGTTCTCCTCATTATGCTTTTAGTTTTTCTCGACTCAGACGAGCAGCAAACTCTACCAATGTCCTGGTAGGTCTTCCTGCCATTCCCTTTCGCAGGTAAGGAACCTCATCTTTGTTTGTCATCACTCCAGCTATATCAAGGTGAGCCCAGTGAGGGGCTGTAACAAACTCTTGCAGGAATGCTGCTGCCGTGCAAGCACCTGCAGACCTGCAGAAAGAGAACCAGCAGAGAATAGATGTTATCGGGCAGCACTTTAATGTGCAAATAAACTGACAGTGTAAAAGTCACAATGGTACTGTGTTCACCTGCTATATTTGCCAACGTTATTGAGGTCTGCTAGCTGTGACTCTGTTACTTGTTTGGTGTAATGCTGGAAGAGTGGCATTCTCCACACACGATCTCCAGTCACGACACCAGCCTGAAAAGAGAAAGTATGCAATTAACAACAGATAATGATCAGAAATGCACTGAGATCCATGTCATTCAAATTAATTGGCAGAACATGTAACTAAGCCTAACTTCTCAACCAAATAATACTAATACAGTGCTTGTCTTTTCCAACACCAGGATTCATGAGTCTATCATCCTCATCCTCCCTCAGCTCAACTGGCTCCCCACCGGATTGAATTAAAGATCCATGTTTTCACATTTAAATCTCCATGCCCCCTCTCTCCTCACCTTCAAAGCCTGATGTAAAATCACTTTAAGTGCTTTGAGACATCTAGAAGACGTGAAAAGCGCTATATAAAATGCAAGGATTATTATTATTATATTATTTTCAACTGAGCTTTTGTTTGTTTTTTTCCCCTACTCGACTCAACTCAGATATCCAATTTGCTGTGTGAAGTGTTTGTGACGACCTCCCAATATGAAAAGCACTGTATGATGTAAATTGCTGTGGTTGAAGTGCTTCAGTTTAATGGAGAGGGAAAATGAATAAAGCACTACTTTACACAATTATTTCAGGACAAATTACAAAGATTTTCTAATTAATCTACATATTGCTGAGATCAAGAAGACAAAAGAGCACAGTAATTTTGAATGTATTTGTAAGTGCAATTTTTGATGAGCCTCATTTATGAAACAGATAACAGATCACACTGGATAGCTTCATTTATTCTCTCATTCATATAATATTCTACAGCAAATCAAGTTATTTTGTTTTAAATCACTATATTGATGGTGATTTGGAAGCGATTATAATGCTACGCCATCCTCTCAGTTTTCATCTAGACCATTTTTACCGCATATAATTCTTCCAAGTAGTCTGACAATCTGTAGCACATAGGAACATACGGAATCAGAAATAATCACAGCAGTTTATTTGGCTGACCGCAAGTAAAAATAAAAAGATACAAAAGCGTTAATCACTGTCCCTTGACCCCATGATCCCTCTCAGGCTGACATGGCAGTGAAGAATCTTTGAGATAAAGTGCACAGGGACCTTCATCCAATTTACAGAATTGCGCTTTTTTTTAAATTCATAACCTGTGAATTATAATGGTTGGTCAATTCAACAAATTGTTGTTTTAGTGTTCTAGTCTCCATTCTAAAATTCATAATTTTAAAAATAAATGCGCACGAGTACCGAAGAAGCAAATGTGTGTAACTTGTGACATAAGCCATCCTTACTTCTCGGAGGTGATTCCACAGCCAGTCTGAGTTGGTGAAGACTCCAGTTGCTGCTGACCCCAGAGCAACATCCATAGCACCTGTTAAATATCTCAATCAAATCACTGAACTGAAGATACAAGCAACTAATAAACCGGCAGAACAGGCTCGATGGATGAAAATGACCTACCCCTATTCCTATGTTACTATGTACTTCTAAATGCTTAGATTTTGCTACTTATGCAGTAACATTGGACTTCCAAGATCTTACAATCCACAAGACTTTCCACTTTATACGATGACCAACTCGAGTTATAAGTTATTTCCTTGAATATATTTTGAAGTTCTTAAGGTAACTGGGTCTAATAGATGTAGCTGTCGGGAGCTTTTTTACCTCCTATGCTGAAATCCCAGGATGCCTTTGGTATCTTGCTCCAGGGTGAGCTAAGACAGCAAGTGCTACTAGGCTTTCTCCAAATGGTTTCTCCACCAGATACCTTTAGGTGCACACTTTCCAGCAGCTCGTCACTCGATTGCAATCAGCAGCTGGAATCGCAGCCAATTTAATCCTCATTAAATGCGTGAGACCTGGAGCATTCCAACTGCTGTCCCAGCTGAGAACAGCTTACCCAGCTCAGACAAGGAAAATAACTTGGGACCTTCCTTCAGATCTATGTGGTTCAGTGACGCGCCAAGTGGTACACTAATCAGGTCCTGTCCTCACTGTCTTTATTGACATTGTGCAAATTCAAGAAAAGTCAACATAACTATACCTGTTAACGTGGCAGCATTTACAATCGCCTTGGGATTAAAGTTATGGGCATAGCACAGGGCATCAGCTAGTATCAAACGACCCTCTGCATCAGTGTTATCTACCTTTAAAATTCAAGGGAGAAAATTAATCCGCTGTTCGATGCTGAGGGGATTCAAATGATGAAATATAAACAAATTCTGTAGACAATGAAAGAATCTAGTCGGCATCTTGTCATTCTTATGGCTTTATAAATACATTGTTTGTGATTAATAGTCAACTCTCACATTAACTTATAAGCTTTAATCTTCCCACTCTTCCCATAACTGTTCGCTACAAGGTGCAGAAAATTGGCTTTCAAAATTAAAATTGAATTTATGAATTTACACCATTTTGTACAATCCTAAATTTTAAGGACAAAATGGTCTTGCATGCTAAAACTAGGTGGAATTTCAGCCCTCAGTAGCAAAAGCCAAGCAAATTTTTCCTTCCCTAACCTTAAGATATTAGAATTAGTTGCAATATCTCTTTGCTAATCTGGTTAAAATTTAATTCAGAACAAGGAATGAATTGAGGACCTTTGCGATCTGTATGGCTCAGTTACTCACTGCATTAACTCATGAGTTTTTACCAAGTTGGGGTAACAATTCTATTGAGCATTACGTTAAACTTCTGGTGAAGCACTATTATAATGGGAGATCCTATTGTCAAAGGCACCAAGCATAACACTCAACAGAATTTTTACCCATTAATTTTATTTTGCAATGTAATCAAATTAAAAATACTTTCCAGTTTGTTTAATGAAGTTTGAAAGTGCAGGTTGAATCTCACTTTAAATTCTCTGATTTTTTTACACTTTTACTTTAGCAATAATCACGTTCAATGGTGTTAAACTATCCTTTACCATCAAACCAAATTCCTATCTGTAAGGTAGTATTTTGTTACAGCAAAGATAACATACTCCTTCCCCTCTGTACCCAAGATTACAATATTGTTTGGACTGGTGAAATATTTTAGCAGAAATGGGAAAGTGCACTCTTACCTGTATTGTTTTTCCATTCTTCGCTTTGACAACATCACCGGGTTTATTTGCTCTACCATTCAATAGATTCTCACACAAAGGTGCTAGACCTAGAAGATGCATTAGAACAAACACAAAACAAGCTTTACAATCAGAACAATGCAACTCCCACCTCCAATTTTTATGCAGAGGTGGTTAGAATTAGAATACACATTATGTGTTGTGTATATATTATATACATATTATATACAATCAAATAAACAGGGATGCAATGATTGATGTGTGGTGGAGATTGATGGACTTGTGCTGCTTTCTCTAACTCAATAAATTACAATTTATTTAACACAACACCTAATTCTGACTCCACAGATTATACCATGGTTTAGACAAAAGTAAAACTTTAGGTTCAGTAATCAATTCTTTTACATTACATTACAGAGATAATAAGTGTGCTACTGACAGGCTAGGGAGTAACATCCTTTGGTGGGGGGGGATGAATTGAAGCGAAGGGGAGGAGAGGCCTGGAAATAAGTTAAAATGAAGCCTACTCTTAACCATTCAGTTAACAAATATCACCAGGAACCAGACTACTTCTGGTGCGAGAATATTTTCTTAAAAGTGATAAATAAAAAGAAAAGGGATATTTAACATTTACATTTGGTGTAGGTACATTTGGTGTAGGTATTATTAATTCTAGCAGTAAAGGCATTTACATTGTTGTCTTGTTAAGGAGATGAGAAGATTTATAACTCTGTAATTATAGGAAATAATATGAACTAATGTTTGTGATTCTGCACATTCATGCAGAGGAAACAATTGCATACTAGGGTGCTTAAGCAGAACAACACATGGAACATTCAGTGATCAGAAGGATAAAGGAAACTGCAGGAAAACACTTTGGGACAGGATTGAAGGGACTACTGGTAACACTGCAGTTTGTTACTCCAGTACCTTACCTATGATGTTAAGAGGAAGTTTTAAAGTTGCTGCAGTGACGATGGCAGAGCAGATGGTTGCTGCCCCTCCCATGTCACCTCTCATTGCATCCATGCCCGATGCAGGTTTGATTGAGATTCCACCACTGCAAAAAGAAAAGGAAACTAGTTACACAACAGATTATACTGAATGTACAGAAGAAATGCAAATTCCACTCTGTGCTCCAATAAAATCTACAACAACCCAAAAACACTGTAAATTGAAAACATAGTAATCCAAGCATTTTTCAAGGAACACATGCACTGTAAAACTTCTGTTCACTACATAATCAACACCTCCCTCCCTTCACTAAAGTAAGTTTGGTATACACTGTACATTGTGTATCAGCCTGACTCAATTCGTATCACTCTTTCCTCTAAATCAGAAGGACCTGGGTTTAAGCCCCACATCAGAACTAGTCTATGCTGACATTCCAGTGCAGTGCTGGGAGTGAGCTGGAGATGCCATTCTTAGGATGAGATGTTAAACCTACGTTTCATCTGCCTGCCAGGTGGATGGTACGATTTGAAAATGGAAGGGAGTTTCTCCTGGCCAAGAATTCCCCAAATAAAAATGGTCATTCACTCCATGGCTGTTTCTGGGACATTGTTGTGCACAGATTGACTACCGCATCATACCACTAAATTTTTATCTTCATTTGAGAACATTAATGCATTTCGTAGTTATACAACAGGAAATTTGCTTCTACTCAGTAGCATGAACCAACTGTGCTTGCACTTCTATGTAACATCAATTCATCAGTTTAATCTGAAACTGTTGTATTTCACCAGAGTTTAAATGTAGATTAAAATATTGACTGACAACACTGAGGCAATTGAGTACCACTATAGGTATCCAGCAATCTTATCCCGATTTAAAATACACTTACCTATCAAAGGTTACACCTTTTCCCACAAAGACTAATGGTGAGTCACGAGAGACATTGCAGCCATTGTAGTGGACTTCCAAGAAAACTGGCTTTTCATCTGAGCCTTTGGCTACACTAAGGAAAGCTCCCATTTTCTGCTCCTCAATCCAGGGTTCGGTTCTAAAAGAGATAAATGAAACAAAAGGGAGTCATAGAATTACAAGGCAAGGAATCAAGCCAATTAGCCCAATTAATCCGTACCAGTGTTTATACTCCACACAAACTTCCATACCTACAATTCCACTCTTCTATTCTGCTTGATTCCCTTCTCGCTCATTTACACATTGTTTCCTACTGAATATCATTGTTTCCTCTTAAATACACTGATGTTTTTGTTTCAACCACAGCTTCCGGCAATGAGCTTCACATTCACACCACCATCTGCATGAAGAAATTCCTTTCAAACTCCCTATTAGATCCTTTACTAGGCAAGTATGAAACAAATGTAGATTTCCCCCTGTAAAATATTGTAGCATTTGATTACTAATTTATAGGATATTAATACTAATCTGTTTGAAGTAGTTTATAAATGCAATGTATTTCCAGTTACTGAATGTCTACTTCATAAAAGTGCACATGTGTAGGTGTCATACATATTTCAAACTCTCAATCTGGTTTGGATACTCAGCAACAGAAGAGATTTTGCACGTCTGAGAATTCTGTCTGACTGAAAGGAAACCATAATTAATGCAGGAAGTGAGTTACCTTATGTGTACTTTGACATCAGCACCTGTTGAACTCAGAGTTTGTTGTATTGTCTCTGCAAAGCTGGTTGGAGTTAAATAATTAGCTGGCATTTCCATCAAGTGGCGCGCTAAATTCTGGCCTTCTGCATATGCAACTCCTTTCTGCCAGGCCTCACTGTCTGAACTTGCGGAGAGAAACAGCAGTAAAGTATTTAAAGTTCGGCACGCTAAGGGAAAGATGTTATGAAGCTATTGACATAATACTCTAATATGGTTGGAGAATTGGGTAATATTGCATCAGTTTGACTCAGTAAATAACATTCTCCCATCTCCTAAAGTTGTAGGTTCAATCCCTACATTGGGACTTGAGCTCACAAGTTTTGTGCTCATAGCTCAGCCCAGTCAGTATTGGAGGGGGGGAAAGAGACTGGAAATGCTGCATTTACACAAGACATTAAATCAAGCTGAATGTTAAACATCAGTGGTTAATTGAATAATATAGAAGCTACATAATAATGCAGAAGCATAAATATTATGGAATTTCAGTGCTTGGATCAGGTATACGTTTCTTGAGACAAAACACAATAAACAGAAATAAAGTGCACTTCCTATAAATTCATCAGGTTTAGGTACCTTTGATATGGTCTCACAGTGACCAAATTCTTCTTTTTCTGCTTCAGATCATTGTATTCAAATAAACCCAAAACGGATCCTTCAGCTGCAGACTGGGCATCCTCACATGGGTCAACGTCCACTACTGGAACCTCAAGGTCTTGCAACTGCCTGCATCCAACTGAAACACATTAAGATGGGACATTTTTCCATTAAAAAGTGCTGTGCATAACTCTTTGAAATTCAATACAACAGATTATTTAAACATCCATAAATAATCAAGTGAACCCCATTATAACCTGCTGGTTTGGGTATATAAACTCAGACCTAGTGTTATAATGGGGTGCACAAAAATGTCCACCAGTCAGTGTTTCCAGTCAGGGTCGTCATGTCATTGCTGACATTACTTACTATATGCACGATATTCACAGGACATGCTATAACCTTGCATGCAACATGTACGAAGAAAGCACCACTGAAATCACTTCCCATCAGAACTCCATCACAAAAACATTAGAAACTCCATTATATTCAGTAACTATAAACAATGAGAGCCAAGTATCCAAGAGCTGCATTGTACAAATTAAATCAGCCAAGTGATTCATTTGGGTTTTAATTTAAGAGGTATTTTCCAGGAAAAGAAAAGCTTCTCCAGCATTGGTATCTGCCTAACAGAGTGAAAGATATCCTGGGCTGAAATGGCAGGACAAGCCAGGGAATTCTGACCTTTTTCGGTCCTCAAACTCCCATTAATTTAACTCCTATTCATGTCCTTCATAGCATTTCCTGACAAGGGGTTGATAGATAATTCATCTTCCAATCACCTAGTCTTATCTGAACGATCACAACAATGCTGTGGTCCAACCTACTGCCGGGCAGTGAACAACAACAGTGCAGATTCATTCAAATCTGAAATTGTCTCAGTGAAAGAAACCACTTGAGCTCCATTCACCATCTGACCAGCAGGCGGCAGATTACAGAGAAGGACGACCACCTCAAAGGCAGACACTGATCTATCAGTCTGCAAACTCACTGCATCAGCTCAACTAATGTCAACTATTTCTCCAAGCTGAAGAAATTAACTATAGAGTCAACCAAACACACACACAATAAACCAGTACTGCAGTGTTCATTCACACGACATAAAGATAGATGAAAAGCACCTTTTACCTGCAATGGCAGCTCGGATATTGTCTTTGCTCTCATCATACTGTTCCGAATGACTGACTCCAGCTTCCTTGTCACCAAGACCAACAACTACAAGTTGGGGGAAATCCTATAAACACAAAATACCCTTTTAATAATTAGGAACACGGGCATTACAAATCCAATACAAATTTCTGTTCATACAGCACCTTTCACATTGGAGGTACGTCCCAAGGCTCTGGACAGCTCAGGCTTTTTGCACCTGAGCTGGCGGTGGGGAAATATGTTCAAAAGTGCAGTCAAAGAGGAAGGTTTTGTGGGACTGATTGGGTAGCTCTTCCAAAGGGGCACGATGGGCTGAATAGTCCCCTTCTGTACTGTAATATCCTATGATTCTGTTCTATGATTCTAATGTATTGCATGCAACCAGACCACACTTGCACCCCACATCTCACTTATTTGACACCGCTAAAACTGTAACATTGATGCATTCACTTGAACAAAGTATTGAATATTTCAAAGTGAAACAATACCTGATGGACACCATAAAATATGCGACTTTTGCCCTTTTTCAGTGCAGGTCCAGATCTAAAAAGAAAAGCAAAAACCGTTGCATTCTCAAAATCAGCAAGAATACCAGGTGGGCTTGTTAAATAGCAGAGAGCTCAAACATTATACTCTCAGTTTACACATTTCCAAATTGCCGAACCTCGATTTACCACGCCTCACTGTTCCCATGATTTCCAAACTCAATTGGCTTCCAGAACCTCAGAGAAGCAAATTTAAGATCCTTAGCAACCGAGGCCGATATTCCAGCAGTTTAGATCGAACAGATCGATTTCAAGATCTTCTCGCTAGTTTTCAAATCCCTTCATGGCCTCGCACCTCCCTCCCTATCAGATCTGCTTACTCCCCCACCCATTGCCTCCGGTCTCCTGTTCGTCCCTCCCGTTCCGTCATCGGCGGCCGCACTTTCAGCCACTACGCCCCGAAATTCTGAAACTCTCTCCCTCAATCCCGCCTCCTCGCCCCTCTCTCCCCACTTTCAAATCCTGCCTAAAGACCTTCCTTTATGATCGTACTTACGGTCACTTCCCCCACTCTCTTTCCCTCTGGCTCGGGGCCAGACTCCACCACTGTCAAGCGCTCCGGGAAGCTGCCGCGCGCGTGAAGGGCGCTATAATAAGTGCAAGTTGTTGCAGACACTGAAACATACTCACACTGTAAGAAGTTCCCGAAGCCTTCCTGACACAGAGTTGTCAAACGCTTCGCCTGCCTTTGTAAACTGACCCACCTCACCTTCTTTCTTCCCCGTATACACCCCGAGGACGAGACCCTACAAACGGAAGTAACAAGCGGCAACAAAGTCGGATCATTGTTTCTTTTTTTCTTACGATGAAGGGAAGGAAATATCTAAATAAGCGCAGCAGCCGCAAAACAATTCGCACCAGAGGCCCTCGTGCCCCTGGTTATTTGCACGCGCTCCGCTGCTCGGGTTATTGAAACAATAAGAAATTGGTCATTTTCAATCCACGACTGTTTGTGGGACATTGCTGTGCGCCATTGACTGCCGCGTTCGCCCACAAATATACAGTCAATTCACTTTACAGTGTGTTCTGCGAAGCGCTTCGGGACGTCCTCCCGACGTGAAAAGCGCTGTATCAGATGCGAGGATTGTTATTAGTAGTATTATGATGATGATTGCAACGGCGACGCTTGGTTTTCCAGACACGTTTCCTCGATCGGGTCACGCCGTCACCTTTTCCGCCGACTCGCAGCGGCGCTGCAGGAAAACAGAACAGCCGAACAATTGCAAACCGGTGAACTTAATGGTAACCCCTAACAATCCGGGGGGTGGGGGGGGGGGGAGGGGGGGGGGCAGTGTGTGGGTGTGTGGGTGTCAGTCAGTCAGTCAGTCACCTTGGAGTGGCTGCAATAGCCCCGGGACAGTGAGAGGCCCCTTCCCCGCCCCCACCCCCACCCCAACCCCTGTCTGAGTCTGAGCAGCATCTCAGCAAAATAATAGGGCCCAGAGAGCGTCCGCGAGGCCGCACCGCACACCCGCACACACCCGCACACACACACCCGCACACCCACACCCGCACACACACACCCGCACACACACACCCGCACACACACACCCGCACACCCGCACACACACACCCGCACACCCGCACACACACCCGCACACACACACACACCCGCACACCCACACACACACCCGCACACACACACACACCCGCACACCCACACACACACCCGCACCCGCACACACCCGCACACACACACACACCCGCACACACACACACACCCGCACACACACACCCGCACACCCGCACACACACACCCGCTCTCTCTCTCCCTCTCTCCCTCTCCCTCTCTCGCGGCCCCACACCCCACACCGCCTTTTGCCACTCAGCGCCGCCTTTGTGCGTCAATGGTGAGCGCCCGATCTCCCCTCACCCCCCCCCCTCCCTGCAAACCGGCAGCAGCGCCGCAAGCCGGCAACTGCCTGTCAGTGCCGCACCCCGTGCCTGTCAGTGCCCCGTGCCTGTCAGTGCCCCGTGCCTGTCAGTGCCCTGTGCCTGTCAGTGCCCCGTGCCTGTCAGTGCCCTGTGCCTGTCAGTGCTGCACCCTGTGCCTGTCAGTGCCCTGTGCCTGTCAGTGCTGCACCCTGTGCCTGTCAGTGCCCCGTGCCTGTCAGTGCCCTGTGCCTGTCAGTGCCCTGTGCCTGTCAGTGCTGCACCCCGTGCCTGTCAGTGCCCCGTGCCTGTCAGTGCCCCGTGCCTGTCAGTGCCCCGTGCCTGTCAGTGCCCTGTGCCTGTCAGTGCTGCACCCTGTGCCTGTCAGTGCCCTGTGCCTGTCAGTGCTGCACCCCGTGCCTGTCAGTGCCCTGTGCCTGTCAGTGCCCAGTGCCTGTCAGTGCCCTGTGCCTGTCAGTGCTGCACCCTGTGCCTGTCAGTGCCCCGTGCCTGTCAGTGCCCCGTGCCTGTCAGTGCCCTGTGCCTGTCAGTGCCCCGTGCCTGTCAGTGCCCTGTGCCTGTCAGTGCCCCGTGCCTGTCAGTGCCCCGTGCCTGTCAGTGCCCCGTGCCTGTCAGTGCCCCGTGCCTGTCAGTGCCCCGTGCCTGTCAGTGCCCCGTGCCTGTCAGTGCCCTGTGCCTGTCAGTGCCCCGTGCCTGTCAGTGCCCCGTGCCTGTCAGTGCCCTGTGCCTGTCAGTGCCCCGTGCCTGTCAGTGCCCCGTGCCTGTCAGTGCCCTGTGCCTGTCAGTGCCCTGTGCCTGCCCCACACAGTGCTCACCCACTCAGGGAGGGGCACACAGGTCACTTGGAGCTGTCCCTTCGGTTTGCCCCCCTCCTTCCCCTCTTTTAAGGTCATGACTAAAGACCTTCCTCTTCGACCATACATAGGGTCTCCGGCTTCCTCCCCAGGCTCAGCGCCAGGCTCGGCGCCAGGCTCGGCGCCAGGCTCGGCGCCAGGCTCGGCCCCAGGCTCGGCGCCAGGCTCGGCCCCAGGCTCGGCCCCAGGCTCGGCCCCAGGCTCGGCCCCAGGCTCGGCCCCAGGCTCGGCCCCAGGCTCGGCCCCAGGCTCGGCCCCAGGCTCGGCCCCAGGCTCAGCGCCAGGCTCAGCCCCAGGCTCGGCACCAGGCTCGGCCCCAGGCTCGGCCCCAGGCTCGGCCCCAGGCTCGGCCCCAGGCTCAGCGCCAGGCTCGGCGCCAGGCTCAGCCCCAGGCTCGGCGCCAGGCTCGGCCCCAGGCTCGGCGCCAGGCTCGGCCCCAGGCTCGGCGCCAGGCTCGGCCCCAGGCTCGGCCCCAGGCTCGGCCCCAGGCTCAGCGCCAGGCTCGGCGCCAGGCTCAGCCCCAGGCTCGGCCCCAGGCTCGGCCCCAGGCTCGGCCCCAGGCTCGGCGCCAGGCTCGGCCCCAGGCTCAGCGCCAGGCTCGGCGCCAGGCTCAGCCCCAGGCTCGGCCCCAGGCTCGGCGCCAGGCTCGGCGCCAGGCTCGGCCCCAGGCTCAGCGCCAGGCTCAGCGCCAGGCTCAGCCCCAGGCTCAGCCCCAGGCTCGGCCCCAGGCTCAGCGCCAGGCTCGGCCCCAGGCTCAGCCCCAGGCTCGGCCCCAGGCTCGGCCCCAGGCTCGGCGCCAGGCTCGGCGCCAGGCTCGGCCCCAGGCTCAGCGCCAGGCTCGGCCCCAGGCTCGGCCCCAGGCTCAGCCCCAGGCTCAGCGCCAGGCTCGGCGCCAGGCTCAGCCCCAGGCTCGGCCCCAGGCTCGGCGCCAGGCTCGGCGCCAGGCTCGGCCCCAGGCTCAGCGCCAGGCTCAGCGCCAGGCTCAGCCCCAGGCTCAGCGCCAGGCTCGGCCCCAGGCTCAGCGCCAGGCTCGGCCCCAGGCTCGGCCCCAGGCTCAGCGCCAGGCTCAGCGCCAGGCTCAGCCCCAGGCTCAGCGCCAGGCTCGGCCCCAGGCTCAGCGCCAGGCTCGGCCCCAGGCTCAGCCCCAGGCTCGGCCCCAGGCTCGGCCCCAGGCTCGGCGCCAGGCTCGGCGCCAGGCTCGGCCCCAGGCTCAGCGCCAGGCTCGGCCCCAGGCTCGGCCCCAGGCTCAGCCCCAGGCTCAGCGCCAGGCTCGGCGCCAGGCTCAGCCCCAGGCTCGGCCCCAGGCTCGGCGCCAGGCTCGGCGCCAGGCTCGGCCCCAGGCTCAGCGCCAGGCTCAGCGCCAGGCTCAGCCCCAGGCTCAGCGCCAGGCTCGGCCCCAGGCTCAGCGCCAGGCTCGGCCCCAGGCTCAGCCCCAGGCTCAGCGCCAGGCTCGGCCCCAGGCTCGGCCCCAGGCTCGGCCCCAGGCTCGGCCCCAGGCTCAGCGCCAGGCTCGGCGCCAGGCTCGGCGCCAGGCTCGGCGCCAGGCTCGGCGCCAGGCTCGGCCCCAGGCTCGGCCCCAGGCTCAGCGCCAGGCTCGGCCCCAGGCTCAGCGCCAGGCTCGGCCCCAGGCTCAGCGCCAGGCTCGGCCCCAGGCTCAGCCACTGTTAAGCGCTCCAAGATGCTGCCCCGTGTGAAGGTGCTATATTGATGCAAGTAGTTGTTGGCAAAATTGGTCCAGTCAATGCAAGGTGTCAAATTTGTAATTGCAAACAGTGAGAAGAATTACCTTCCCACTTTGACCCACAGAATGATGAGATTTTCTTGATTCGTTTATTATAAATGTTTAATTTGTAGCAACCCTTTAAATATTTGAAACGACAGGAGATCTTTGATCTTCACCTGAAGAAGCAGCCGGGACTGTGGTTTGATGTCTCATCCATGGATCACATCTCAAACAATGCAACATTACCTCCAACATTGTTGCAGCAAATGGTGCTTCAACCTCCATCCTTGTGACACAAAGTAACGGGACTACTAACTGAGCCAAATTGACACACAATGTGGTTTAATGATGCACTTTAAGCCATTTGTACAAAGTAGTATCAAAGCATTCAGTCTCAATGCCAGACTTTCTTCATGCTCAGCTGTTAGCTGTGTATTTTTNATTTAAATGTGTTTGCAATACACTAATTAAGAATGATATTGCTTCATTAACTGCTTTCACTTGCTTTCTAATTACTATAAATTTGGGAGCCAATTTATGAAGTAAATTAACTTTAACTTTGATGAACAATTAACTTTGTGGTCACCTAATGAACTATGTAATCCTTGACTCTTGTTTTCAGCAAAATCTCTATTCTCTTTCCATTTTTTCCTGCATCTAACATAAATTATCTATTCTCTGGAAATTCTCCTGTGCAACAGGCAATCAATTCTGGTTGAATATAATTGAAATTTGTGACATTTCCAAATGGAAAGAGGTGTTGTCATTTCCGTTGATTGTTGGTCTTTATGATAATTAACAGGTTATAAGTCCATAAATAATCACTATTTGTTTTCAATCTGTACAAACCAAGGTACACACGAAGATCACGAATATGTTTACAAACTGTTAAAAGAGACTAGACACATATGGAACATAGTAATACAATCTATGCAACTTGTTATTGGAGATGGTAGGCATACTTGGAATTTTCGATAGGGGATATGAGACATATATGTGACCTATTAATAATAAACAATCCTTGCATATATATAGCACTTTTCATACGGGGGATGTCTCAAAGCACATCACAGAATATACTGTAAAGTGTAGTGGCAGTCAGTTTGCGAGTTTAGTCAGAGACATTCACATTGTGACCCCTATAAATCTCCCATTGCAATTAGCAATGGGAGAGACCAAATCTGACAACATGCAATAGAAAATGTACACATAGACTTTGGCAGAAACAGCCTTTCTCGGGGCCTCAGTCAAAGACTCTAAATTGTCAACTTCAATATGGAGGGATTCTCTTCAGAGAAGGCTGATGTTCTAACTGGAAAGAAAGTAGACTCTTGTAAGAAACACATAGAGACACCAGCACCAAACATCCCTGACATGCACATTGCCATGGACATTGAAAGTAGCATCAATGGCAGTACGATACTTGAATGTGACAGAAGACAGGTGAAAAACCCTGCTGTAAAACTCTATAATACAGTGGAATTTATTATGGTTGAACTTGACCAAACAGCAGTCGTTTTGGTTTACAAACACCAGGTGAACAGGTTGCATGGCCAACCGACCTTCCCCTGCCAGAAAACCCATGGCTTGTGCTCCCTGACTTCAACAGTCACAACACCATCTGGGGCAACAAACAACATTACCTTGCTCTATGATCCCAAAGCCAAATTTATCTTTCAAAGCGCATCCTGACCCAACTTTGTCACCTCTGATAATGCAGGCAACTTCAGAAGGGATGTCAAGGCAGTGATCACAGGATAAACTAATGCAAATGACAATAGAGGCTGCAGTTCAACCCAGAAAAAACAAGTACCTGCTGAGATTCAACTTTAGAAAGGCTACCTGGGAAGATTTTACCTCTGAATTTGATAAATCTATCTGTAATATTACTCCGACACATGAGCACTACAGAGTACATTTTTACTTCTTATATGCAGCACCTTGGATTTATCTGTATTTAACTTTGTTTGCAGTGATCAGAACACATCCCTACCCTATTTGCCTCCTCTGATTCTACAGTAGTTTCCCCTGACTTGGAGTTATCTACAAATTTAACTACTTTGCAATGAATCTGTAAATCTATGTTATTAACATGTATAAGGAACAGATAATATTCAGTGAAGTAGAGAGACAGAGTGTACATATTATGGCACAGATTTTATTTAGGTAGGACTTTGTTGTGGAACACTGCAATATTCATATCTCCTTCTGAATACTAACAACTACTGAGAATCCAAAATGTTAAACGTTGGTATTGAGAGAGTTAAAAATTATGATCTGTACTGCCATGTATTCAGCTGGACCATAAAATAGCATTTAAAAAGAAACAAAGCAAATCATTTATTTGATATCAATAAAGTATGGTATTAAATGAAGAAAATAAATCTTTTATACATGTTCAGAAATAATGCAATGATATATAGTCATTTACAAGATATTTTTCCATTAGTACCACAAATTTGGTAAATAGTCACTTTAACTGTTAATCACAAGAATATTTTGCCCACTCTTTCTCATTGTACAAATAAAATGAATATGATTCCCAGAAGGTAGATAATTGTAGTGATATTTCCATAAATGCGTCTCCATGTGATAAATGTAACTTTTGGTAGCTTAGTACATTATATCTTCGGGTGTGACATTTGCTTCCTCTGTTTTGGTCTTTAACGTAGGGAATTGCACTCCGCTAACACGTACCAGTAGCAGGTTTACAACATGCACAGCAGCACTCGCCACACACAGCCAAAAGGAGAAGTCGAAGCACTCCTGAAAGATGACAAATTTAAAAACATTTTCCCGAAAATTGGCAATTCGTTCTGTATGGCGATGGATCTTCACAGCTGCAATAAAACAAACAACTGCAAACACTCCACATCCACCTGCAAAAGGAAACTGATGTTAATGCCTTTGTCTGCTACGATAGATATTCCCTTACTCAAAAAAAAATGTTTCTTAGAATATATATTCTGGAAACCTAGCATGAAAAAAATGTATATTTATTTATGTACTCTGATGACAAGAAGTTTAAGGTTATAGCATTGAAATGAATCATTTAGCCCATCAAGTCTACATTGATGTTTTTCTCCACATGAACCATCTGGTCTAAACCCATTCTCTTGCTTGCTCCCTCATGCTTTGATATTCCTCTTTTTCACCCATCAATCTTATATCTGTGTTTAGCTAACAGTTTAAAATGCTTAAGATAAACCCTAATCTATCCTGGGTATCTTATTTGATTAGCACTGAATTTCAAACCAAAAAGCACTAGTCCACATGCTGGCATCCCTTTACTCTTTTTAGGATTCTCTGAAGTTGTATCTGCTTTGGTCTGCCGTTATTGGGGTGTCATCTTAGTCTACGCAATTCCAAGTCCTGATGTGGGGCTTGAATCCACAACCGTCTAACTCAGAGGCAAGAGTATTACCACTACGCCAGGTAATAATGGGTGAATGGAAGGTCCTTATTGCCCTTGATATTTTTATTCCAACTTTACACAATCTTAGTTTTGTTGAAAGCTCTGATAATTGGGAAAAATATTGAATAAATAGTTCACTTGCTTGTTAAAAGTTGCAAGGGTGTTTGACGGGATTTCATGACAAGTTAACAGCGGGACATGGCCAAGGATAGAAATATTATGATAGTAGCCTAATGAATTATGATATACAGCTCCGTACACTTACTTGCTATCAGGTTCCAGAGGTAAATTCCCATTGGCCCCTTTATCGTTTGGTATGGGATCTTCACAGCATTATAAATACAAAACCCAAAACTGACCAAAGCAAATGCAATGGCGAAGCAGAGAAAAAGTATAACCAACATATGAACTGCTGCATGCAGCGTTTTCACCAACTGTGGAAAAACTGAAAACATAAGATTAGAAATGATTATAGTAAAAATCAAAATTTGTAGCAACTCATGCAACATTTTCTCACAAAAACATCTCAGGTGACATAAATATTACATTTGGTATTGAGGTTAAATATATTTCTTACATTTTGTAATCCTGAAGTACAAAATATGTATGTTTTTCTTTGGATTCGATCAGTTATATTTTACATCCCATCCCTTGCCGTTTGTTGCTGACTTGATGGTTAATGTTTAAGGAGATGAGAAAGTGAGGATTCAGGAGGTAACACAGGCAAATCAAGCAGAGTGAGTTCTTGATTCCCAGTTTCTTTCTCTGTCTTGCCTATAATGACTTGCAATGTTTGGATGGGTTTCATCATTTTTTTTCACAGGTTTCCCATTATTAACTCTATAATAAACTGTTTGTAATAGAGATTAATATTTGTTAAAGTTTAAAACAGGAGCCCTTGTTTCAAGTATTTTTTTAAAAAACCTGTGATTGCAATGTCAAGCACTTTAAGATGTCCTCCTGGCATGAAAGGTGCTATATAAATGTAAATTGATACTATTGCAAGCTTTAGAGGCTTTATGCAGGCTCAGCGCCTTGGGACGTCCTCCTGACGTGAAAGGCGCTTTATAAATGGAATCTTGTTGTTGTTGTTGTTGTCAGTACATGAGACCCGAAATTGCACCGAGTCCTAACATTTAAGATCTAGTACAATTGTGGAAATTCTTACATTCAGTCTTAACTTGGTTAGACTAACTTTAACAATATTCCACAATTTTAGGATTCTCATGTGCTGGAGCATCAATAAAGTAATTTCCTCTTCAAACCAATTACATTCCCTATTCAAATAATCTGCCATTTTTATATAGGGAGAGTTGTGTGGCACAACTAGGTTATACATTGCATTGACATTTAACAGTGACATTTGTTCCTTTTAGAGGCACAATAAAATTAAATGCCACATGGAATAATTTAATTTGATCGTGTTTTAAACAGCAGCATTTTGGTTTTCCTTTGCTTGATTAAAACGCGAGAGGTGCAATTTTACCCCACTCTTGCATTTTATGGCAGACAATTATGCCTTGTTAAATGTTAAGTTCCACAGCAAATTTTGCATAAAAAAAAGATTAATTGCAGTTTGAAAAATAAGTGCATTGGAGAATCAAAAGGAACCTTTTGTTAAACATAATTGTTGTGATTCCTTAAACAGATGTTGCAGAAACAAAATTGTTTCACAATATGATCCTCATTGTATCCACACAAGTGGTAAACGATTGCAAAAGCATGATTTATTTTCCAAACGATCTTACATTTAATAACTAGCATTATCTTTGTGTTCTGGTATTGATTTTCTTTTTGCTCAACAAAAACAACTTGTATTTATATAGCATCCTTTACATGGAGTAGTACCCAGAAGCACTTGACAGTGGTAGAGTCTGACCCCACGCCAGGGGGAGAGGGAGTAGGGAGGTGACTTTAAGCACAATCAAAAATAAAAGTCTTAAGTGGGATTTGAAAGTGGGAAGGGAGGGAGCAAGACGGAGGAATTGAGGGAGAGAGTTCCAGAGCTTCGTGGCATAGTTGTTGAAGGCATGGTCACGATGGTGGAGCGGAGGGTACGAAGTACAAACAGGTGGCCGGAGCCAGCCGAGCGGAGGCAGTGAGTGGTGAAGTGGGGGGGTAAGTAGGTTGAATAGGTTAGGAGGTGCGAGAGCATGAAGCGATTTGAAAACAAGTGAGAGGATCTTGAAATCGATCCGTACAGTAATTGGGAGCCAATGGAGCCTGGCAAGGATTGGTGTGATGGAGGTACAGAGTTTTATGAGGGTGAGTTTCCGGGCGGCAGAGATTTGAATTATTTGGAATTTGTGTATAGTGGACATTGGAATAGTCCAGACGGGAAGTGATGAAGGTGAGGATGAGGGTTCCTGTTGCTTTGCTTGTGAGGTACGGATGGAAGTGGGCAATGTTGATGCCATCAGTCTGAACTGGATTCAAACTAAGATTTCAGAGATGAAAAGAGATGTAACCTTCCTATGCCATTCAATTTAATAATCAATAAAGATAAACCAATTGAATCATTTTTCCCAAATCTGCCATAATTACTTAAAATTTTGGAAGTCCGTCCTCCAAGGCCACACTGTCGGATCTTTCCTCCTTGGAATAGCCCATAGTAAATGTGTCCAATAAACTTTGCCAGTTCTGGATCTGTAGCATTTACAATATCAGCCCCTGTTTTGCACAGAATGGTACCAGTCACCCATCGCTTTGTCCCCAGTGCCACTGCCAACAGGAGTGCAGACATAAAGCTTACAGCAGAAGCTACAGAAAAGAGAATTTTTTTCAGGCGACTGGGCATTGCACCAAAGCGAATGTCAACAGTCTGACTCTGTCAGTCTCTTAATAATTGAATGTGTCAATGAGATTTCATGTATACAGTTGGCGAGAAGCTTCATCTGCACATAGCCTGCTTCCAAACCATTTTCATGTTCGAGACAAATCACATTGGAATCAAATAATATTTCAAAATTGTTTGCAACTGCAGGAGATTCAATATAACTTATCCAACGTTCCATCAGATGTAATACTGGTTGTTCACAGGTGGCCTTTGCATTTTTGCTTAGTAGTCTTGGCACAATTTTCCAAAAATATTAAAGAAATAAGAAGGCCATCCTATTGAAAATGGCATTTACTATAGGCGATATGGTAACCATCCCAGTGAACAATGGTGAATGCCACACCATACATGGTCACTTGTCATTGGGTTGATGATTCCAAATAATCTTCGTAAACATGAGTATAAAAAGATCCAAACGTGTTGTCCATTCAGATAGAATGGTAGCTCACTGTGACTGTAAAAGAAAAGAAAAAAATACAGTGAAAATATTCATCAATCAGCAACATGCTCTTCTCAACTTGCATTGTGCAATAAAATTGTCTCAACGATGTGACAAGGCTATATCAAAAATGCAAATATTATTAAAATTAAAGACTCTCTGTAACATTGGTTTTGACCTTAAAGCTGAAGGTTAGTTGTTGGTAGTTCCACTCTGGTGGCCTTACAAAGTAATGCATCTGTGCACCTAAGTATTAGCCCCAATTGAAACTCAATGTGTTGCCTATTTATCTCTGGTTTAAATCTACTCTAAATCATTAAAGTAAGTCTCTTTTTTGTTTCTCCCTCTCTTTGTGCTGCATTTAATGGTTCAATATTAAATATGTTTGAACATTCTCAGCTCAGTTCAGCAGCAGAGTTGAATGCAAGCACAAAACAGCCCACAATTCAATACTATTTGACAGAAAGACTGTAAATGTGGGTGGAGTGGGAAACAGAGATATTCAAAGTATGGAGCAAGAGATATTTTTCTAAGGATGAGATTAAGGTGTGTTGCCATAGTAGATTAGAGGGAGTTTTACTCTGTATCTGGTCTATGCCAAACCTATCCTGGGGATGTTGTTGTACTGAAACAGAGACCACATGGGGTCCATTCAGAGAACAGAAACTCTTCCCTTATTCCCCAACCTCTGCATGCCAATAACTAATAAGACTCATATCTGCTCTACAGGTTTATTTTCATTTTCCTCCCTTTCTGAATTAGTCCAATTAGGAAATTTCCCCAAACATATAGTCCAGTGTCTTACCCCAGCTTCCCAAACTTGGTCAAAAATGCTCACAAGTTCATAATCATAATTGTGGAGTCCTGTAGCTCAGTGGTTAGAGCACTCGCTTTGCAAGTGAGAGACCTGAGTTCAATTCCAGGCAGAGGGCGAAACCTTGGGCAAGTTTCCTTACTCCACACAGAGCCTAATAATAATCCCTCCAAAAAAACAAAACAATAATAAATTGGTCATTTTCAATCTACGACTGTTTGTGGGACATTGCTGTGCGCAATTGGCTGCCGCGTTCGCCCACAAATATACAGTCAATTCACTTTACAGTGTGTTCTGTGAAGCGCTTTGGGACGTTCTCCCGACGTGAAAAGCGCTATATCAAATGCAAGGATTATTATTATAATCACATTTGATTGACCAGCACCTCGATATTGCCAAATGGCAACAAAGCCAGTCGTAATGACTATTGATGCACTTGATCAAAATCAGTAACTAAGCATAGTTAAAAAATTTGATCTTGATAATAATAATTATTGCATTTGATTTTGCGGCTTATTACACATCAAGACTTCTCAGTGCCCTTCACCAGATATCCTGTTATGTGGATTGACTGTATTTTGTGGGAGAAACACAGTAGCCAATTTGCCCACATCAAACAACCATGGAGTAATTGACCAATTTTATTTGGAGTATTTGTTGGCTAGGACACTGGGAGAAACTCCTTTCTCTTTTCGAATAGTGACATGGGATACAACGTCAAGTGGAGAAAGAAGGGGGAACCTTAGTTTAACATCTCATCCAAAGGATGAAAAGGCCTTCATGGCCTTTCTTGCCAAAAGGCCAAGAAGTAACCTGCTATACAAAAAGACATTTGATCCCTGCCGATACATATCTTGGTTAGTTCTCCAGTGACAAGCAAAAGGCACTGATTGAGACTCTTACCTGGTTAATTCCCAGGTAACTGATTCCTCCTCTCAGGATGTTGTCCACAATCTCATTGAATTACTTTCCATGCAATTAACGTATGAGCTCTGTCTGTGTGTAGTGTGCATCTCCTCTTCCCACCTTCCAGCAAGTACAGTGGAATCTCATGATACTAAACATCGAAGGAGGGAAAATCAGCCCAGTTTCCGGCTGCCCAGTGAACCTGCTATAATTCACTGTATGCACACATGCACAGCTGTTAGAAAGTCACTCTTTACATCAGAATAATGCATTCGCCAATGAGATCAAGCCCTGAAAAAAAAACTTACTCTACTTTGTTAATATCATAAGTTTGCATAAATGAATGGTAACAAGTCGACAACATCATGAAGATCCGTTTAACATAAAGTTCAAAGAAAATACAATTACAGGATTACAGAACACTGCGTTTTATACAGATAGAATGTTTTTCTTATTGCTGAAATACAGGGTTGAAAAGGAAAGTAAGCCATCTCAGAGTTTGAGCATTATTGTAATAGATAGAGCTCTGGTGTCTGTCTGTCTCACTGTGTTACTGATCTGGGAGCAGCATTGCTGCTGTTCCTCTCCTGGTTGAACGAGGCTAAAATCCTGTAGGTAAATTTAAGACTGGGAATCTGAAAAGGCTCAAGTATCCAAACAACTGTCATAGTCCCGTGTTTATCACATATTTTAGGATCAGAACTTACAGTTTCCGATCTGCTCACATCGACCCCTCTCACTGCAGCTGTGAACTCCTTGTAAAATTCATCGTGAAAACACAAATGAAATGCTGTGAGTGTGCAACACCAAGGCATATTATCCCAGAAAGTAATTCTTGGAGTGATTCTGCACTCCGGCTGTAAGTGATTCACTGGCAGTGGCGTTTCTAAACACTATAACATGTGATCGTTCCCCAGGTTACCTATTGCTCAGCTCTCACTGCCCTGCTACCCTATCCACTGTCGAGACACATAAATAATGAAACTTCTGCAACAAGATAGGCGCTATTTCGCATTCAGATTACATTAAGACTACTCGTTCTGCCTCACCGATAGCTATCAAATTCTGTAACTCACCTTTTGATCCTGGTTTTGTCAAAAGTAAATTCTACAAAGAGTAATTTCGGCAAAAGAATCCATCCATCCCTTGTGTGCAGAGGAATTAACATTGCAAAAGCCCTGGCTCTGGACTGGGGGCATCAATGCTATATCATATGACCCATATAGAGGCTTTGACAAATTTGACCAGTCAGTGTGTGTAAGCTATTTGGTGTGTAAATTTCAAGAACAAATCCTCAATTTTAACAATAATATCCTTGCATTTGATATAGCACCTTATCACATCTTCGAGACATCTCAAAGCATATTGAATTGACTGTATATTTTGTGGCCAAAATGTAGCAGCCAATTGCTCACAGCAGAGTCCCACAAACAGTTATGGATTATACTTATAATTTTTTAAAATTTATCTTTTGAAGGGAGTTTAAAACAAATCACAGAATGAATGTTTCAATTTAAGAAATGATTTCAGTTCTGACCTAGTATTACTTTTTATGTTCCCTCTATTATATGGATAGTTCTGTGTCCCAAGCATGTCCCAGATTGCTATAACATACTGTACCAGAGAGCTCTTATTGAAAAACATAGGAAGGAACATAGGAACAGGAGTAGGCCATTCAGCCCTTCAAGCCTGTTCCACCATTTAATTAGATCATGGCTGATGTGTATCTCAACTAATCCTGTCATTCTCAATTTCCTGCTTTTTCCCCATATCCCTTGATACCTTGACCTACCAAAAATCTATCAACCTCACCCTTGAAGGTGTGGATGGATCCAGCACCTACGGCCTTTTCGGGGAGAGAATTCCAGATTTCTACCATCCTTTGAATGAAAAAATACTTCCCGATTTCACTCTGAAATGGCCTGATTCTAACTTTAAGACTACGCTGCTTGTTCTCTGTCAAATCCCTTTATCATCTTAACCACCTCAATCAAATCACCCCTCAACCTTCTAAACTCAAGGGAATACAATCTTTATTACAGCCTTTCCTTGTAACTTAACCCTTTAAGGCCTGGTAACATTCTGGTGAATCTGCGCTGCACCCCCTCCAGAGGCAATATATCTTTCCTGAGGTGTGGTGCCCAAAACTGAACGCAGTCTCCAGATGGGGTTTGACTAATGCTCTATACAGCTGAAGCATCATTTCTTCCCCTTTGTATTCCAGGCCCCTTGAGATAAAGGCCAACTTACCATTCACCTTTTTGATTACGTTTTGCACCCGGGAACTAGTTTTTAATGATTTGTGGACATGGACACCCAAATTCCTTTGCTCCTCCATAGTTCTTAGTCTGTCCCCATTAAGAACATATTCTGCTTTATCTTTTTTCGATCCATAGTGGATGACCTCGCACTTCTCTAAATTGAACTTCATTTGCCACTCACTTAATCTGTCTAAGTCCCTTTGTAACTTCCTACTCCCATCTACATAATTTATTGAGCCTCCTAGCTTAGTGTTCTCTGCAAACTTGAATATTAAACTTTTTATTTCTTCATCCAAGTCATTTATATGTCAAAAAAGAGGGTCTTGAGTCATGGCTTGATTTGTTAAAGGCAAATCATGTCTAACAAACCTGATGGAGTTTTTTGATGAAGTAAACGGAGAGGGTGGATGAAGGTAGTGCAGTTGATGTAGTGTATATGGATTTTCAAAAGGCGTTCGATAAAGTGCCACATAATAGACTCATTAGAATCATTGAAATCTACAAAATTAAAGGGACAGTGGCAACATGGATACAAAACTGGCTGAGGGACAGAAAGCAGCATAGTTGTGAATGGTTGTTTCTCTGACTGGAGGGAAGTATACAGTGGTGTCTCCCAGGGTTTGGTGTTAGGACCACTGCTCTTTTTAATCTATATAAATGACCCGGACTTGGGTATAGGGAGTACAATTTCCAAGTATGCAGATGAAACAAAGCTAGGAAAAGTAGTAAATGGTGAGGAGCATAGTAGTAGACTGCAACAGAACATAGACAGACTGGTGAAATGGGCAGACACGTGGCAGATGAAATTTAATACAGAGAAATGTGAAGTGATGCATTTCGGGAGGAAGAATGAGGAGAGGCAATATAAACTAGATGGTACATTCCTAAAGGGGCTGCAGGAGCAGAGAGACCTGGGGGTGCACATAAGCAAATCTTTGATGGTGGCAGGACAGTTAGATAAAGCTGTTTAAAAAAAACATACGGGATACTCGGCTTTATAAATAGGGGCATAGAATACAAAAGTCAGAAGGTTATGATGAACTTTTATAGAACACTGGTTAGACCTCAGCTAGAACGTAATACTGGTGTTATTCCTTTCCTCATTTGGAAGAATGGTATCTAACAGTCTATCTCAAGTAAATTAAATGGACATTGTGTTGATACAAGATCCTCTACAATCAACTAAGAAGATCCAAAAGTCAACATTCACGAGATAGGGTATAGGCATACATGGAATTCTCAATCTGGTTTGGCTACTCTTAAGCATGGCAATGGGTTTCCCATTATGTCAGTCACCCAGCTGACCAAAAAAATACTGTAAATGTACTGCATTGTTGGAGGTGCCATCCTATAGATGAGACTTTTAACCAACAGACTGTCTGCCTGTTCAGGTGGATGTTAAAAATCCCATTGCACAGTTTGAAAAGAGAAAGGAATTTCTCCTGATGTCCTGGCCAACAATTCCCAAATAAATTTGGTTACTCACTCCAAGTTTATTTCTGGGACGTTGCTGTGGAATTGGCTGCCACATTTGCTTACAAAATACATAGTCATGCTCACAATGTGAAAGCCACATTAACAAATGCAAGGATTAGCATGATTTTCTTTGTTACACAGAAAAAAACATTGTTGTGCTTAAGAGTATCTAAACCAGGTGATAAACATTGTCATTCTTTAATTACATCAACATCCTTTCTTTTTAATCCTTTTGAAACAATCTACATAGTCAAAGGTGTTGACACAAAGAATGTTACAAGTTTCATAAAAAATTGGAGAGGCATTCTGAGTACATATTACTTTGTAAATATCTAAAGCCCTATGACTACAGAGAACATGTTGCAAAAAGTTGCCAAGAAGCAGAGAGAGTTTCAAAAAGAATGGAAAATACTTCAATATTCATTGATATAAGACGACTGAATTTTACCTGATGAATGCTGCAGAGGCGGTCAATTTGAAATTCTAAAGAGGTTTTCTTGGCTGAAGAAGTGGATGTTACTTTACATTATTTCCACTAGTTAGTGAGTCAGTAACGAGAGAAAGCATTAAAAGGAAGGTTAGGTTCCACAGCTTTAGCTCTTGCCAGCCTTCCCTGAATACTCTCTGGAATTAGGTAAGCAAGATGCATCCTCAAGGCAGAGAGTGTGCATTCCATTCCAATACATGGAAATTTCCTTGCATGTATGTATGCATGGAAATCTCAGTTCAGTTTGGACAATCTAGCATGGTGATGGATTTCTGCATGTGTCAGACACCCAGAAAATTAATGTTCTTTCTCTGAAATCAGGGGATTTTTGACAAGTTAGAGTTGAACTAAGGTAATTACAAGAAAAAAGGCCCAGTCCAAACCCTGGGCACTATCTGAGCAACACCGCATGAGTATATCATAGACTTATCAATCTCCAATGGCAAAGCCAAGAAACTGTTAGTTATACAGATGACATGAAATTAAAAACAAGTGGCAACAATAGAAAAATCAAAATTTGTACATCACAACAGTATTGAGGATTAATTTAGTTGAAGAATAATATTAAAGAAAGGACGTCCTGCTGACATGAATATATTTTTTTTGAAGGGCTTATTACCCCGGAAAGGTGATCCACCCATTGACTAACAACCGGGTTCCTACTTAATGCTAGGTGAACAGAGGTGCGTTAGAAAATTTGCCTAAGGTTTTGTCCTGCCCGAGAATTGAATCCAGATCCTCTGCTTGCAAGGCAACTGTTCTAACTGCTAAGCTACAGGATTCTTCGACCCTTGACCAACCGGACTCCACTAAATGCATATACTTTGGACAAAACATAGATGGTGAATAGAGGGTCTCCACCCATTCCTCTCTCCACGTTTTCAACATAGCCTCTCCTGCATCCCTCTCCTTCCTCACCTTTCACGTGAAACCAATTAAGTGTTCCCTGACCCTTTTCTCACCTCTCCCAGTTCCATTTTCTTGCCTCCCTGTTAAAAAACATAATAAACTTTTCTTTGTCCACTTGCACAATCTCAACCCCTTCAAAACAGCTGTCATCAGCCCTCACCTCAATAAACATTCTCCTGACCAATCCTTGTTCCCCAACTCCATCCCATATCCAACCTCCCTTTCCAAGGTACCGGAATGAATCATTGTATCCTGGGTTCACTCTTGCCTTTCCCGACATTTCCTGCAGGAACGCCCGAGATTGGGCCCGAGCTAAATAAATTCTTTGTTTCAGTTTTTCCTAAGGAGCACACAGATAACCCAACCATTCTTGAAAGAGAACTCAAGGGCACCCGAGACTGCACCCAAGACTGCACGTGAGATCGCACCCGAGAAAAAGGCAGATTGTACTCTTATTTTTAGGAAAGGTAACAAAAGTGACCCAGGATATACAAGACCAGTATATTTGACATCCATTGTGGGTTTCATTATGAAGCTCTTATTAAGGATAAAATCAAAGAGCTTTTTAACATCTCATGCAAAGGACAGCACCCGCAGCACTACACTGAATGTCACACTCCATGGCTTCCACAGCCCAATATGCAGATTCAACTCACAACCTTAAGACCCAGAGCTGCCAGTCGTACCATCTGAGCCAGCCTGACGCACAATTTCATTGTAACACATCCATTGTGATA